GTGACGGCCTCGGTGGGCCGTCGGAGACGCCTTGCACCCTCTGACGCCTCTGTGACGGCGCTCGTGCCGGCCTCAATGCGGGGGACGGGCCTCGGTGGGCGTCCTGCGGTGACGGTCGTCCGGCTCGATCCCGGCCAGAGCGCACGCACCCCACGCACGCTCCCTTTGCAAGGGCTCGTTGCCGGCAGTGGGGCGCTCATGCGGGGGGGAGGTCTCGTCCGTCCGCACCACGGCGCCCTGTGAAGGGCTTTCCCGGTGGGAGCGCATCATGCAGGTTAGCCGTGACGACACCACTGCCCCTTGAGGCTTTCCCGGCTGGCGGGCATCATGCGGTTGCCGGCAGACACCACTGCCTACCCCCTACGCGCCTGTGAAGGGCTTTCCCAGTGGGAGCGCATCATGCAGGTTAGCCGTGACGACACCACTGCAACCTAATGCTCGCACGCGATTCTGCGACGGGAAAATTTTTGGGTTTGCTGGCAAACAAGTCAAGGCTAATTTTTCTCACGAGAATATTGCCGTCGCCAATATGCAATAAAGTATAGGAGCTTTGATAAAACCGTCATGAATTTGTGATAAATTGTCATCATTTCAAAGTGACGAGAATGCCATGCACCATTTGGTCGCCGTGACAAAAATTTTGCATCGTCCCACAGTAGCTGCTTACTCGAATGCTAGAGGTCTGCTGAGGCCTAACAGCGCTGATGATGATGATGATGATGATGATGATGATGATGACGACTGGCTGCTAGGCCTCTGGAGCGAGGTTCTTCCCTCCGTTTGAGGTGTCGCGATCCCGCGGCCCGTCCTTGCCCCGCATTCGCCGCGTTGTTCGCGCACTTCACCCCCTTCTTCGTCTTCCGCCGCGGGCTGCGAGCTGCGACACACCAAACACCGCCTCGCCATCAAAGACGCCTTGTAAGTGCGTAAGCGGGCCGTGCTCTGAAAGTGGAGCGCGGCCGGCTCAGCCTGGAGCTCGGCCCGGCCATGCCATGGGTGGCCAAGGATTGGAGGGGCGAGGCGCCCGCGAGGGCACGGCCCTGTCCGCCCTGCGCCCTGCGCCTCGAGGACCAGCCGAGGGGCTGCCACTCGTTATTTTGGTGGGCATGATGCCGGACTCCTGTCATTCCGTAAAACCACGAGAGAAGTGGCAGGCGCGGTTTAAGGAGTCCCCGACAAGAGGGGCGATTGTGTACATTTTGCCTACCTAGGAGCATATCATGCTGGTTGCCTTATATCGGACGTTAAGGGAATCTCACAAGGGGGCAATCGCCCCTTCGCCACCGCTCCCCGGCCTCGTCCCCGGCGGACACCCCGGTGGGGTACTACGCGAGCACCAGGCCCGTGACGAACACCAAAGTCCTTTTCTATCTCTCTCTGTCTCTCTATCTCTGTCACCCTACGATCGCCGGCTGCCCTCATAAGGCGGTCCTTCATGTGTGGAAGGCTATAGCGGTCCTCCAGAAGCTGAACTATGCGGTAGCAGTTTAAAGCCTGGATACACCGGTTCCCATCCGAACACCGAAGTTAAGCAGGCGGCTCGAACACCATTGCGGGGAGAAAGGGTCGTAGGGTTTGAATTTTTAATTTTATTTTAAACCAAATTTAAAAGAGAGTAGCGCATATGACTCCGTTGTGGATACCATATGTTGCGAGGGGTCGACAACTCATATTACCTCGTACGCGGTAGCTATGTTACCTGTGTATTACCTATATATTCATATATTACTTGTATATTACCACAATTTTGCCTTCCTATTACCCCTATGTTACCATATATTACTATATATTACCGTATATTACTTTACTGACGTATACTCCCTCGTACACGGCTAAGGGGAGTTGTCGACCCCTCGATATGTTGTTTTGCCGAGTGGTGAGGGGGCTGATATAAGCTAAGCAGTGCATACGCGACTTTACACCATGCGCACATTGCCAGGTCGGACGAAAAGGGGTCGTACAAACGATGTACTCCGATGAATGTCCGGCAAGGACCGGTAAGGACTTAAGCCGGGTCAGGGCCGTGGCGTCACTGGGACGCCCCAGCGGACGCCAATATCGTGGCCAGGGCGCAGTCTCGGTCGCAGAGTCACGGGGCATTGTGCAGGGAGCCTGGCTGAGCCACCTGGCCGCCCTGCCCAGGCCAGCGTCCTTCATTGTGCTGTCGCCCAAAATGGCTTCATCGTCGCCGCCCACGTCATGAACCAGCCGCCCTCGTTCGGTGCACTGTCTAAGTGTATGAGTACAAATACAAATTCGTCCCTTTTGGTGCAAATTTACAAATGGGGGACTATGGTGTCTCTGATTTTCTGAGTTCACACCATCTCGCCCAATCAATAGAGGGTGCAGAGCACGAGACGGGGTGTAGTTTGCTTTGCTCCGATCGACATCCGTGCCATACGTCACCGGGACTGTACAGAACAGTTCCGTGAAGAGCCCGAACGGAGGCGGCCTTAGCCGAGCGTGACGAGGAGAGATTATCGGGACCCTCCTGTCAGGGATGTGCGGTATGCGGACACCCCTTTTTTCCTGGCCGGGTCTCGGAATAATAGCAGGTACTGCTTTTCCCTTCCGTGAACCGCTCTCGGAGCGCTGCCTCTCGGAACAGCGCGGAGGCGCGCTGAAGGGCCGTGCGGCGGGATCAGGGCCCTATCACGCTATCGCCGCGTGGCCAGCCGCCGCGCCGGACCCCGACCCGACCGGACCCTGAATGGGCCTGCACCGCGACCTGACCCGCGCTACGCGCGCCTCGGCAGCCCTGGGCGAGCAGTGCCTCACTTGGGACACATGGGCCAGCAAATGCGTGCCAGGCTGGTTGGCCTGCCGAACGATTCCCAAGAGTCGTCGTGCGCTTGTGGTCGGACAGGAGTCATAGCCACATGGACAGTCTTGCGCTCCAAGATGTCCCACCACTGGCCTGATAGGCCGCCCTCTCCGCAGCGCGCCGGACGCAGGACCGCAGGAACACCCCAGCTAATCATTTTTAGGCGGCTGCCAGTCGGGCCCCGAGTTCACTAACTCAACGAGCCTTGTTTGACTTGCGTACGATTCCAAGTTGCCTGGCGGTCCGGGACGCCAAGATGCCAGCCAAGTGGCATTGCTGGGGCGGCACTGCCCGGCACGCCACGCCACGCCACGCTCGGCAACCGACAAGCAATCAGAAGAAAGTCAAGTTGCGGAGCGAGTGAGGAAGGAGGGGCTCGGCGCGGGCGGCGAGTGCGAGAGGCGCCGCGCTGGAATGACGTCTTCTTGACGCCCCGAGTCCAGGGCGTTGTGTCACCCTCTGGCACCGCAGCACGCATACGACGCGAACCGACCATACGTACGAAAGGGAACCTCCATACTTTGCATACGTCAGAATTTACTGGTGTCTTGCCCCCATTGGCCTAGTACGGTTGAGACAAAACTATATAATTTACACAGTTTGGCTAGGATACAGCCACTGCGTCATCAGGACTTGCCAGTTTTTTTTTTAAAGGACGTTGTAAAACAGAGGACCGGATTCAAACCACAGGTTTTGCCCGCCGCAACCCAGTGCGCGAGTGCCCACGACTACGAAAGCTTCTTGAACTGCGGACTAGCAGCAACGCTCATAAAATCTTGGCAGTGACTTCGTGCTTCGGAACAACAAGTGCCTTTGCTTGACGAGCCGCATTCCGCAATCGGACCTGTCTGCAGTGACACGCCCTCCCACTCCCACCTCCCACTCCCCTTTCCTGGAAATAGGTGGGACACGGTCGGAGAAAAAATGGAGATGCAAGAGAAGTCTAAGACTGACAAAAAGAGATCGTTGAAAAATTTAAGAGGGAAGAAGGTCAGGTCAGACAGAAAGAGGTCGTTCAAACGATGTACTCCGCATCGTAGACACTGAAAAACCAAACGTGGTCCAGACCGCACCACTGGTGTGGTCAGATGGGTGCCATTTTGACCACATCAGTTGGTGTGGTCTAGACCACGTTTGGCCACGTTTGGTGCGGTCTAGACCACGTTTGGCCACGTTTGGTGTGGTCACCACACCAAACGCACCAAACGTGGTCTAGACCGCACCAACTGATGTGGTCAAAATGGCACCCATTTGACCACACCAGTTGGTGCGGTCTATACCACGTTTGGTTTTTCAGTGGACCCTTAGTCTGGGACAGCGCTTGCGATACACTGCGAGGGCCGAGAGCGTGCGGAGTGGACCGGCCCGGTGGCGCCACCTAGCGGCCGCGCGAGCATCCTCGTCGCGAAGAGGCCGCCACTGCGTGGAGTATCGGCCGGGGTCGTCGCGCGAACCTTCCCCTCTCATAGCTGCCGATGGAATCAGTAACAATTATGCTACGCCCGAAGCGCAACTCACGTGAGTCATGAGTCTAACCTAACCGAACCTTGAAGTAATAAGCCTGGGTCACTGCGATTCGCAGAAATTTTCTTTATCGTGTTGATTCATTTTATTTCATATACTTTATTTTTGTGTTAGTATAATGTGTTTGGAAATTATTTTAAGGGGAACAAACATTATCAAAACAAATTGAGAGATTGAGATATTTTCGGAAATTCTGTTTCGGGAAATTTATTTTGCAGCCATGTCTTGATTGACAGAGAGTAGCCGCGGGTGTTTGGATCAATGAAACGCCACCGAGTCGCCGTCCAGCTGCAGCCTGGCCCCGTGGCGGTGTCAATGGAACGGACAAAACGGAGGCCGGGCAAGCGATCGCAAGCGATGGCAAGCGATCGCAAGCGATGGCAAGCGATCGCAAGCGATGGCAAGCGATCGCAAGCGATGGCAAGCGATGGCCACCGGCCCTGGGTGAGTCAGCCGGCCGTTTAGACAAGTTGGAGCACCGTCCACTTTGCGCTCGTTCTTTTTAGTTGAGAACGATTCCCGCTCACGTGAAACCTTTTTCGTGACAAGTGTTGACAGTGTGGTCGATTTCCATTGATTGGACCGTAGTCGACAAGGACAGCCACTCTCGGGAAGATGAGGGACTCACGGATTAGGGAAGCGTCAAAATATATTAGGTGGGAAGGTCGCTTTATTCGGACAGATCCTCCGTCACACACACACACACACACACAAAGATACACACACAAACACACACAAACACAACGTCACACACACAGCCTCGATTCACAGGGATACAGTGAGAGAGAAAAAAGCACGACACAGGCCTGGTTTTGCAAGAGATGCGCGGCTGAGCCGCTCTGTCACTATAGACTGGTCATCCTGGAAGGAATAGGTGCGGCCGGGCCCACGGAGGCGAAGAGAGAGGGGGGGGGGAGAGGCCGGGAACAGGTTTGTCTCTCAGGGCGCCTGGACAATGTGGGATACTGGACTAGAAACGTGCGGCTGCTGGTGCCGCATGGCAGACGCACTGGCGCCGGCGGGCAGCGCCGCGGCGCGCTCCGCACGTCCACCAACGAGAGCAGCCTGCAGCACGGCGGCTGACGGCGCCTCACTTCCTGAAGTTGCCGGAGGCCTCCTCGCGGGCGTTCTGCTCCAGGGAGCGCAGGATGGCCTCGGGGATGGGGGGAGGGGTGGGCAGGTGGGCGCCGGAGGCACGGAAGCCGTTCTCGTCGGCGACGTAGCTCAGGGAGATGGGGGTGCCGTCGGGGGCGGTGTAGGCGACGTTGCCCTGCTTGGCGGTGGACTCGGAGTTGGAGCCGGGGTTGGTGACGACGCCCTGCTCGGCCTGGCGGATGCCGTTCTCGGTCTCGAAGCTGCAAACGAACGAGGCGGTTGAGACGGGCAGCTCCGCGTGCAAACCGACAGCGCACCACTTCTTGATGGGAAACAAACTCACTTGAAACGGTAGTTGCCGATGTCGTCGGCCTCCTGGGTGTGCTGCAGGATGCGCCACAGGGGCTGCTGCTGGTAGGCCTGCTGCTGGAACTGGGGCTGGACCTGGAACACCTGCTGCTGGAACTGGGGCTGGACCTGGAAGGCGCGCTGCTGGAACTGGGGCTGGATGAGCACGGGCTGCGCCACGAGCTGCAGGGGCCTCTGGATCTGGACCGGGTTCACGATGATGGCCTGGCGGGAGTTGCGCAGCGCGTCGCGGACGTCGGCGGACACCGCCACGGCGAGGAACAGCACGGCCTGGAAGGAGGCGGGCATGGCGGTCATGGAGAGGCAACGGGTAGAGGTGGTTTGACTCTGAGAGCTCTAGCCGCAGCTTACCAGGAGCTTCATGTTGGCGGAGGAGAGGTGTTCTCGGCTAGAACTGGAGCGCAGATCTGTGCTCTACCGGCCGCGGCATTTGCCTTATATACGAGTCCAGTCCACATTTCGGCCGCGCGTCTTCGCCCGGAACACCGAAGCTCTAAAAAACTGAGCGACAGGCCCGCTTCGATAAAGTTCAGTGCCGACACATGTCACGAAGGAGAGGGTGGGGGGAGGGAATCTGCTTTCGTTTCACAAAAATCAGGAGCAGAATGGCGTTGCGAAACACGGCCGCCTCGTCCTCCCGCCGAGCTACATTTCGCACCTCTCGTCTTTTTTTGGAGGGGGGCTGGGATACACATCTCGGGAAGAAACTCTGAATGGAGTCTTTCGTTTCCACTAACAGCGAACCAAATTCAGCATTTGGCGAACAGAGAAATCGTTTTGTGTTCTCCAAAGGGGAACCTCAGTGAAGCCAGTCAAGCTTTTTGAGAAGTGCAAATTCCAGCTGCGGATTGTCCCGGAAAAAGGTTTGGAGTGGAGTGGACCTCCCGGATCAATCGGAGCTATAAAGTTGTCAGATGGATCAATAAAGGTGTGACCCGACCTGTCCATCCGCGCTCCGAGCGTGTTAGCGCGCTTCGCGTGTCGCGACCGCCGCGCGGTGAAAACCTTATTAAGTATTTTGTGCATATTTAGTTTCTTATACGAAGAATTAGTTCGTGAATCTCAGAGTGTATTTTCTTCGTAAGCAAGTGTATGCCGGTGCATGCTCAATGTACTTTGTCTTCAAGAACCTTTCTTTGAAAGGCCGTAGCGGGTAGAGCTTTGAGAGTGCGTGCAGCAAAATAGCGTTCCGTAGATACTGGCTTTCGCAGCGCCCACGTGTGAACCAAGCTATTTCACTGCCCAGGCTACGAGGCAAGGTGCCGCGGTGGCGGACCCACTGCCATCCTGAGGGTGGGGAGAGGAGCACTTGCATACAGGGGCAAAGTGTTGATGTGAAGACTCGGTTCCACGCGGGCCTGAGCCTTTAGGACCACCCATCCGTCATGGCCATCCGCCTTTAATTAGATTACCAGATATGCATCTGGACGGCCCGCGCGGCGCTGCGGCGCTGCGCTCCTGGGGACTCCGCGGGACGCCTCGCTCGGTCGGCGGCCGCGGCCACAGTGCCGAACTGGCCCGGTCGGTCTCCCTGACCGTATTCAGCCGCAGGGATCACGCTCATCCCAAGGAGCGAAGACACCAGCGTGTTACTTATAGGGCGACCATGGGCGACCGAAAGAATGAATATCCGAGGGGTCTGCCACCTTTCGCACTCACACGTCGAGCCTCTCTCACTCTCTTAGATTGCAGGTGAAAAACGCCGGTAGGCAATTTTGTGAGACGAGTGCCTGCAAGTAGGCAAAAAGCATGGCTAAATTGAGAACTCACCACACTCACACTCAATTGTACATGATTCTAGTCAGTGGCCCCTCCACGGTGTCTCAGGCGGCTGCTTGTGGGTGGTTTCAGGTACTGCACTGTGGCAGAAAGCTACGGAAAATTCTGTAAACAGCTTGTGGTAATTGTCCGTAGGCCCCTTATCAATATTCTCCGTAGGCTCTTACAGTATTTTCTGTAGGACCGCACAGTATTGTCCGTAGGACCGCACAGTGATCTCCGTAGGACTAAACAGTCTTCGAGGTCCTACGGAGAAGACTGTGCGGATTTACAGAGAATACTGTGCGGCCCTACGGAGAATACTGTAAGAGCCTACGGAGAATATTGATAAGAGGGCTACGGAGAATCCTGGCAAAAAAATTAACAGGATTTTCCGTACCTTTTTGCCACAGTGTGCATTAGCAGCTTTAGTTCGGTGCAGGTAATGCAGGCACCGCCAGTCCGAGACTTCCGACCGATTAACGTTTTCATCCCGCTGCCGCGCCCCTCACTTTACTGACAGCCAACTGAGGCCGCATCGCGCCCTCGCCGTGGCTGCGCCGAGGCCCACTCGGCGCCTCCTTTTATGGAAAAGTAAGGCAACCCGCATCGCCACCCGCGCCTGGAGTTCGGCGGCTGCGCGGCACAGCCGACCCAGGTGGCTACTGGTCGCTCCTGTCCTCTTCTATTTGGAGGCTCTCCTTGCCCCTCCGCGCGGCCCGGCCGGCGCGCTGACCCTGGGCCCTGGACCACGGCGGCCCCGCGGACTGCAGCCGTATAAAAGCCACTGCATCGGCGCGCAGATGTCACACACCGCCTCCTCTTCCAGCACAGCAGTCACCCGCAGCACCCGCAGCACCATGAAGCTCCTGGTAAGCACGCCGACATTCGCCCGCATTCGCCGGCAGCGTGACGCGGTGTGACGTGTAGCTAACGCCGAGCTAACGCCGAGCTGACGCCGAGCTAACGCCCTGCCCCGCCCCGCCCTGCTCAGATCGCCGCCGTGCTGCTCCTGGCCGTGGCCATCCAGGCCCAGCAGCCCAGTCCCATCGTCATCCGCATCCTCAGGCAGCAGCACCAGCAGGACCCGTCTGGCATCTACAGCTTCAGGTAGGACCGGGTAGGACTTGGTCTTCTCTGGCGCCGCCATGACGTTAGCACCGCCGGGCACCGCGTAGCAGCCGACACTGACGTCCGCGTTCTGCCCCGCAGCTTCGAGACGGAGAACGGCATCCAGGTGCAGGAGGAGGGCACCGTCATCCGTCCCGGCACCAACGACGAGTCCACGGCCAAGCAGGGCAGCTTCGCCTACACCGCCCCCGACGGCACCCCCATCGCCCTGAGCTACGTGGCCGACGACAACGGCTTCCGTGCCTCCGGCGCCCACCTGCCCACCCCTCCCCCCATCCCCGCCGAGATCCTCGCCTCCCTGCAGGAAGACGCACGCTCCGGCGCCCAGTACGACGAGCAGGGATTCCTGCTCAACAAGAAGTAGAGAGCCATCCGCAGCCATCCCTGCCAGTCCCCGCCTCCAAACTGTGATATACTTTAAGCCTTGCCCATCGTCTCGTTAGCTTATACAATAAATATTCAAATTCAACAAGTCTTAAAATTAATGTCGAGTCCTTAATCCTGAGGTGTACGATGAACTGGGAACCTATCAATGAACTGACTGAGACGGTATTTTAAAAATATACTTTATTTGAAAGTACTGAAACAATACGTCCAGGCAATCCTGGCTCAGAGCGTGCAGCCCCCTCAGAGGGCCGTGGCGCCACATGGTGTGCTTTGTACAAATCAGTTCGGCCTTAACAACTGTGCTGACGCAGCTGCTGCTCTACACAAAATGGATCCCTTAGAAATTGACAAATAACTCCGATAACAGCAATCATCAGCGCTCTCGCCAAGAACAATATTTACAGCGATCGTCAGACGAAAGTGATGCACAGTTCACAGTCGCTCAGTATACACACAAATTCCTACACAATAGACCACTCATCAACAGCACGGCGCGGGTAATAATTCAATGGGTGATTCCAAAATGAAGCAACATCAACAATATGACACACAAATAGCGTATTAACTTGTAATGCTATACAAGCCCAAGGCCCTGCCTGAGATAAAAATAATTAAAACATTAATTATGATAAACATTGTACTCAATCTCCGTTACGAAGCTGTGCCACGACCTTTGAGCTTCGCGGTGAAAGTATTGTCCGTGTGTCCAAACACATCTTTCTGATGGACCTCGTCTAGATAAAAACAACAGCAACGAGTCGTAAACGCTCGTGATTTAATTTGACTAGACCTAAATATTTACCAGGTGACGCCCAAACGCGCCAGTGGCATTGACAAGGTTTAGTTTTAATTACGATGAGTACAAAATAAATAAATAAATAAATAAATAAATAAACAAATAAATAGCACCTGAGCTGCACGCACTCGGATGAAAAAAATATTGGCATTACAATTAAAACTTTTGACTATTGACGCAGAACAAAATTCACGGAGAGACTAGCCTACCTATTGTTATTAAAAATGTCAACATTTCACAAAATAAATATAGATCTATAAAAGTCTATTAATTAGTTCTGAACTTATTGTTACAGCTACGTAGACAGCAGAGAATCTCTTTTTTAAGGACGAGAAAATGGCAATGAAGTGGGAAAGCACTTCTCAAACATGTATAGAACGGACGTGCGCTTCCCGTTGTCTTCTCCTGGCATGAATTTATGAGCTAAGTGTCCTGTTAGAACATGCTTGTAACAGAAACGAATTTTGGACAGCTAAGGTTTTGTCTATTGCCTATAGTTTGTGCATGAATCCGGCACTAACTGTTTTAAAAATTTTTGAAGCTGTATTTAATTGACCGTTTAAGCTTTGTGCAGATCAGAAAAACGCACAACCTGGTTTCCTCCTGAATAGAATTGACAAAAAGAGGTCATACTGGCTACAGGAGTACAATCGGTAAGTTAAATAAGGTGGACCATGTACAGACATGGGGACAAATGAATATTTTCGTGTGTCTTGTGCAGAACATACATGCACCTACCACTAACCACTAGATTTATGGTTAGTAAAGATTCAGCAGTGTAGTAGAGAAAAACAACTTAGGTTGAAATTGGAAATGCAAGTCGTTTGAGCGTTTAGGTACAGGGTTAACCCCATTTTCCGAACAATCTTGCCTCCATGATTCCTTAATCTCATTAAGGCATCACATTAGATTTCCCCAACTGTCCTAGACCGAAGAACTCATGGAAACGTTCAGATAAATTAGAAGGAGAACAATACAAGTCTATTCTACGTTTGAAAAATGTTACACTCTATGATGGCAATATTCTGATAAGTACCGGTGGTAGAAAAAAGGTCAGCTCCCAAAGGCTTCCTCTACTAACAGTCTTCTCGGCCCGTGGCGCACTTCACAGTATTGATAAGACGTCGCGTCGGTCGGACGTGGTACTTGTTTGACGCGGCCATAGGCATTTCACTCCGGGCAGTCCTGCTCACGCCTCTCAGGGAGGGCGGGAGGGGCTGCGTTGCCATGTCCGGGGCGGGCCCTCTCCAGAGGAAATTGATTTAAAAGTAGCGCTCCCTCCGCCAGCAAGCCCTGCGAGAGGCCGCGGCAGGCCCTGCCCTCCATCACATTGCGCTAAGCACATCAACAGTCTAAGTAACGAACGCAGCGGAAAGTCAAATAGCCAACACATCACAGCCAGATGTTCGCACTACATTGGCTGCGAATCATTGAAACAGTACTACAAAATATACTTGTCTAAGAGGCGGCAGCACGCCGCCCGGTATAGGCACATCCGTTTCACTAGCTTTGTACAATATTTGACTTGTGAGGACCTGCGCACACTGTGGACACAGCGCCCCCAAAACAGAGTGGCCATCTTCAGCAAACTTTCCTGCTAATCGATCAAGACTGAGATTTGTAAGCCGATTCCCGGGGACATGGGTTTGGCGCTGTCCCTTTAAGGGGGTTGAATTGCATTGCAGGAAGTTTAAACTTGCATGAAAAGGGCCACCATGGTGGAGCTTAAGGTGCGCCGTGCCCGTTGCGGCCGTGTCTGGTCCATGAGGGACAGTGAAGGGCGGACACGAACCCGCCCCCCATGGGCCAGGCCGGCGGCAGAGGCCCCCACCACGCACCACCAGACACGCTAACATTCACACAAATCAGTCTCTGCATGCCCTAGCTTTCTGTAAAACCCTGTTTCACTGCACATCCTAGTATACAAAGGAGGACACGCACAAAAATCACGCTAGAAATGTTTTATATGATATACACAGCACTATCCTTTCTTCCTGGTCACTTGGAGTCACTGACGGTCGTCCGGTCGTTCTTCGCATTATTCATTTTCTGCGCCCAGAAAGTGACAGAAGCCCCAAGCAGGAGTGTCCCACGCCGCGTCCAGCCAAAAAGGGGAATGACGAAACCGCGTTTTGGCCGACGGCTGGCTGCTGGCCGTGCCGCGCCACGCAAGCGGTTCGAAGCGAGGCGAACGGCATTTTTTGGCGGCGCGCTCTGCTTCGCTCTGCTTCGCTCTGCTTCGCTCTGCTTGTGACGTCGTGGAGCGGTGCAGGGGACGCGAGGAAGGAAGACGCACTTCGCTGATAAGCGAGCATTGCGAATCGGTTGGGAATCAGGGCCCCCATTAAAATTACCGATCCCTTCCTTCCTCGCCGTCGAAAAAGTCGACTCCGCCAACATCAGTCCTGTCTACTTTCTGGCCGTGCTGAGCCTCGTCTCCTCGCTGGCCGTCTCCAGGTCGTCCTCCGTGTCCAGGTCCTCCTCCATCTCAGCCAGCTGCACGTGCATGGGCAGGTCCTCGCCGAAGGACGACGCCGACGACCCCGAGGACAGCGTCTGCTGGCGCAGGCGGCCGCTGCTGGTGCTGGCGGCCGGGCCGCTCTGGCTCAGGCTGGAGCCGGGTCGGCGTCGCTGCGCCGCCGGCGTCGTCTCGGCGGGCGACCCCGCCGCCACCGTGGTCGCGGGGGACGGCGTCGGCCCGGGCGTCGAGGGCGTCGTCGCCTGCGTCGAGCCTGCGTGGACCAGAAATGGCGTTAGTCACAGCGAAGAAGGCAGACGAAGTCAGTGAGGGTTCGAACCGCTACCCTCCCCTACCCGAGTGCGCGTCTTCCTCCGGGATGGGGTCCACGGAGCTGCTGAGCGCGCTGAGCTCCAGCAGGCTGCCTCTTCTGCCGGCCAGGGGCCGGCGGCCCACGGACGTGGACACGCCCAGAGGGTCGCCCGAGACGCCCTCCTCGATGAGCAGGATGGACATGGGCCCGGACGGCGGCGACTCGGAGCCCTGGCTGCCCTGGCTGGCCTGGCTGGCCTGGCGCTGCAGGGACGTCTCCGACGGCGTCCGCGACCCCACGGAGCCGTCCCGCCGGAACAGCCCTATGACAGACGCCGTCTTGGGCTGCTCAATGCCGCCTGCAAGAGGGTGGCGTCGCGGCCAAGTCAAGTCAGCGTGCCGGCATGCAGGGCTAGGTGCAGGCTAGGCCAGTCCCTTGTCTCTACAGCTCAAGCAAAACAGAAACACGCACGAAGGAATGTTATTTCTAGATTGATAAATTTTGCAAGACGACGGCTAAACGCGAGAGAAAAGATGTATAAAGTCTATCCTACTAACTTTTTTCTTCTCAAATTGATCTTTATTAGTAAATTAACTTTATAAAAAACGACACAGTAAAGCTAGTTAAGGAAACGTGAACCAAAATGAGGTATAATTAAACCAAGCGCAATCATACCTTTTCAGTTTTGTAAAACATGCGAGAGGTTTTTGTTTATGTCTTTTTGGCTCGGGAGAAGGGGCAGCAAACGAGACCATGCCGAAGAAACTAGACACACGAATCACAAAAATGCCGGTTGGCGTCACACTGACCTAGGAAGGTGGCCGACGGCGAGTTGTACGCCAGGTACTCCTTGTTGGTGCACCACGGCGGGAACTCGCGCTGCTTCACGGGGCCGCTCAGCTCCCCGGAGTCGTCGTCGCGCTTCCAGGGCAGCACGCTCTCCGTGGCGGTGGGCGTCGACACGCGCCCGTTCTCGCTCACTGCAACAACGAGGCCGCCGTCGAGGTCACCACCGAGGTCACCACCGAGGTCACCACCGAAGTCACCGCCTATCGGCGTCATCCTCCGAACTCCATGGTCAACTCACCGTCATCTCGCGACAGTTGAGACGATTGTGAAATTTTCTTAATCGGCCCGCTTCCAGAATGGGGCTCCTCTGCAATAGAGAATAATTTGAGAGGATTTTTAATGAGTTATTTTTGTAACGCAAGGCCTAATTTTAATTGAAGATGTTTAAGTGCTTGGGACGTGTTTTAAAACGCCAGGTTGCGGGTTTGACCACCTGTGCCTTACCTCACGGGGGGATTCAGTTTACCGCACAGATGGGCTGCGCTTTGGTAAGGGGCTGACGTAGCCAAACCCGCAACTTGGGATTGCTTATCCTACGAATGTGTGATAGTGTATTTAGTTAGCAAAGTGCAAAAGGGTAGCCACTTTACCCATTTATAGGAGGGCAAACTAAAACAAAAATACCAAAGACTTACAGACCATTGAAAAGTTTGTCTACTAACGTTGGTAATGGGTCATGCATTAGTTACAGGGCAAGCACAAAAACGACACAAATGATCTGCAATCTATGCTGCAGAGCGAACGGTGAAAGTCACTGGGTTAGCTCTGCAGGCTGTGTAACGTTTACGCAATGAAAGCTGTGAGACAGAGTGCAACTCTTCTACAATGGGTTGGGCAAGAGAGAAAGAGTGAGACATGTTAACAACAGACAGACAGCAGGGGAAGAAGATAGACAGAGAGACAGACAGCAGAGGCAGACAGAAGATAGACAGACTACGCATCCCCCGTTTCGAGAGACCGGCGCGTTGCGGAGGGGCTGTCCTTTGAGTCAGGAACAAGAAACAAGATTTCGCGCGTCGACACACGTGTGGATCACTCCCATTGGAGATTGCCGCCGAGACCCCCACCCTGCCGCCCTGTATCGCTGATAGAGAGAAACACAGTTGAGCGCGTCAAGGCTTCTGGTGGTTGGCGGGGAGCTTGACTGCGGCCCGGCGCGTCCTCTGATGCGGCAAGCCACAGTGCAGCAAGACCGTCGCGGCGAGGCGAGGGGTGGGCGAGGGAGCAGGCGTCTCACCGCTTGTCGCGGGGAGGGGAAGGGGCGCGAGGGTCGCTTGCGGAGGGAGCAACGTCAGTGCTGTGCTGTCGGGGAGGATGCTCTATCCCTTTGCGCGCTCACCTAGCCGCACTATCACAGCTCTCTACTCTACCCAGGCCAGCGAGCAACTACCGAGAAAGGGGGAGGGGGAGGGCGCTTTAATACTGTTCAGGGCCAAAACTAAGTTTTTGGAAAGAGTTTGCTCTCAATGGAAACGCTCCGGGACCGCGACTCTGAGAGGCCCCCTTCACTGCAGGCAACCCAACCTACGCGTCTCACAAGACACCAAAGCGTTGCGAGGTGGGGGGAGCCTCTCTTTCCTCTGTTTTTATCGACCAAATGGCCAACGGGGGAATATGGCCGGTCGCGTCGCGATGCGCTTGCCAATCTATCTTCGTCGGGCCGTCAGTCAGTGGGGCGGCGCGGCCACGGTGTCGCCTCGCGCGCCTTGCGGGGCCCAAACGTCAGCGAGCTGCCCCCGGTCCCGGCCCCAGCCCCCTCTCTCGGCACTACGCAGCAATAAGCCACCCCTGGCTGCATGCAGCTGGGCTACACGTCAACGCGCACTATTTATTTATTTATTTATTTATTTATTTATTTATTTATTTATTTATTTATTTATTTATTTATTTATTTATTTATTTATCGTAGCAGCCGGCGCGAGCAGCTAGTCCTTGCATTGCAAGAATGACTCGGCCAGTACCATCCGACTCGAGGCTGCGTTTAGGAACCAGGGAGCTAGCGCCACCCGCAGCCCAAGCACTCCAGCACAAACTTTGAAGCGAGGGTACTTGGAAAACGGCCTTCGCAGCTTGGCCCGCTTTTCCACCCAGTAATGCCTAGCTCGCACATGCGTAGAGTGGCACGCGGCCTCTAAGCCAATGCGCGCACCGTTTTCTCCGTTCCCCCGCACCGCCCGCAACATGAACATAAACCTCTGGGAATGGTAGCTATTATTTCGCAACACGGCACAATAAAACAAGAAATTTGTTACTCATTCGGCGTTGATAAATTTCTACGAGAGCAAAACAAAGATGTTTACAATACGAGTTTAAGTTCTAAGTTAATTTTTTGATGAGCAGCACCTACGAATACATTTAATTTACAACAAAGTTTGACTTTTAATTGTGCCTCTGGAAAGGCGAGCTGTTCACAGCGGAAAATGATGAAAAAGAAAGAAGCCTCCGGTTGGCCTAGTGCCTAGCGCTGCGTGGCGGCGTGGCGGCGTGGGCGGCAGGAAGCCGAGGCAGGCGTCGAGGACCAGGACCTACCCTCTCTCTCCCGCCGCCAGGGCAACGACACCTCCGCCACGACCGGCGCGTCGTCATAGTCGTGCAAAAGGGGTTTCGAGTACTGCCGGACGAGGCGCGCTCTCCGGGGTTCCAACCCGGGGAGAGAGGCTACGTGAGTAAGCAAGGCACACTCGGTCGAGGTCGAGCCAGAGCCGGCCGCAGAGCCGCCCGGAGAGCCCACGGAGCCCGAAGCTATATGGACCGGCCGCATCAGAGAGACATACAGGTTAGGTGAGATTATGTCGCGGGCAGCACGGCTCCCAACGGGAGTTTCTTGCCCCTCTAAAGGGGCATAGCCTTGATCCTGACGGATAGATGGCTGGACAGAAGGACCGCGACTACGGCGGCTGGCATCTACAACTGTCCTAAGTGGGAACACTTCTAAGACATCAAACGCCAAGAGCCGTGCTGGATCATTTCATGCGTCAAAATAACGTTCTCTGAAGGGGTTGCCATGAAAAAAAAATACCTTCAGCTTCATTTGCACCAGATTGCTTGCTGAGCTGTGCAACTTTCCTTATTTTCCTGACAGTCAATGTTTAGATTATCAAATTATTCCTTTCGCAATGTGGCAACCCTTAAACTGTAACTCAAACGGCCGTTTTGGTTGAAGGATACAAAGTCTTTCAAAGGGCGACAAGACGAGAGAATCTCGTTCCTTGTTAAGAGCTCTGAATGTCAAGTCAAAATTTTGTAGCAAGTGTCGCTGTTTCATTTTCTTGCGCAGTCTTTAAGGACCAATTTTCACGTAGAAAAGCACCCAATTATAGATCCTCGAGAGTAAGCAAGAACGGAGAAGTGCATTAGAATCACTTGTTTGAAAGAGGAGTGATCTGATCAATCCTAAGGGAAATCACGAAACAGTTCTACAGAATAGGTTGTGCGAGTCAACAGAAGAAGAAAAACGAATACTGAAAATAAAACAAGGATTGTAATAGAAATATAGGCAGAGAAGGAAGAATGGTTCGGTAGGAACACAGAAAGAAGCCACAGGAAAGAAATATTTAGCAAGGTGGCTGAAAAACAGCTTTTTAACCATTTTTTTTTAAATCATGTCGTAGAGCATGAGACATGAGAGGCTTTGGAATAAGTTTTACAATAGTCACGCTAAACGCAATCTTATATGGCCTAACATTCTGGTCTTTAGTTTGAATTTTTTTAATTGTGACAGTATTTTGTTGAATCTGAAATGTACGTCGAATTGATATTCAAGTTACAAGATAAAGTTTTTTTTTTTGGAAAAAAAAAATTTTCTTATGGCAGTACCTATAAAATCACGTTTAGCGAACAATACGCACCAAACAGAGGGAGTAGATAAAGAAATCGTTTAAATAAAGCACCCAATGAAGTTTCCACATAAAGTAACAGTTTATCCGTAATAGTCAAATAGACGATCAGTTTCTGACGGCATTGATTGGTATTCCAAGAATACACTAACATTCCTAAGAAGGTGAACCGGGTGCATTCTTTAAAATAATCAATCGCATTCGTTTTAATTTCAATTGGCTATGAACGCGCCCGTTTGAAACTTGACTCAACGCAATTCCCTTTCTAAGGTATGTAACGTCACGTTCCTGGTATAGCATTTTTTTTCCTACGGACGAAATAGAAGTTTAAAAATACTCCGTCTGAAGGTGGTTAAGGGCCACAACGTTAAGGAAAGGTGCAACCAAAAATTGGGCGGGCAGCTAAAACGGTGAACTTGCTCTGGAATTAATGTAAAGACTAAACATACCCCATAGCGGTATTCCACAGCCTGAAACGGAAGCTGTCAGGAAGAAACAAGTCGTCAGTCTCGATGTGTACATACAAACAACCAGGACCAACATGCGATTAAAAGGTTTGCAATAAGCATGCATGATCCTAAGTTCTTTAAAAGTTTCATATTCGTTTTGAAAGCATTTAGGATAGACCAACGTATTAAATATTTCGTCCTGTTTCCACAAAAAGGAGAAGAGGTAAAATTAGTGTTTTGAGAGACAAAACAGACAGCTTGGTTGGGGGTTAAACGACACAGACAGGTGATGGACATGAAAGGCGAACGTTATTCGAGTGAGCGTTAACTTAAATGACTACGAAGGTGCGTATCAAACTCACGCGAGGGGTGCACGGTGAAGGTGATGCCGCCCTCCCACTCCTCCTTGCCGGCGGCCCCGCCCTCGCCGTCCTCGTTCTCCATGATCACCTCGTCGATGTAGTCTGCGGGCATGCGCGTCAAGTGAGTGCATCTGCCAATCTGATGATGGCCAGCCCGGCCAGGCCTCATCGAGAGCCAGCCTTACCGTGCGAGAACTGCTTGGCTGACCCATTCTGTTGGATGCCAGGGAAGCTGACGTGGTTTTGCTTCCCGTCCTGGAACCGGGAGAGGGTGGTTAGTCTAAGCGAAGGAAATAAAAGAAACAAAGAAAAGGAGGGGGAAAGGCAAAATCTCGTGCGAGGGTCTGTAAGTCTAGAATGCTGGTATTTGGTTGCTTAGAGTGATGTTTCCCTTCAGGCACCACATGCATAATGGCCACACCGTCGCAGAATGAGAAGAGACAGAAATGTACAGTAGAAGAAAAAAAGAGAAAGTTTTCTTGTCTCGTCTCACCTTTAGAACCAAGCGCTTGCTGCTCACCTTGCCCAGGCGCTTGGAGCGCTTGTGGTGGTGCTTGCGCTCGTCCCCCACCAGCCTCCTGATGTGGTTCATGTGCATGCGGTAGTTGACTTCTTGAGTGGACAGGTCCCGGTCGTTAACGGCGTGCCGACTGTAGCTCAGGCGGCGGTGCTGTGGACACGGAACACGGTCTTGTGAGGGTTGACGCCGGAACGGCTGCGAATATGGGGGGCCAGAGCAAAAAGGGCCAGAGCAAAAAGGGCCAGAGCAGCAAGGGCCAGAGAAAAAGGAGAGGAAAAGAGAGAAAGGAGGGAGGGAGGCGAGCCACACACCGCTGGGGCGTTTGCAACACCCTTCAACACCCTTCAACACCCCCGGCACTTAGGTGCACTTTGCGTATTTCTCTCTCTTTCTCACTAATTTAACAGGAACATGTGTAAAAAAAGTTCATCATAAACTTGACGACTTTTTGAAACATATGTTTTAAAATAACCTCTTTATGTACTTATCATCATTATTTAAAAAGTAGTCGTGCCAACTTTGTTTGCAGTGCAAATACGCACGACTGGTGCACGCCTACAGTGCTCACGTGCCGGACACGTACGGACCTTGGAGGAGTACAGTGCGCTCTACAGATGGGCGCACTCGCTGAACCCAAGAGTAGGAAGAAGAAAGAAGAAAGAAAAGGAAAATGCCGAATGCGTGACGAGGCGCACCCGCTACGCAGCCCAACTACATCAAACAGCACCGACTGGTGGACTACGGCAAAATTTGGCGCAAAAAGAAAGGAAGCTGGACGCCTGGCGGCGGGCCGGGCCCGGCTGCCTACCTCTCGTCCTGACGTGTGCAGCTCGTCCCTGAAGCCCCGCTACGCAGAACCAAAATTTCAGGAAGGGTTAGTGCGGGCGCGGAAACGGGGTCGCGGAGCGTGACCCGACAAAATTTGGAAGGGGGCTGTGGTTTTCCAGGAAGTGGCCGTGAATTGGATTCGCGCGGGGGCAATCTGAGCGGCGACGAGGGCGGGGTAGGCATCGGTGGGGAGGGGGCCCAACTGTGGCCTCCCAGTGCCAGGCAAATGAGGAGGCGCGGCCGCTCGTCTGAATCCAGATTGGGGGTGGCTGGGCCCGGAAACGAGACATTTGTGTATTTCCGCCCCCCGGGAAGGGTGTCCACCCGACATCGGGATAGGCCGCCCGGCCGGGCACTCGGACACCAAAACCGCGAGGGGACACATGCCACGGGGGTGCGCGGGGGCACAAAGGCCGTGCGGGCCGCAGGAGCGACGCACGGCAACGACATCGCACGGACAAGTTGCCTGCAGTGCACTCACCCGGCGGTACGGCTTGCACAACTCCTCGGCCAGCAAGTGGTGGATCTTGGCGTCGGTCAGGTCCTTCTTGGAGGGGTTGTACTCGAGCTCCTGCATGTCGATGTTCCACGTCGACGAGTCCGCCTGGTTGAAGGAGGCGCTAGACAGAGCAGAGGGGGCGGGACCAGGGCCAGACCCGTGGCCGTACCCATGACGGTTAGGCCTTGGCCTTTCGTACGGCTGCAGCAGCGGCGCCAGGAGCGCGGCGGGCACCTCCACCACGGAGGCGGTGTCGTCGTCCTCCTCCGTGATGGTGACATCAGGTACTCTATACCACGGGGTTGTTGGGGTGAGGAGAGAGGCGGGGAGAAAGGAGAAGGAGAGGAGAAGGAGAGAGAGAGAGAAAAGAGACAGAACATTAAGCGATAATATGTGAGGAGAAGCTGCACGTGGCCAGTAGCAATAACGTGGCTGCGCGTAGACGTACTAGCCGGCGCCCTAGAGGCTTGCAGGTCTGGGGCCTGTGAGTTAGCAGGACCTCCTGAGGAACCTGCTCGAGAAGGTGTTCTCTATACTCTAATGAAGTGCACGGCAACTTACTGCTGCTTTGGTACTGAAAAGCTGAGAAAGGAATTTTAAGGAGTGGCAAAGGATAAAGGAAAAATCAAAATCCTTTACGAAATCCAATGAGAGTATCTCGAGGGGAAAACAACTTGCTATAGCCTCATTTTGCACTCTCCTGATTTAATTTCTTTGGATTGTATAAAGGAGGTTTAAATTGATTTGTATTCATTTTTTCACCTTAATTTGGAGTTGTTTCCCACTCATCTAATGTTGCTTAAATAGCCTAGGTTTACAGATCAGCAAATGTGCGAAGTCAATGATAGATGATCGATTGATTACAAAACAGTTTTCGACTGTCACTTGCACACTGATACGAATATGTACATATGGTTTCACGTCCTCTTGCCATACGTTTTAAACTTCAAGCATGGGTGTAAGTGCATGCAAACGAACATTGTACTCTATTCAATACTAAGATATATTCACAGACGTGCGAGGGTTCGCAGAGGTGCCCATGAGTGACAATGTGTTTACAAAATAAATGGTTACAGAAAATAAAAAGAGGCATGCTCAGAGTGGAGACAGGATGGGATTGAAATGGTATAGGAGTACCTGGGGTCCAAACATAGACGTACCCATCTCTCACTGACGCCAGGGGAAAGTGCAAGATGGATATGGTCACATGCCGTGCCTCACAAATAGAATAGATTCAGGAAGTTAAGTTCGGAAAACCAAGAGGAAACTTTGCAAAGTGCAACCCAAAAGACAGATCGAGTAGAGAAAATCGTCTGAAGAAGAGTTGGATAAGGAAAGTATTTGAAAATGATTGAAACCACAAAGGAAAAACCAAGTAAATGCAATATAGCCTCGATTGGGCGGGTTTCATATAAGATAACACGAAACAAGTTCAAATAATTCCAGCACACTCATGAGAGTACGTACCTGCCATTCAGGTTCAAATTGTTTGACGTATAATTTCTAAATATCGCAGACATGCTTTCAGTCCCAGATATGTTGCCCACGTTGGAGGCGTTCCTCTTCATTAGCTCCATGGCGTCCTTCATGGTTAGCTTCGAGAACGTCTCGAGGATCTTGGGCTCCGCCCCCTTGTAGTCCCGCAGGAGGTAAGGCCTGATGAACTTGTTATCAAACCTCTTGAACCTGTTGGCAACAGCACCAGTGTTAGGATACAATGCTGTAGCCGCAAGTTTGGTGATTTGCAACGATGGCGCCGTACTTGTCCCGCACGTGGTGGTTGCCGTGGTGGCCCAGGATGTCCTCGATGCCCGCCATGGTGTGGTCCATAAACTGCAAAAGAAGGGTCGATAGTCTTTGCGGCCCGCGAGCAATCAGGCGAAAATGGGGGTGCACTCACCCTCTCGTGGATCCTCTCGTTCATGGTGGGCTTCCGCTTCTCCGCCCGCTTCACGTTCAGTATCTTCACTAAGGGCTTGATGGTGATGCCCTGCAACAGCGCGCGGCGTGTCAACAACAAAGCAATCGCAGCGGTGGCCGTCAGTGTCAGTGACAGCGCCTGTACTGACCTGGAAGAAGACGGTGAAGTAGATGACGGCGATGGTGGTCGTCACGAACATGGGCTGCAGCTTGACGTGCGTCGGGTTGATAAGGAGCACCAACGCAAAGGCCACGGCGCCACGGAGACCGCCGTACGACATGACGAACTTCTCGACGCGGTCCAGCTTGTACAGGCGGAACGGGTTCACCAAGGCCGTCAGCACGATCACACCTGTGCATTCACGCGGGTTAGGTTTCAGTCGGCCACGGTGCATGTCGTGCTGCAGAGGAACAATTTCGTACTCACCGATAGACCGGAACACGGAGCAGAAGAAGATGGTGAGGATGACGAACCATGTATTCCAGTCGTGGTTCTTGTTGACGGTCGCCACACCCAGGAACATGAAGATGACCGTCTCCGAGGAGGACGACAGCATCTTCATGGCGTACTTGACAGTGGTGTGCGACTTGTGCGATATGTTGGCCTCCACGTAGTTCTTCATGGTGATGCCGCAGAACGTAATGCTGCGGGCCAAGGTGAAACGACAGGGCTCAGAAAGACGCCGACAGCAGACGCCCCGGTAAGACTCTCATTTCCACTTACGCCATGATGCCGCTGAGGTGGAAGATCTCCGCGTTGAGGTAGCACAAGTAGGCCATGACGAAGATGAAGATGGGCTCGATGACGCGCACCTGGTGCGTGAAGCGCGTCACCAGCCCCGTGGCGAAGCCCCAGATGATGCCGATGACCGTGCCGCCCAGCGCCACCACGAAGAAGGACGCGAAGCCCGCCAGCAGGTCCGTCGCCAGGATGTTGCTGGGGCCCATCTCCGTGTACGACTCGAACATGTGGTACAGCACCTGCAGCAGGTTAAGTGTGAGAGCAGGACAAGCCGTGGAGGGCAGCCACTTCACGCTTCGCCATCAGCGCACTGAGCACGTAGAGCACACACAGTTTAAGGACCCTAGAAACACGGGGGCAGCGCCGTGTGCGTTGCCCGGCCGCCACGCACGTTCGTGTGACGGGCCCGACAGGCGCCGCGCTGAGCGGCCTGAGACTCGGCCCGAGACGCCGCGGCGATGGAAATTTTCCTCATCGACAATCGACGGCCGGCTCGGTCTCGGTAGTCAACACGCCAGCGCGCGCCAGCGTGACCTTTCGGCTCACCCCGTCCGCCAGCTCCGCCAGCCAAGACCCCGCCCTCGACAAAAGAGGCCATTTATTCGCACCCCTCGAAAGCCGGGCTAGGCCGGCCCGAGGCGGCCCTGGCAGGGCGTGGTTGGCGGCGAGGGTCATCACATCTCGGCCACCACGCAGGTGACCTGATACACGCCCCTCCTCCCCGCCATCGAAAATGAGATTTTAAAACATTGGCAGAGCCGAGCCCGATGGCGCTGACGGCACTGATGGCGCCGATGGCGCGGGGCGGAGAAGACGAGCCGCCGAAAACTGGCTAAGTGGATTCAGTCTTCATCTGCTGCGAGCGGACGACACGGACGGTCTCTCCCTCAGCGTTCTCTCGCTCTTTCCCGTTCGCTCCACCCCCTTCGCTGCCCCTCCTCGGGCGATGCCCCAAGTTTGACGTGAGGCGCCAAGCGACGTCCGCGTTTTCCCCCAGCAGCGGCGACGGAACTGTCCGTCTCTATCTCTGCCTCCGTCTCTGCCTCCGTCTCTGTCTCTGTCTCTGCCTCCGTCTCTGTCTTTGTCCTGAATCTGCCTCTGTCTGTGCCTCTGTCTCTGTCTCTGCCTCCGTCTCTGTCTTTGTCCTGTCTCTGTATCTGCCCCTGTCTCTCTCTCATCCTTCCGGTGACTCACCACAGTGACGGCGTCGTTGAGCAGGGACTCGCCGAACACGACGATGTAGAGGATCTCGTTGACGTGGATCTCCTCGAAGACGGCGAGCACGGCGACGGGGTCCACGGCCGAGATGAGCGCCGAGAAGAGGAACATGTCCAGCAGTGGCGTGTCGCAGCCGAAGAGCCCCGTCTGGCCCACGGCCCACAGCGAGGCACCTGCGGAGCAAAGGGTGAGTTAATCCGAGTGAGAGAGAGAGAGGAGAGAGGGGGGGGAGAGGAAGGACGGCGCGGACAGCGAACCCTGGCGACCCTGGGCCGCCCTGGGCGGGAAGCCTCTCGCCCTGCGAACCAAAGCGAAATAAAACCGGCGGGGCGAAATAATCAGAGATGGGGAAAGGGCGGCCCGGCCGATAAGCAAGCGGCATGCGCCGTTCGCTGCCGAGGCCCAGGGCTCTGGGTTCTGGGCGCAGTGCGCCCGGCGCACGTGGCCGGCGCGGCGGCGCGTTGCGCGGCTCTGCGCGTCACACATGCCGCGGAGGCGGAAAGACAACCCAGGGAACGATGCAAAGAGATTTCACCTGAGCAAACAAGCGTGGAGAGGCGGGAGAGCGGAGAGGGGCTGTGGGTGGACGATTCCAGTCTGTGATCCCGACCCCTCTCAGCGGGGCGCCCCAGGGCGAGGGCGCCGCCGGGCTGCGGCCGCCGACCCCCGCAGCCCGCATGGCCCGCAGCCCACACTCGCGCCCCGCCACCCCTCCTCCGCCCCGCCCCCAGGCCGTCGCACCGACACCCCCAGGGCCCCAGGCGACCGCTCACCCCGCCTGCGCCAAGCTGAGCCTGCAGGGTGGCCCTAGGGTGCGTGAGCCGGCCCAGCGCCTGCAACGCCCAGCCCAACAACCCCGTTTTCGTGACGTCATGCAGTCTCAGGCTGGCTTTGCTTTAGAATGCGAGAGCGGCACGCGTCCCCGCTGTCTCGTTCGGCAAGTCGCTGAGTCGTTGTACAGTGAACAGGGCGAGGGCAGGGCGTCCTGGTGAAACCCATTTCGCAGAGTGGCCGGCCCAGCCCCGTGCCGAAAGTGACGGAGTGCTTTACATCGACTCCAGCGTGCTTTCCTGATCATGCCCCTGCGCCCTCCAAACCTAACCTAACCTAACCTTACCTTACCTAACCTAACAGTATTACTCCAATGCCAAACCCGCCCCCACCGGTTGGCCCGGACGAGGATTCCCTCGAACCGCCCCTCCGCCGTCACGCTAGCCTTGACGATGACGCACCGTCGCGGGCACGCCGAGCGCCGCCGCAACCAGTTCGCGGCCGGTCCGCGCCACGCCGCGCCGCCGCACCCTGGCCGCGCGCCCGGTAGGACGCCAAGCAAGGCTGAAAGCAAGGCGTGGCGAGGCGGGCCTTCGCCTGCCACCACCATGACTCGTCACCATGCCGGCGGTGGCCTGGCGCCCCAGCAGGGTTCTCCGCACGGCATCACGTCACTCTGTCTCTCTACCACCTCCTGCGGGGCGGCCCTTGAAGGCGAGACAGAGGGAGAGACGACGTCGCCGTTCGGAATCAGTCTGCAGGCCGGACCTGCCGGCCGGTGGCGCGGCGGCGCGGCGGCGGTGTCGACAGGGTGCATTAGCGCGGCGGCGGGGGTCTCGGGTCTCGGCCTCCGGGCGGCGTCGTTTGCTTGGCGGCCGCGGGGCAGCGCCACGGCCAGCGCCACGACCAGCGGGGGCCAGACCCGCAATACTGCCGTGATAATCGATTGTACTGCCATTAATGGGTGCACTCGGCCCGACTCGGCGCGCACAGCAGCAGCCACTTGCACACTCTAAACGGGAGGGGGGTGTCCTCGGAGTCACGTGCTAATCGACTGTCACCGAACGGACGGGTATATAGACACAACGTTGTGTGCGTGCGTGCGTGCGTTTGTGTGTGAGTGTGTGCGAGTGTGTGTGAGTGTGTGTGAGTGTGGGTGTGTGTAGGTGTGTGTATGTGTGACCGGGTTTCTCGTCGATAATGCGGGAGCCAACAAAAGCCCGTCCCTAAATGACGGAGCCAACGTAAAGGTCAAACGGGGCTACGCCCCGAAAATTGGTTCCGTCGCGTACGTCGCTCTGGTTTCCACGCGGTGGCGGTGCCGGCCTCGGTGCCGGCGGTAACGGCGGTGACCGGAGGGACGGCGTCAGTGTGAGGGGCGGTGCCCGGAGGCGACCGGAGGCGACCGGAGGAAAAGGAGGCCGGTAAGGTCCAATCGGAGAGTCGGAGCGGCCTGGCGGGCCTGGCGGGCGGCGGGCCTGCCCTGCCAGGCCCTGCAGCACTGGGACCCCGACGCGGGCGAGTACTCACTCACCCCTTCGATCGGGCCGCAGTGGGGGCCGGGCGGGGCCGGGCGGGGCCGGGCGGGGCCGGGCGGGGCCGGGCGGGGCCGGGCGGGGCCGGGCGGGGCCGGGCTGGGCCTGGGGCGCTCGAGAGGCTCGCGACAAGCGGGACGAGTGGGGCGCGTAGCAGAGGGCGAGGCAGACGGGGGCTGCACCCGTCGTCAACAAGGGAAATGGGCCAGCGCGCCAGCGGCAAATGTCTTTGCGTTCGCGGAACTTCAATCAATTTAGTGGCCACAAATTGCTTGGTAAAGTCCCGGAAATTTGGGTCTGATGTTGCCGGAACCGCCGCTGCCAGACGCCAATCCCGGGCATCTTGCGCCTTGGCGCGCTCCAGCCAGGAAGCCAGGCACAGCCCAGGCAGCCGTGCATTCCAATCGAACGCCCACGGAGAACTCCGCCCGGCAGCCTCCCGTGCGCGCTCAGCTCGAGACTCGAGGAGCTCGGGAGGGTCTTCTGCCTCTCGCGGGCCTCTCGGCGCCTCTCGGGCTGCATCATTAACCGGATTACAGTTTGAAGGAACGTCACTGTGCGCTAGGCCAGGCTAGGCGGTCGGGTCCCCGAAAATCGAATTTCACCGTGAAAAGGAGACGGCGGCGCTGCATTACGCCCCACAAAGGCAAAAGCGCTTTTCTGCTGCTAACTAAGTCCCCTCGAGGTCCCCCTTCCCCAGGCAGTGGCTGAGTGGCTTCTCTGAATGCGCGTCCAGCTCGGCCTCGCCGATCACTTCGCCCATTCAGCTACCTCGGCCGACAAAGGCACGCCAACCACCCCGGCCACGCCGACCGCCCCGGTCGCCCCGGCCACCACGGGGATTTCCGCGGTCGCATGTTTCGACGGCGGGGTGCACGGCGCGGCCGCCACCGCGGTCAGCGTGGCGAGAGTCACCGCGTCCACCACGCCAGCACATCAAGTTGCATCGTTGGGCGCGGGGCGGCGCGGGGCGTGGTGGGGCCGTGCTGCGGTTGCGGCCACTCTACCCCAGCGCCCCGACGCGCGCCACCGCCGCCGCGCCTGCAAGGGTAACGCCGCGACGGAAGCTGCGGGGAAATTCATCTCCTCTCCTTCTCCCCCACCCCACCGTGTCCCGTTGTCGCCTGGACCGGCGGGGAGGACTCGCCGCCGCGCGGCGCCGCGCCCCAGTTTGCTTGCTTCCAACGAAGCAGCAGCAGCATCCCGCCCGCCAGCCCACAGCAGACGGATTCCGAGCGCGTCTCTCTCTCTCTCTCTCTCTCTCTCTCTCTCTCTCTCTCTCTCTCTCTCTCTCTCTCTCTCTGATACACACACAGAGCTTGCCGTATGGCCGAGTGAGAGAGAGAGAGAGCGACGCAATCGGCCTGCTGGTCTGCTGCGCCAGCGCCCCGATAACTCATCACACTCGGCCGTGCAAATAGCCCAGGGCTGCTGCTCTGCCGCTGCCGGTCCGGCACCTCCGTCCGACGAGAGCACGCCGGCGACCCTCGAATGGTCCAAAACTTCTGCCGCACAGCACAGACCAATTTCCGATAATAAGTTCTTCATCGCTCTATCTTTCTCGCACCCATGAGGGATGCCACCCATCTGTGTGAGAGGCAGACAGCCCTCGCTGTTCAAATCGGAATCCGTTTGTGACGCGCGCTTCGAAAGTTCAGATCCGTACATGTGTCGCGGAATGATTGTTTGTCCCCCGCCACCCGCACCCCATTGGTTTTAGTTGGAGAGAGAGAGAGAGAGAGAGAGAGAGAGGAGAGAGAGAGAGAGAGGGGGGGGGGGTCTGAAGGCTCCCAGAGAACGGCAAGGCGCCTTGGCGGAAATAGCGGCAGCGGCTGCAGCGGTGGTGGCGGTGGCACACCCTCCCCGATGACGTCACGCGCGTCGCCGCCACCGCCACGCGCGGCGCGAGGACGCGGACGCACACAGTGCGATATCGGAAGACTCCAGCAGGGACGAGGCGGCAAAGTTTTGCCCGTCGCTCCATGGCGGTTCGACGCCCCACACGAATGTGGCCCTGCCCCGCGCTCGACGCGGCAAGGGCGTGAGAAGTCGGCCCGGGGCCAAGAATGTGTTAGGGCCGGGAGCGTACAGTAGAGCCAGGCCATTACCTCGCGTCTGCATTTGACACGCGGCCGGTGGGTTGTGCTCTGCAGGGAGTGTCCCCCTTGCCGGACACAAAGAAACCCATTCCTAAGAAAGAAAAGACCGAAGTCTCAGGGGAGCGTCGGACCGAACCAGCAGGACTCGGTTTCAGGGCGCGAGATCCAGATGATTACCGACTCAGGAAATCAGCGAATTATCTTTTTCCCAAAAAACAGGCGCCGAGCAGTAAGCTGATTAAGGACCCGCGGGTTGTGAATCTGGGGCGCCGATCCACGCCGAGGACGGTCAACGGCGGGAATCGCTCTTATCTTCGGCGTTCCGGTCCGAACAAAACGTCAATTCCAGCACGGCGAGACGCTCCGGCCCCCGCCTCTTGCTCCGGGAGACGGAACGCGCAAAAACAAACAATCAAACGGGCAAACAAACACGCGCTCACACACAGGCACGGACACACGCAGACACACGTACCGATGGTGAGGGTGTTGAAGATGGTGCCCACGACGGCGTACCACAGGATGGTGCCGAGGTGGTCGAAGAAGAGCCGGTTGGGCATGAAGTAGCCCGCGTCCAGGATGATGGGCGGCAGCATGTAGAGGAAGAAGGTGTCGGGCGTGAGGGGCGACACGTGCAGCTTGTCGGTGAGGAAGAGCAGGATGCCGATGGCCACGCCCACGGCGATCAGCAGGCACGACTCCGGGAACATCTTGCTCAGCGACGGCGCCATGTGGAAGCCTGCGGAACGGAAAGAAAAGGATCATTTTATTTGCGTGGCAGGCGGCGATGTGGGGCACGACGGACGGCGCGACGGCGGCCCGGGGCGGACGGGGAGGGGCAGAGGTCGTCGGTGTGAGGGTGGGGCGGTGAGCGGCGGCCTCCGCGCGGGTTGGGAACGCCTCGGAACGAATCGGATGCCTCCCTGCCCGCATACCACCCGTCCGACGGGAAAGAGTTATTAAAAAAATTGTTTGCTCTGGAGAGGGCAATACGCGGTGGAATTATCCAGCATCCTGGCTTCATCCTCGCTTTCAAAATCACTCTCTCAGTCGATCGACGCTTTCATTTTGCCACCGAGTGAAGAACAAATGCAAGCAGAAACAACCATCGGTCGTCCGTTGCTGGGGACCAATCAGGGTTCCGCTTTTCACAGTTGATTACAGTCGGCCGCTAGGTGGCGCGCTGTTGGTTGCCGACTTTTTGATTCCTTTTGCTCATCACTCGGTGACGACTGAATGGGTCTGGTACGAATCACTGTGGAACATTATTGCACCGCCACCCCTCCTCGTGTCTTCGGGCTGTATTGCGAATCGCCAGGGACGTCGTCCAATCAAGCTGACCCACTCTGAGAGGCGCCACGGGGGGTGTGCCGTGCCGTGTCGTGTCGTGCCGCGCCGTGCCGTGTCGTGTCGTGCCGCGCCGCGCCATGCCGTGTCGTGCCGTGCGCCCGGGACGCGGCAGTGCCCGCGGCCAAGACTGTACACACCACCGTGCACCACCGACAACGCGGGCACTTCAATCATAATGTGCACAGCACAGCCAGGCATGGGCGAGGGTAGGGCTCTGGCTTTTGCCCGGGCACCTGGGTTACCCGGTTACCCGCCCGCCCGGGTTGGACCGGGTCCGCGGGTAGACCCGGTGACCCGGGCCGGGTCTGCGGGTTTGCGCGGAGCCTTGGATCCACCGCCCTGGCAGTAGGCAACACGGCTCACTGGAGCGCACTGCGTGTTGCCTACCGCCAGGGCGATTGCGATTGCGATTAATGCCTGGACCACAAGTGATCGTCTGGCTTTCGGGCCCGCCCGGTCATGTCGGTGATACACCAGCACGTGACGGGGCGTCCCTACTGAGAGGAGTGGTTTTCTCGGTAGACCGGGTACATACGCCCACGCATGGTGGACCCAAGGCTCCGGGTAAACCCGCAGACCTGGGACCCGGGTCCACGGGTTTACCCGCATACCCGGGTATTCGGGTCAACCCGCGAACCCGGGTCTTACCCGGGCGACCCGGGTACCCGCGCGGTCCGGGTTTTTAAGAGCTCTAAGCGAGGGACAAAACAACCTCTGCACGGCCGCTCCGAACATCCCCCCACCTTCCCCAACCGTTCCTTTCGCACACGTGCTGATACCGCCTTCTGGAAGTAACGGCCGTTCGATTCCCGCCACCGGAATGGCCTCTGCACTGCTGCACTTTGGGGGGGGGGGGGTCAGCTTGGCGGGGTGAGTGGAGGCGGGGCCCAAGCTTGCCGACTGCTGAGGGGCGCTGAGGCGTCGGCGGCGCGTGCCGGACCGACCACCACGGCTAAGATGGGGCCGGCCGGGAACAAGGCCGGGATGGATCCATATTCGGCGGGATTTGGGAGCGAGCAGGCGGAGCAAGGGCGTGTGGACCAGGCGCAACCAGGGGGCAGGCCGGCCAGGCGGTCGGGCGGGACGCGTGTGCGACCCCCCACCATCCCCTGAAAACGTTCGCCAGCGGGCTCCCTCCCCTCTTCCCATCCTAATCTCATCTGTTCGATAGTTGTTCCTGCCGCCCCTCGCCGGGCCGCCCTGCCACGCGCTGCCTGGCCCGGCCTGGCCCGGCCTGCAGCAATCTAAATGACTAATTCAGGACGTCGGACACGAAAAGCCGCTCATGGCACCACGTCTCTCTCTGTCTGCCTGTCTCTGCTGTCCGCCAGTGCGCTGCAGTGCTCGCTCACGGCCCGCCCGTCAAATGCCAGGCAATGCTAGGCCTCGGCCACTCTCCGGCCGGTCGGTCGGGTCTGTTGTTTGGAACGTGCCGGAGTGGCCGGAGACCCCCTCCCCTCCCCCTCCTCCATGCCGCGGTTGGTTATTTTTAATGGTGCGGGGCCGCGAGTTCGGCGGCGGGGCGGCGGATCAGCGCCGCATCCCGGCCAATCCCTGCCTGGCCCCGCCGCCAGCCCCGCTGCCGCTCGCTCCGCAGCAGACCGATTTCGAGAGTCTTTTTCGTCGCTGTTTCCCTCGACGAGATGGAGCGACGAAAACGACGCTCGAAATAAGCCTGCCGGTGGAGTGGCCGAGGCCGAAGGTATGGCCAAAGGAACTCTGGCGGGGCCCAGGAGGGCTGCAGGGTTGCATAGGGCCGCAGGGCTGCAGGGCGGCAGGTGGAAGGGGCGGGGAGCCGACGCCGCAGCCGCCCTTGCGACCCAGGCCTGCCCAGGCCAGGCCTCCCCCAGCCAGCCGACCGGCCCGGGAATCTGGAGCATCACGAGGGGCATGACTTGACTGCCCTCGTCGCTCTGCCTCTCTCGCACCTATACGGGACGCTCCATGAGTGCGAGGGAGACAGGGCGACGGAAACGACGCTCAGAATCAGTCTTCTGAAGGCTCATTCCAAAAAGAGCTCCGTCACTCTCTTCCTCCCTCACGCCGGTACGGAAGGAGAGGCAACAGGACTATGCAGCGTGCCTCACGCGCTTCGGCTGCTGTCGCCGTGCGGCAGTGTATGGCGACTGGCGACGCGCGTGGACACTACAGTAGCGCAGGTGGGCTGCCTCAGGGCAGAGAGACACAGACAGACAGACAGACAGACAGACAGACAGACAGACAGACAGACAGACAGACAGACAGACAGACAGACAGTGAAAGGAGTGGGACGCGCGTCGGCGCTCTCTTTTGTGCGCAGTCCTGCCTAGCTGGCACATCCATGAACCAACCGCGCGCGAATTCATGCGATGCAAACAAAAGGTGAACAGAAAATGGTACGCTGTCCCTCATGGACATTCAATATCTCCCTCGTTTTCCGCGCTGCCTTTTCCTGCTCGCCGAATTCGGGCGTGGCACAAACGGGAACAAAGCAGAGTGCAGAAAAAAGACACGTACGCGGAACGCTGCAGACCAGAGCGGTCAGTTTGATGGTGGTGCTGTTCCACTCTCCGTCTCTCGTTTTGCCAAATCCTGCATCGCGCGACGAGAACTTTTAATGAAATCGGCTTTCCAAGCAGCATTATTCCGTTTGCTCTCAGCTCTCAGAGCTGTGATTGAAACACTGCATACGTGAGTCCGTCGTTCTTTGCAAGTCGTTTTTCGCTAAGAGGGAACGAAACGCAAGAAAATGGGGCGCTCTGTTCACCGCTTCGACGCTCGCTTCGACGCCACTCTTTGAGCGGCGGTGAGGTGAGGTCAGGTAGGTTAGGTTAGGTTGCTTCAGGGACGTGCGTTGGCCGACTGGTTGGGTCCCGTCCACCAGCCTTGCCTTGGCTCCTCGCCATCGAGTATACACACCGCTGTTTGCACGGGGTTGTTCAGTTTGGTCGCCTCGTTTCGTGGCGTGCTGGGGGTGGGGCGGAGTGGGGGTGAGGCGATAGTGGGCTTGATAAGGAGGTCTGCAAATGACGGGGGAAAGGGGGCGAGGCAGGCGAGGCAGGCCCGGCAGGCGAGGCGGCCAGGTGGAGTGTTGTCTGTAGAAAAGGCGCCACTGGAGAGGCTGGGGCTGGAGTGGAGAGGCACGGAGACTGCGGACGAGCGCGCTCCGAGCTGCGTTACGTCGTGATCCGCGTTCTTCGCGCGCGCCTTGCGCCACCTGCTGCCGGTGGGCAGCACGCGGCCGGCCGGCACGCGGCACGGGCACCCCGCTGCGCCCCGAGGCGTCGACGGCCATGGTCATTGTCACGCCGCAATCAAACCGGCCAAGGCCACGCAAGGCCAGGCAAGGCCAGGCAAGGCCGCCCCTCCGGCGCTTACCGCTCTGCCGCTCCCGGCGGCGTGTTAGCATTAACGCGCCTTTGTGCCGCGTCGCCGCGTCGCCGCGTCGCCGCGTCGCCGCGTAGCCGCGTAGCCCGACCCGCGAGGCCAGGCGAGGCCCGCAGCCTGCTTGGCGTGGCTGGCGCCTCGGGCACTCAGGCTTTCAGTTGGCAGCGCCTTAGAGTGGGACGAGGGCTGTACCAGCCTCGGTACGAGCAGTCTCGGCAGAGTCCCGGCAGCCAGCCGGCCCACAACACGGCGCGGCATGGCAAGGCGCACCTTGGCCTCCGCTCCGCAGGCCCAGACCCAGTCAGCACGGTGCCAGTTCGGAAAATAGCCCAGCCGCCGTGGTCTCGGTGGTCCCGACGGTCTCGGCCAGCCGGCCGCCTCCGCGTCACTCCGCACGGGTACACACGTACACACGCCCGAATCCGGCGGCCACCAGTTTGCAACACCTTCCCCGTCGCCGCGCCGCCGCGAGCAGGGTCGCGAGGCCGCGCGGCGGGGCGGGCGCGCCGACCACAAGGAGGCCGTCGGCATGCCGTCGCCGCGGTGGCCATCTCGCGAGAAAATTACCGTGCCACCATGGAGCCTTGTGTTGACCATGCGACTACGAATCGATATCCTTCGGGGCCGCCACACCCCTCCCGCGCCCACCCCCGCCCCCAGCCCGCGCTCTTCCCCAGCCCGGCCCGGCGGCGGGTTGAAACGCTTGAAACCCAGACGCCGCCGTCCTCGCCGCCCTCGCCGGCGCCCAGGGACTCGCGGGTGCAGCGGGCAGGGCGCGGCAGGGCACGCCCCATGAATACGCAAAGCGGCGCCAAGCGGCGCCAAGCGGCGCCAAGCGACGCCAAGCGGCCCCGGGTGCACTGCATCGGCAGCAGCCGGCTGGGCAGAGCGGCAAAGCGCAAACAGTCCAATAGGGATTTGCTAATTGGCGCGCAATCAATTCTGCGGGTGCGGGACACGCCGCCGCGTCCCGCCCCGTCCCGCCGCCGCGACCACGGGCTGGAGGCGGTGTTGATGGCGGTGGAAGAAGAGGAGGCCGGGAAGGCGGGGCGCCGGGCGGCGGGCAAGGCGGGGCAAGGCGCACGCAGAGAGGCGGTTTGCAGTGGTATCGACCTTCGCGCCTTCGCCTTGCTTCGCCTTCGCTTCCCTTCGGCTGATGGACGCAGGCCGGTCCATTCCCACGACGCCGTCGTTGCGTGTTGCCGGGGAAGACGAGACGGAGGCGTCCGTCCCTTGCGAGAATCGAACCCGAGACCTTGCGCTTCCCAGACGAGCTCGGAGACTTCGCACGTGCTGACCGCCCCCCGGTTCGGCCCGGTCGTCGACCCCGCCCCCGCCGCACCGCGGCATCCTCTATGCATGAGCTGTGCACACTTCGTCCGCCGCTGTCGGCTTGACGCGGCGGCTTGACGCGGAGGAGGGCACTCGGACTCGAACCGCCAGGCCACCCCGCCTCCCTCCACCCGCCCCGCCCCGCCCCGCCCAAGCCAGGACTGAGTCCAGGACCGAAATAGGGGCCATTGTGTCACCGGCACGTCATGGCGGCTCCACCCGGCTCTGCCTGCCGTCGCGCAGCCCTTGGGTGAGTTCCTGTTGATGACGTGCTGCTCTAACGCCTCGGAGCGAGTGTTCTGACACCCCTCCACGCGCCACCAGTGACAGATTTGGGCACATCCATGCCATCGCTGTCTCTCGCGATAAGGGAAGTTGCCAAAATTGTGGGTCCTTTTGTGTCTTTGGGCTACAGTTTCCTTATTTTTCGACGTATCGACCTGCGGTTTGATTCCTATGACTGGGCTTCATCTCCCCTGCTATCCCACACACTAACCGAGCATGCAGTTCACGCATTTCCCTGTCAAAACAGGCTAAAACTGGGCAAAATGTAACTTCCGTGCTGTCCATTGTCCAAAAAGTCCGTGTTGCAAGGTGAAAATCTCCTGAACTATTTGTCGGAGAGCAAATCCGCGAACAGCCTTTTGTTCCGTTGGCAACCCTTTATGACACCCTTGGATAGCAATTTCTTCCTGTGACTCTCACCTCCTGCTTTATTGGATGAAAAAATGTCCACCGTGTACTGGTTTTCAAACATCGTCAGCTTTAGTTTCGCGCCTCAGCGCCGAACCTGTAGCGGGAAAAGTTCGGCTCAACGTTCAGAATCAGCAGCACGGTTTCCTCTTTCCAGCGCGGTAGGTGGATTTTCGCTGGAGGGCTCCATTCCGGCTGGCTAGACCATCGAAGGTAAAAATCCGGCATGTGTCAGGTTTGTGTGTAACATTCCGTGTCATCAATAGCGAGCTTGCTACTCGACCTATCGACTTCGGTCCACCTGGCCATTTTGCGCTTTCACGTCTTTTAAACCTTAGGCAAGACACCTGTTCGATTTGGTGAACGGGTTGGTTCGTTTTCGCGGTTTGTTTGATGATGTAACTTCCGTGCCATGTACATTTTCGGTAACTTCCGTGCCATTCCCCCATGTAAAGTATAGGGGAAAAATCGAAGTGCGAGAAAATCCTGGTCTCCTTCGGAAATGCGTTTAGAATGACCCCTAGAATACAGGAAAAATATTTAAAAAAATCTAGAACGAGATATTATTTTCATTTTTTTAGGAGCCAAAAGGACCCACAATTTTGGCAACTTCCCATAACGAGGCGTCCCGCGGCGGAGCGAGAGAGCGAGACAGAGCGACGAAACGCTGTGCGACATTATCTCCTGCCGCCAGGCGGCCGGCCGCCATTCACAGTCGCGAGTTGCGTGTTCGCGTGCGCCGTACGCGCCGTGTTGTGTCTGCGTGCGTGGCGCGTGGCGTGGTGTGTGTGTGCATGCACGTGCTGGCGGTGCCATTGAGAGAGGCCGCCGGCTATTTCCACCGCGCCGCGCGCACTTTCTTGGCTCCGATTTAGACCGGCGGAAAGGGAGGGGGGGGGGCAACAACGCCACGCGGCCCGCCACCGCCGGGGCGCCCTGGCGTGTGGAGACACGTGGGGCGTGGGTCCCTCGGGGGGCCCGGTTGGGACAGGGGGCGCAGCGGGGGTGGCATGTAGCATAGTCTCTGTGGTGAAAGTGGGACACCGGAAAGCGCGCTAGACGGGGTGGGGTGTGGGTCTGGGATGCACCCGGCAGCCAAACTCCCGCCAGGGCCAAGCCTTGGGCGATCCTCGTGGTGCTCCGCGCTCCGCCGGCCCGTCGCTCCGCCCCGCCGGCTTGGTACTTATCGACGTAACTGCGAAAGTCTTTGACTGCGCTGCATGCCGCCCGAGGGGGCTGGCCTGGCGAGGCCTGGCGAGGCCTGACCCCCTGGCCTGGCGTGCCTGCTCCCCTGTGCCGACTGCCGGCACGCACCAGCGCCCAAGCCCAGGGCTTGTCTGGGGTGGGCCGGGCCGAGGCCGGGCCTCGCGCACCCTTGGCATCCCAGACGCCGATCGCCCCACGTCATGCCTCAGTCATGGCCGGCAAGGGCAACCGCAACGGGAAATCGTTGGCGGCAGATCGATCGATGGCCGATGACCGGGCCTGGATGGGCCTGGATGGGCCTGGACGGGCCTGGATGAGCCTGGATGGGCCTGGACGGGCCTGGATGGGCCTGGATGGGCCTGGACGACCTGGACGGGCCTGGACGGGCCTGGATGGGCCTGGATGGGCCTGGACGGGCCTGGATGGGCCTGGATGGGCCTGGATGGGCCTGGACGACCTGGACGGGCCTGGACGGGCCTGGACGGGCCTGGATGGGCCTGGATGGGCCTGGACGACCTGGACGGGCCTGGATGGGCCTGGATGAGTCTGCAGGTGGATTCAGCACAGTGCATCGAACTGGCTACTGTCTCTCTCGCACTCTTGCGGCAAACCCCATAAGTGCGAGAGAGAGAGACCTTCCACTCGGAATCCGCCAGCTGGATGGGCCTCGATCGCACTGCAGTCTCTCGAGTCTCTGCACACTCTCAGGAAAACGTCCGTGATCTCTTACGGAACGAACAGTAAAAGCATTACAGAGGGTCCGTTCCCCAAAATAACCGAAATGATCCGTAAAAATAACTGAAAAAACGGTCCCAGGCGGGTCCCAACCCAACACGGTCCCTTCGGGTCCCACAGCGTCCCGGCTCGGTCTTGACCCTGTTCCTCTCGTATTCGTGGGGCGTCCTCTGCCTGTAGGTCGGGTGAGGGTGCGAGAGAGTCAGAGCGACGAGGCGCTGAGCCGCGCTGAGCGGAGTAAGCAGTTTCGGGCCTGCAGTGCCGTCTCTATGGGCGGCAAGACGGTAGTGCGCCCCAGCTGGAGCCCCGCAGCGGGATGGCGCGCCGTGGCGCCCACGCGGCCTTATCAAATCTGCAGCGCGGAGCCACGTGGAGCAAACAAGAAGCGACACCCGAAGCGACACCCCAAGGCGGCAGCGCGGCAGGGTGCCACGCGACGGTCGGGTCAGGCCAGTGAGGCGCCGTGCCGGCCGTGCCGGCCGTGCCCCGACAGTGTCGAACCACGCCCACGTGCCAGCGTGTCAGCGGGCCAGCGCCGCGGCAACGCTGCCCAACCGAACTAAAATATTTAAATTCCTGTCTGTGCTGGCGTTCCTTCCACCCCACACTGGGAGGGGACCCCCGACCAGCCCCCCGGCAGGGCCAACCATTGGCCCCATGATGAGGAGACAGGGCAGGGCTGAAGCCCGGAATCAGGGCAGGCCCAGGGCAGACCGGGGGCCGAGGCTGGCCTTGACGTCGGCGCACGCAGGCACGTGACACGCCGAGTCGGCCATCCGGGCAAGGCGGGCAAGGCGGGCAAGGCGGGCGGGGCAGGCGGGGCGGGCGGGGCGGGCGGGGCGGGCGGGGCGGGCGGGGCGGGTGAGGCGGGCGAGGTGGTCTGGGGCGGAGAGCCGCCCCTCTGGAGGACCCCTGTGTTATGCCGCACGGACACAAGTGGCTTTGTTTCGGATTCCCGGCCAGAAGCGGCCGGAGGCAGAGAAGCGGGGACTGAGGAGGAGGGGGAGCGAATGGCAGAAGCCAACAGCAGGCCATGACCAGCCCGGCCAGGCCCGGCCCGCTGTGCCGGCTGAACGAATAAAACAAAAAGCCATCAGTTTTACTCCAGCAGGGCTGAAGCCCCGCCCGCCCCTGCAAGCCCCCTCCCCTCTCCTCTCCGTCTGCCACAAGCCTGCCGGAGGGAGGTCGATCATAAGGCCCGCCCCACCTACTGCCCTTTTCAGCCGGAGGAGCGAAATAGGTGACAAGACGCCGGGCGGCGCGTCACCGTGCCTGATTGGCTGCCTCTTGTCTCGGACGCGACGGTGGCTGCGTGGCGCTGCGTGGCAGCCGAGCCCGGCCCGACACGGCGAGGCGAGGCCGAGAGTTTGCCTTCCCTTATTCTCTTCCCCCAATAATTTGATTACGGGCCGTCGCCGGCGGAAGCGCATCGGCCCGCTCCGTGATAGCAAGGGGACTCGAAGATGGCAGGGAGCCGCATCAGGCTGTATCGGGCGGGAGGAGAGGAGAGGGGAGGAGAGGGAGGGAGGGAGGGAGGGAGGGAGGGAGGGAACGCGTTCGTCCTCCCAGTTTCCCGATGCACACGAACGTCCAAATTTAGATGCGATGGCCGGTGTCCCGAAACCAAACCCCAACCAGCCCCTTCTCCACTTGCACGGCGCATGGTTGAGAGCTTTCGTCACTCCTGCGTTTTAATCCGAACCACTGGGCGAAGCGCGCGATCGGCCTGGGGCCTGCACTGGAGTGCTACTCACCTATCTTGGCGAGGCTGGCGCAGAAGATCCACAGCCCGATGAGGAAGGGGGTCTCGACGCGTTCAAACTCGACGGAGGCGATGGTGTAGCGTCGGATGGGTGGTCTGGTGGTGGTGCCGGTGGCCGGGGCCTCCGTCGTGGCCGCCGCTGGGTCGCCGGGCTTGGCAGGCACCGGCGCGCCGCCCGGGTTCGGGCCGCTGTCCAGGTCCGGGCCGGCGGCGGCGGCGCCGCGGTTGCCGCCGTGCTGGGTGTTGACCACCACCTGGGGGTGCATCACCTCGGGCTGGAGCTGCAGCGCCTCGGGGCGCGCCAGCCCGCACGGCAGCAGCGCCAGCAGCAGCAGCAGCGGCAGGCAGCGGGCCGCGCCGCCGCATCGCAGCCATGGCGAGCGGCCCCGCCGCCGCGGTGGTGGGTGTTGACTCAGCCCAAGGCGCCCTTGGCCCCGGCCAAGACGTCCATGGCGGCCTCGCCCTTGCCGGCCTTCCTCCGGCTCGGGGGGCTCCGGCTCGTCCAGCTCCATTAAGAGCTCAAGGTCTCTCAGGCCCTCCGTGGCCTCCGCCCTTGCCGCGCTACATCCGCGAGCACAGCGATCACAGCGACGCCTGCAACAAGGCCAACAAGGCCAAACAAGGCCATCTTGGATGAAGACTGGCACATGCCTCTCCACGTCCATGCGCCGCAGCGGCCGGCGTCGCGCGGCGTCCGGCCGGCGACACAAAACCTCCTGAAGTGGGCCATGAATAACACAAGCCGCGCTGCGGCGAGCAAACTTCCTCACGTCTTCCTCGCGCTCTCCTTGCCCTTCTCGCGGACACAGAAAGAAGGCGGGGGAGATGTAATCTGATATGTCGTAAAAAAGACAGGAATGCCGGGAATGTGTAGTTGCTAGGTCAGTTGCCTGTCAATTCATTAGTTCGGGAAGCAAATTACATTTCCTGTGCCGGTGGCAACCCCAACGCACCCGTGCTTGGCTTTGCCTATCCTCCGGCTCGCTCCGGCTGCAAGGCGTTTCGGCAGCTCCGAGCGCCTTGCGAGTAGGCAACCCCAACACACCCGTGCATGGCGTTGCCTATCCTCCGGCTGCAAGGCGTTTCGGCAGCTCCGAGCGCCTTGCGAGTAGGCAACCCCAACACACCCGTGCATGGCGTTGCCTATCCTCCGGCTGCAAGGCGTTTCGGCAGCTCCGAGCGCCTTGCGAGTAGGCAACCCCAACGCACCCGTGCATGGCGTTGCCTATCCTCCGAATGCAAGGCGTTTCGGCAGCTCCGAGCGCCTTGCGAGTAGGCAACCCCAACACACCCGTGCATAGTGTTGCCTATCCTCCGAATGCAAGGCGTTTCGGCAGCTCCGAGCAGGCAACCCCAACACACCCGTGCATAGTGTTGCCTATCCTCCGAATGCAAGGCGTTTCGGCAGCTCCGAGCAGGCAACCCCAACACACCCGTGCATAGTGTTGCCTATCCTTCGAATGCAAGGCGTTTCGGCAGCTCCGAGCAGGCAACCCCAACACACCCGTGCATGGCGTTGCCTATCCTCCGAATGCAAGGCGTTCCGGCAGCTCCGAGCAGGCAACCCCAACACACCCGTGCATGGCGTTGCCTATCCTCCGAATGCAAGGCGTTTCGGCAGCTCCGAGCAGGCAACCCCAACACACCCGTGCAATGCTTTTCCTATCCTCCGGCTGCAAGGCGCCGGGCCAACTCGCCGGCCCACATTGGGGTCGGGAGCCGGTCTGATGTGAGCGTGGGGACGGCCGCAGCTCTGCCGCGTTATTTCAGGTTATTTACGGCTAGCGGCGAGCCAGCGACGCGACCCGCTGAAAACAAAGTAAACGTCTCGGTTGGCGTCCCGGTGCGTCCTAGCTGCGAGCTGCGTCCTGGCCACGTCCTGGCGAGGGGGTAACCACTCGCGTAATACCCTGTACACAAAAACCGTGTATTACGCGTAATACACGTGGTCGTAATACCATTTCTGGGTCAAATGTGCCAAATTTTGGCATTTTAAGGCCGTAATACACGAGTAATACCCCCGTAATACAGCGTAATACCGAGTAGTCTGTACACGATTTCTTGAAGTGTTTACCCCCTCGCGTCCTGGCCACGTCGTGGCGCGTCGTGGCAGCGCCGCGCGGGGCTGGAGGGAGCTCTGGCCTGCAAAGTTTTTGTGAGTCCAGGCATGGCGTGGCGTTGCCCGGGAAAAGGGGCCGCATTTCAACCACCGAAATGGTTATTTATTTCCACGAAAATGAAGGAAATCCATTTTAAAAAAGAGCAAAAAAATCATTTTTTTTTAAAGAATATGTACTTGTTGCGATGTCTTTTTAGCCAAAAGGGGAAGGTCCGGAAAACAAAAGGCCGTCTGGCTGTGGTTCCGTCTCTGCATGCCATTGCGTCGGGAAAACTTGTCAAGCCTTCCTAATTGCAGCGCGTGGAAGCAGTTGGAAAGAGAGTGCTCTAACTTTGAAGAGTCGGTCCACAAACTTATGGCGGTGGAGTCGGCGGCGAGTTGCGCCCCTTGATGTGCTACGCAGTGCTACGTTTCCACCCCACAGCGTGCCACAGCGGCGGGTCTCGTGAGGGTCACTGCCGAGTCGCGCAGCACTGCGCAGCACTGCGCAGCACTGCGCAGCACGTGGGCCGAGGAGGAGGGGAGGGGTATCTATTCATCAGTGCACGTGCACTGATTGCCGTGACGTCAAACTCCAGGTGGAGATGACGCGGGTCCGAACTGTGCGCTTCCATTGAAATCGCACGACTGTTCACCAGGCTTTGAGTGCAGGCCACCTGCCACCCCTTTTCCCTAAACCAGTTTGGCCGGTCTACCAACTTCGCTTCCGCTAATGTGTGCGTGTTGTCGGTAGAGAGGTGGAACCAAAATTTGGTGGGTGGTGTAAAACAAAAATCTCATTCAACGAACGTCTGTCCCGCCCCGGCAGCCAGCCCCTATTTCATTGTTAGGATACGCGCTTGGTTTCTGAACTTGAGAGCAAAAGCTAGCTGACACCTTAGAGTGTCTTGTTCTGGTCTATGTGTGTTTGAATTTCTAAAGGCATCATTTGCTAAAAACAAAACAGCCTCCTCCAAGCTACTACGACAAACTCAATCTCTGTTTGCGAGCAGGTGCCAACCGAGGTGCCAACGCAGAGAAATTCTGGAAGGCCCAAGCCATACCTTTCTCCACTCTTGGACTTGGAAGTATTTATGAATTGTTTTCCCCTCATTGGGTTCCTCGCCATGGCGACCCCTATTCTCCTTGTGGGTGCGTGGGTGCGTGCGTGTGTGCGTGTGTGCGTGTGTGCGTGTGTGCGTGTGTGCGTGTGTGCGTGTGTGCGTGTGTGCGTGTGTGCGTGGGGGGCTGGGCACCGCATTGTCCGATCAGCTGTCCTTAGGACTGGCCGTGCCTGCTGTGCCTCCTGCCGTGCCTGCGGTGCCGAGGCCGGCAGGACGGCGCCGGGAGGCAGGCGGCCCAGGCGGGGGCGGCGCCTCCTGCGCATCAGGGGTGGCTGTGTCGGTCGTGCGAGGCGGCGAGGCGGCGCGGGGTGGCCGGGAGGACGGGGGCGGCGCGGGGGGCGGGGTGAATGCTTCCAAAACAGCCCCGCGGCCCGGCCCTCCCCGCCCCTTCGCGCAGCCGTGTCACTCCTAGTAGGCTCCTACCCCTCCCGTCCACATCCTCCGTATCGCAGCAATCGCAATGGGTGCCGCGCCACAGCGCTCCACCCCGCCCCGCCCCGCCCTGCCGCCACGCGCCACGCCACGCCACGCCGTGACAAGATGACAGCCACCGGACAGCGCGAGGGCGAGATGGCCCTGGCCGGCCCTGGCGCCATCGACACTCGGGCCCCTCGCTCCGGACAGGTGCTCGCGGTTGTCGCGGCGGCCGACGTTGTCTTCCTTGTCTCATTGCCTCACCTCAAGTCAGGTGCACCCGCCGCACATGCTGCCAGTGAGGTCGCCCCGAAGGGGTATCTTCCGAGAAGGTCCTCCGGACGGGGAGAGGTTCCGTGAAGTCCGCTGTCCGTCGCTGGACGCTGTCCGCCACTGCACTGGGAGCGGTGGGGCGGTCGTGCGCAGGGGAGGTGCCGAGGGGGTGCGCGCGGGTGCGGACGTACTCGTCGAACACTTGGCACTAGCACGGGCGGCGCGCTCCGCCTGCGGTGCCTGCGGTGCCGGGGGTGAGCATGACCGGGCGCCACTCGCGCGGGGAAGGGACTGCCTCTGGGGCTGGCGGGCTGGCGGGGCGGCCTGGCAATGTAGGGACTCGGTTGGACTCGGTGGGGATGGGCTGGCTGGTAGGAGGGAAGAGGAAGGCAGGAAGGCTGCCCACATCGGCGGGGACTCGGCCCGCGCTCGGGTCCTGCCGTTCGGCGGCGTTCGGATCGGGGCCGACTGCGGCGTCGCGGCGCTCGGCGTCGTGCTCGGCTCGAGCAGCCCGTCGGTCGGGCCGTCGCCGTCGGCCCCGCGGCCTTGCGCTGGGAAACGGTGAAACGCAGCAGGGCGAAGTACAGGCCCAGCCCAGCGCGGCCCAGCGCCACATCGAACGCCTGCCCTGCCGCCCTGCCTGCCGCCCTGCCTGCCGCCCTGCCTGCCCTACGGCGTGGCTCGGGGAGGGGTGGAGCCGGGTGGAGCCACAGTGGAGCGTACGGAGGGGTTGGGGCGGTGCGCGGTGCGGCCGGCTTGCCTCCCCCGCACGCCGTCCTCGCCGGCTCCACTTCCACTCCTCCCTTCCTGCCCCGCATGCCCCGCACGCCCCACACCGACACGAGCTGCCCTGCTCCAGGAGCAGCGTCGTGAGGGCGTCCAGGACGCCGCACCCCTTCCAGCACCCCTACCAGTACCCCTACCAGTACCCAGCGTCGCCGCGACGCCGTGGCACGACGTGCGGCTCGAACCGCGGGGGCTGTCTGGCTGTCCCGGGCTGTGCCCCACTGTGCGCGTTGTCCTTCGCCAGGCCCAGGACGGCCTGACCGCGGTGGGGTGGAGCGGCGTCCTGGACCGTCCCCGTCCACTGTACGAGGCGAGGGGGTGTCTCCACTCGGCGCGCCGTTCACCCAGCCACCCCAACCCTCTCCGAAGGGCTGGGCGCCGGGCGGAGAAGGGCGACTGGGTGTGGGTGGCTGGGTGTGGGCGGCCGGGTGGGATCACGGGCCGATTAAAGAGCGACCGCTTGGGCAATCTGGGGATTCGAACCCATCCCTCGCCGATGAGTCGCTTCGTTAGAATTTCTGCATTTCGCCGGTTTGAATGCGGTCCCTGTAACGGCGACCCAGCCCTTCCACAAGCACGTGTCGCAGAAAACAAGGGAGCGACTGTCCGGCTGGCTGCGTGCGGCACGCACATCGCCGCTCCCCACCCACACTTGCCGTACCGTGCTTCAGCTGATGCACCGAAAGGCGCCGCAAGGTCAACGACCCTGCCGAGCCGAGTCCCATGCAACCCCTTACCACTTCCCCCCTCCGGCCTCCACTCGCTTCACGTTTAGGAAGGTCGACCAACGGGCTGCCGTCGGCGTGTCGCTGCATGTCGCATGCACGTGCATCATCAGTCGCTCAGGGGTGCCCCGTCACTCGTAGCGAACGTTGACCTAAAATGTAATAAAGCTTTCTGCAAATGCATGGATTTTTCCATTTTCTTTTTTACAACTTTTTGCATGATTTGTGACATGCTGTATTGCTACTGTCATAGTAATTATTTATTGCCTTCACTGTGTTATGTTAACATAAAATAAGAACAAAATTATAGTAGAGTATCTTATTTATTAAACCTATGTAAGTTGTTATCAGGTCTATTCTTTTGCTTTCTCATCTGTGTTTTGGTTTAATTTATTTTTCTGACCCTGATTTTCCTCCACATTCTCATGCTCCAATTCCTCTTCCTCTGATGATGTCTCTTCTGAACTGCTGGACGGAAAGTCTGGAAAGACAGATATTTATGAATTAAGTAGATGTAAAGGAACAGTTATGTTACATTTCAAATGCAAAGCCCACCTCTTCGGTCATTTCTCTCCTGTTGAACTTTCTCTAAATAAGAATTTTGAGCAGCTACAACTTCAGAACTACTTTTACATGCTGCATAAATATCAAGAAGTTCCTGGTTTAAGGAGATGAAAGACTTTCCCCATTTGAATTTACTTAAATATAACATTGCTTCACTTTTATATCCTTTCAAAGAAATAAAAAAATATGAGAAAACATTGCAGAGACACATAACATAGAGGACTCTAATAACATAAGAAACTATATGAAAAGAATGTTACCTGTTAGATAAAAAGTGGCTGCCAATGCTTCCACACATGACAGTTTGCATGGTTTTCCATAGTTGATGGGATTGGCCGCCACAAGAAATGGCAGTAGACGTGGATATGAAGTGCGCATTTTAGAAAATGGAGTGTCCTCCAGCCTTGCCCATGAACAGTCAACTACAGCAGCGCCATGCTGTGCAACTATATCGTGATCTTCCATGGAGACACACTAAAAATATTATAGCTCATTAATTTTTTTTAAATGGTATCTCAAAACCCCTTTAACTAAATCATGAGCAGCGCTTACTTTTGATCCAACTGGTGTCAAGGTTATTCCCCCAAATCTCTGTGTTAATTTTAATGTACGAACCAATCCAAAACGAGCAAGTTTTCGGCCCGAACATTTGCGTGGATCACAGTGGTCCATATCCCACATGGCCACAGGAAAGTTGGCTTTGTCAATGACCTCGGCTCCAGTTATGAAAATGTTTTCATGTGATTCTTGTTCATCTGAGGAACCTGAAAGAATTGTCTTAGTAAAATAGGATATGGTGAACCGAATGAGGAGCAGGTTTAAACAAGCATTACTCTGGTCAGTTTCTTCACTTGATTCAATCTGAAGCTGAGACATTTGCACAACATCACTCGAATCATCTTGCGACAAGTCACAAGACTTCAGTTTACTGTCATGTCGAGAAGAGTGGCCCCTCTTCTTATTGGTGCCTCGAGTGCGGCCCTTGCCTCTGTCAGTTCGTTTCATCCTGCTGGACAATGCCTGGAAACAAAACAGACAGTAATCATCCAAGAGTCACTGATCATATTTAAATGTTGTTGTGCATGTGAAGGTCAGGTTATAGTGAGTGCCAAAAGTGTACAGGTAAAGGATGTCTTGAGAATTGTTTTTCAAAACTATGAACCGGATTGCGTAAACAATCTTACTTCGTATTGCAATAACAATTTCCAGAAGATACCAGGCAAAATAGCCAAACGAAAGAGAAAGCGGCAAGTGGCAGTGGGGCCCACGAGTCTGTCGTCTGCTATCCAACGTAAACAACCCCTTAGGCGGTCTTTAAAAGGCTGTATTTTCGTGACGTCACGGATCTATCCAGCTGGGCCGTTGCCATTTGCAAGATGGCAGCTCGAATCATCAAGTGGCTCAACATCCCAATTTCTGAATATTAAAGAAGTAACTGCCTCTCGAAAGTGCGGTGGACGTTATTTTTTGAAGTTATTCAAAACAGTAAATGATCGAATCCGTGCTGTGAGGTATGAATCCACGAGAATGTCAACCCGTTGTGGTTCTCTAACGCCAATACGAAATATTGTATATTTTAACAGTCCAGTTCAAACCAGATGTTACGCCTTATTTTTTCTCAAACCGCAGATAAGTATCTGTGGAGGTATCTGTCTTTTGATTATCCTAAGTTGCGTCTGGACTGTTGCACTGATTTTCCCTATTTGCTATAGTGTAAGCAGCCCGTGTGGTTTCAAGGATATCTGATCGTTCGTTGTCCCTAACTTGTTTACGTCGCGGCAGTGGCAATATCTGGTGGGATTTATCTTGTTCCGAGTATTCGCCGCTAATTTGTAGGCACAGATGACTGTATTGTTGCTTTAAGAACACTAGCCAAAGAAATCTAATCGTATGGACAAGAGGCCTTAACATTGCTTCTCACCATTAATTGCCTGTCATGTTGTCTACGGGTTTTACAATTTGCCCTGTCTTGGTGAATATTGATCGCAAACTTAATCTTTCTACTCAAAATTCAGGCACAAGGCATGAAACAAAATGCATGCTGTCTTAATTAACTTTCATTTAACCATTACTGCGTACGACCACTACGTTCGTCTTCAGTTTGGTATGACATGACTTACTTTCCATTCTTGCCCCTATCTTCTTACGATTGCAACTGCAGAATGTGACTTTCAAGTTGCTTTTATCAGATGAAACATGTTGGTTTTGTGATATGAAAGGTACTGCAAACAGTAGTTAAGGTTGGGACCTGATAAGAGAAATGATAAGTTAGTTTAGAATTCATGAGGTGAACTTAAATGTTGAGATGTGTTCAGCATTTGAAAGTGTTTGCATCATACATAAATCTATCTTCAATTCACAATGAATTTTCGTAAGAAACAATCCAAGAAACAAGGCAAGTTATAACAACTCGTGGGTCTCAGATTTTTCCCGTTTGATTTGAAAATGTCCAAACTTCAACTACAAGAGTTACCCCATTTAAATGATTTTAGTTTCTGTGACTCTATATCGCATTAATTCTGCTGTTACCAGACTTCTGAATCTGAAATAGTTATGGAGCAGCAAAATGGTATATATATGCCAGTTTAACATCTGCATAATGGAGGCAGCAGCAGGTATGATCCATGAGGCATCAAAATTGCTTTTTAGGATCACCCTCTGTCACATCAGTTAGTTGTAGATTAGAAATAAGTGTCTAGTTCCGTTTGTATTTTTTTTTAAATCTTTTTGTGTTGTTTTTATTTTGCCATTTTTCCTGTAAATACCAAAGAAGCTTCTTTAACGTTTGAAAAAGCGCATGAAATAGAGCATGTTTCAAAATGCTTGTCATATGGCTTACCATTGGTTTTAAAAAATTGTTTGGATTCAATTAAATATCAGAAATTATTCCTTATATGCTTTCTTATTCTATGTAAATAATGTCTTTATTCTACACTGGCTGTTTTCTTTGCCTCAAAGTACCAATTTGTGAAACCAACTGCATTGTATTCACCAGCTTTCTGAGCCATGCAATTCTAATGAGAAAGCTTTATTAGCCATAAAATAGAGCACCTGACTGCTATTAGCATGCCAGTCCCCTAGTTATCATAAACAAGTACTCCCTACATTACTGGGGGTCCTGAGAATTTTTCAGTTTTCTGGTGGATGCCATCAAAAGTCCTTTCCACTGGGAGCTCTGGAATTGAGTTCCACCTTATCCATTCTAATGGTTTTGAAGACTGCTTTACATGTTCTTGATTTTTTGTCTTCTTGTGGATCGCAGTGTTGTGATTCAAAAAATAGGAGTGTGTACTCAATGACCTACTCGTTCTTTTGCCTTTTCCCAACATCAGTAATTAATTATAATTCTTTCTATTTGTCTATTCAGGCTCTAAAAGCGAGGGTCCAACTCAAACCCTACAGAATCGCGTTAGAGACGCGTTTCGAAGAGGCTTGCAATGGAAGTGGGAACGGGATGCAGGACCAACATTTAGTGGGCACAAGGAGTCAGAGCGGCATGGTGAATTACCTCAAGGGCATGAGCTTACTGACTCTTCTACACAGAGGCATTGGCCAACTTTTGCTCCGATTGCCATTCAGAAGTTTCGGCGTCTCTTCTCTACAGACAGTGCAAATAATGCATCATGTGAGCAAGGCTTGGACAATGATTCAGAGGGTAAAAGTCATAGTGTAGCACCATGCTCTAAAAATATTAGAAAAGAAAATACCAGGGAAGGCAAGATGGTGCGGATGAAAGCTAAAGACATTAAAAGTGGAGAGAAAGTGACCTCCCCGGAGTTCAGTGAGGAGAACCAATTTGCGGACCACATTTCATCTGTACCTGCTGCTTCAGTCCAGTTTGATTCTCTCAACCAATCATCAAAGGAAGAAAGTCAAGATTGTATTTCTTTGTGTCCATCAAAAATGGAAGAAAACCCAGTAGAAGTTAGCGGTACTGTGAAGTCCCATTCTCTCAACTTGAAAAGCATAGTGGGTGAAATAAAGGCTAGTGATGATGAAAACATATCAGTAAATAAGGATTGCGTAAGCACTAATCAATCCATTGTCTGTGATGTAGTTAAAGGTAAATCACCAATTGCAATTGCTCATGGTGAAAAGGAGAGTGATGCTTTAGATTCATTCAGCAATGATGTGAAAAAGCCAGAGAGAGTCTCAGGGTCATTATGTGCACCAAGTGACATGGTGACCATTTGTGAAACTGATGTAAAAAATCTTGACTTAATGAGCAACAACTTAAAAGATAATTCTGCCAATCAATATCTTGATGACGATTCCCCTGGTCCGTCTTTAGCTCTGGCATCAAGTAACAGTGTTATTTCTAGCAAAAATGAATCCATTAGCACATCAATGGCAATGAATACCAAAGATGCCAGAAAGGCATCGATTCAAAAACATAAAAAGTTACTGGAACCATTGTACCTCAACATAAACTCTGCAAGTAGTGCAGGACCTCATGCAAGGAAGTCTCCTGTTACTGTACAGGAATGGGTCGACTCTATTCCAATTTCTTCACATTTGTAAGTATTTCCCAAAAGCATTCCATTGTTTGACACCAACATTTTTTCATTTGTGTGAATATTTTTTGTCTTGTAGAGACGATGACCCTGAAGATGCCAATACTGATGGCGATTTGTCATTAACAGCACCAGAAACACAAATTGGTGAGGATTTTGCAGCAGTATATGAAATTGTTTCTTTCCGAATGTTCCCTTTTACTTGAATTTTGTTTCAACAGGAAATGTGTGCCCATCAGTTACACTAAGGTAAAAAGAAGAAAGAACAACCATATTTTTATCACATCATTTTATTTTTGTGTCTTTATCTGATTTATGTTTTTTTGATCTTTTCAGGCCAGCACCTGGTTCGGGTGCAACAGTTGCTGATCAGCGGCGTGAGGCTTTTTCACGTGATGCATCTCCATCCCTTCAATCTGATACGGGAAGCCATGCATCCAGTGTGGATTCCTACCTAGAAGCCCGCCGCCCAGATCCTGAGGAAGTCTTATTAGGATTAGGCTTCGGAGGTTCATTACATGCTAAAGAAGCTGAAGTTTCAAGAATTCCTGCACGCTTTCTTCAACCATCTCAAGTTAGTCCATTGTTAAAATGATATAAAAAAGACATCCTGAAAAAAATTGCAATTTGAGTTATAGGTCAGTAACAATGCTATATGAAATTGTCTACAGGTGAAAGGTGTGGCAATAGATGATTTCTTGCGTTACCAACAGGATTTAATTGAAACTTTTGAATCGGGGTACAGTGGTTATAGAGGCTTAACTGGTGAGTGTTTGATGAATTGCTATTTTTAATTTTAGTGGGTAATGTGGAAGGAATCTAGTTTATCAAACTGGAAGTTCAGTGGATCTTTTGTCTCCTTGCCCTCTTATTTGAAAAAATGCACAGTGCCAAAATGTTTGTCTACAGGTGGTGGTGGTGGTGGTGGTGGTGGTGCAGGGGATTCTGATGTACTTGCCGCGAATGCTTTATCATTTATTCCTGAACGCTTTCGTTTATCTTCATCTGCATCTTCTCCCATTCATCGAAATTTCACCACAACACCTTCTTTTTTCTCAGAATCATTCTCTAATATTCCCCAGCGATTCAAGCCCCAAAACTGCTCCTCGTCCTCCACAGGACGGAGACCATCTCACCTCCTTACTGTTCCTCCTACTGAAACTATTAGTAGGCGTAGAGCATCTACACCAGGACAGCCATAGTAATGAATTCAGGAAAACCTTTCCATAATTCATCTTAATTAATAATAATGTCTTATTTAACTCATAAATACTTAATAGCAGTTGAAATTATTGCACCAACTCTGAATTGTGGAAGTTAAAAGCTAAAATCTCTTCAAGATGTTATCTTTCTGTTTCACGACTTCCGCAATGTCATCACATTCCTCTTATTTGCATTAAAGTTAGATTTCTTTCTGAGTGAAGAAAAAAAAGTTATGCAATTTCAATACTTAGTTATAGTTTTTACCAGTGTGTTTGAACTCTCAGTTTTAAAAATGACCTCATACTTTCTCCAACTCTTCTGTGTGATACTGTGGTGCATCATCCATTCGTAAACCACATCTTGAGGAAATCTTATCCGTGAGTGGCAAAAGTATAAAACAGTCAAGATTTTTTTGTAGTTTGTGTGGTAGCTAATTTTACGTTTCTTCTTAGCTAAAATAAGCGTTTATATCTTATGCAGTTGTGGAGATTTTTGAGTGTAAATTCATGCAAATCAGTTTTTGTGCTGCTTAATTTCAGTGAAACATAGTTATGAGTTTTTTTAAATGGTTTTTCTTCTTTTTATTTTCTGTTATGTCACTGAACCCTTGCATGGTATGGCTTCCATTTTCTGGTCAATGTTAGCATGTGTATGTATGTGTAGCGTGTCAGCTATGTAGTGTTATCTCATTAATATTAATTTTGGTTTCCTTTCCCTCTTTCCTAAATGCTGTGGATCCTGTTTAAAATGTTAGCCTTATTTTAATTGTTATTATTGTTTTTGTTTGGTTTGCATTTCCCTGTACTGTCTCATAGTTTTTTTCATGCCTTTTTAAATACCCACCTTGTGTCTTCCTGGCCCTTCCCTTAATGCTTTGTTGTTTTTCAGGTGGTGCACAGGTTCCATCCGTGATCGTTGCTAAAATAATGGAAAAGCTTCGAGAACATGAGAGAGAGAGCAGTACCAAAAGCTCTGCGGGCTCATCTCCAGGTCATCATGCCGATATTTCAAGACGCAGGTTTTCTCGAGCAGCTCACCGAGTTACCATTTTGGCCAAAATGAAATCACGAGACAGCTTAACTTCTAGTGCACCAGCCCACTCTGTACTAAACCCTGACAACAGAAAATTCCTGGACAATCAAGGCAGTAAATCTCCAGAGGTAATATTTTTCTACTTCAGGCTAGCACCAACATTTCAGAGGCCTTTTCTTCACAGTACTTTCTGACTTCGATACAATAATCAACCTGTTCTTCTTTTCTCCTCTCAAGATATCTCGGAAACGAATGATTATTGGACATAGATCATTTACTTTTGATGGCGATGGCCAGTTAATCGAGGCAGAAGCAAATCCCCTCGAAGTGGCTCATGCAGAACCCATAGTACCTTCAAAACCACCATTACCTCGTCCCCTCGTTCATAAAGATTCTGTGCTTTCATCTGCAACAAGCTTAAGTCTGACCAGTTATGACAGTGATAGTGATACGGACGAAGCTGGTGGTGCCGACAGAATCACTAATGAAGCTGTAGGTGATAAGAATAATTGTGAACCTCAGCTGTCACAAAATACTTCCATTTCTGATACTAATGAAAATTTATCATTGTCTCCTGTCATGGCAAATGTTGCCAATAATGGTGTTCAGAATGCATTTGATAAGAAGAAAACTCCTTTACCAGTCATTCCTGACCTTGTTTTAAGTTTGAATGAAAATGTAAGCGTGGGGCTTAAAACATCAACCCCCATTAGGTGTATCAGCTGGAAAGATTTGCATCAGGTTAATTCAGCCCCTTCCACACCTCTAGTTGACGCACCAACTCCTATCCCTGCTCTGTGGACCCATGCAGAAGAAAGTTCATCAGGTTCTGAACCATATAATCATAAGAATGGAAAGCTTCAGGAATACTTGAAGCAAAGAAATCAATCTGCTTTACAAAATAATCCTGAACTACTTGCATCCCTCAAGGCATATTCTAAAATTGAACCTGAGCAGACTCCATCTCCAAATGCAAGGCAATCCTCCTTTTATAAAATATCTGATTTTGTACTGCCTGATGATTGTACTTCATCCCTTGACTCTCCAGAGTCTCAAAGTTCTTTACCAGCTGATGCTCAACAATTACAGAGAATGTGTTCCATGCCTAAATCATCATCAATGTTCCTTGATAAAGAATTGCGCCGCAAACTGTCTCTGAACTCGAGTGTTGATTCCTACATTGCCAGAAGTGTAGCACACTCCCCAGATTTAAAGAACTGGTCAACAAGCAGTGTGAGTAGTTGGGAATCGGAAAAGGATTTCTCACCTAAACTTTTGGTTGATAAAATTTTGAATGAAGAAGAGAACCCTGTATTTGATGAGCAGACTGTTGCTATAACGCATGAACCTGAAGTGGATGCTACAGTCAATCGAAGAAGGGGTAGCTTAAAGCGACAGAAAAAAGTTGATGAGGAAGACTTATTGCGAGGCACTTCAAGCTCTTCTAATCTCAATGTGAATCGTCCAAATATTGCAACGGACCAAGGCGATTCTTTTGAAATGGAAGAGGTAAGCATCTTCATACCCGATACTCATTTTTTTTTTTTATGTGCAAATATGCCTCTTGCCGCACATTGATTGGTTTCTTATCCTAACAGTTATCAGTGGAGGAGGAAATACGGGGTGCAAGGACAGGAAGTGCTCACTCCGACAGTAGTGGTTTTCAAGAAGAACCAAATCAAAACAAGCCCTCTCTCAAGGCAGCTCTTGGGAAACAGCTCTCTCAAAGTGAACCAATGCTGTGTACTAAATTCTTTCCTGAGGAACTTGCCCAAATTCAAGTTGACCCCCTTAAAAGGCTTAGTCTCCCAGTGATACGGATTCAAGATGAATCGGGCCTCACACAATGGCATGCTACTAGCATTTGCCAAAGTGATGAGCCTGTTACCAGCTCTCTTAGACGGGTACAGTCTCTGCCATGTCAACTTTCCCGTCTTGGTCTAAGAAGGCTCAGTGAGTGTTTTTCTCCAGGATCAATGACAGACTCAATTGGAAACATGTTTAGTTCCTGCAGTGATGAAAGCGTGATACATGTACCCCGTACTAGCATAGATGTAACAGCAGAGGAACAGCCAGAAGTTTCTCCCCTTCCTGCTGCAATATTGGTGAGTGTTCTTGAGTTATAGGAAATGTTTGCATCCTTTTTTGTAGCTGTTGTTTGAGCATTTCTCCCTCTTCCAAAGACCATTTTCACAAAGTGGGAAAACAATTCTATGCCTGCATAGAAATGGTGTCGAAGGTTTTGTGCATGTCTTGGCTTCCTTTTAAACACACCTGTGTAGAAATGTAGTTGGCAAACATGCAATAGCAGTAGCATGTGTCTTTGTGTTTCCTTTGATCTTTTCTGAATGTTCGTCACCATAAATAGCTATAGATATCCTCATGCATAACATATTCTCACTGCAGTAGTTGTGCTAAACCAAAATATTAAGGGTTTTTTTTTTTGGGGGGGGTGTCTTTTTTTAACACCTTTGTAGACTCTTTCATTAAATTTACCATAAACCCTTTCAAAACATTGCATGTGTCTTGTGTCTTCAGGACTACGAGGGTGAAGTGGAAGCTCTCCGCGCACCCAGGGTGAGTTGTGTCCTGGCATCTCTGGTTTCTCAGTGTCCTTTTCCTTTATACCCACCATCAACCCACTATAGTTTGGCTTCTATTTATCCCATCCTCCCTTCATAACTTTAGTTTCTAGAATAGTTCATTCTGCATGGTTATTTAGGACACTTCTCTTGCATGTTAATAAGGAATTTTTAAAAAATCAGTGAATTTTCCTTGCCTTTAAGAAAAAATGAACTGTGTATATTATATTACTTGTCCTATCTTACCTTTTTTTAAAGGTACCTATTAATCCTGCTTGCTTACAGGAATGCTGCAAGTGCCATTGCTCTTTGAAGAATTCCTTATCTAAGTGCCATAGTGATTTATTACTTTCTCAAGAAAATGATCAATCATTTTCCAATATCAGCTCAAGTTTGAAGACCTTGAAAGAGGCTCAAAATGAAATAAATAATGTAGTGCAACAAATGCAAAATCATTCCTGCCTCTCATTTGGTTGCAAGATGAAGGATACTTTGGAACAGGTAAGAGGCTAAAATTTAGTTTTGCTTCAGTTTAAGTTGTCGCTTTTTTTCCAAATATTGCTTTATGTTAAATTTTAGGTTGCATCTGTGGTTTATCAACAAAATAGCTTATGCCTTCTTTTGGAGGGGTTCAGTTCGGACTTACTGTCTACAATCAAAAACTTATCTGCTCAAAGTATGTCTGAGGATCTTCACTCAACTCACAATACCCTCAATACTCCAAACATCCCTAAAAAAACTCTGAAAGAAGTTTCCTCCTCACCTCTGCATTCGTCTGAAAACTGTGTGACACTTTGTCGGATAGTTGAGAAAGAAAATCGTAGACTGCAAGAATTGGTCCAAATGAATGTGGATGAACTTGCACGCATACGGCTTCTTCTTGAAACACTCCTTCAGAATAGTAAAGTGTGATTATTCTATGTCAGACTTCTCTCCTGGTTCAGTCATTGCTGTCTCTGTATTAGAACTGGTATCTTCTCATAAGATTAAATTGTGATAACAATTGTTAGCTGGGGCTGTTGTAGGTATTATAAAAATCTATAAAAGCGTCTTTTTTTGTCTGTTTGTGGTTGTTTTGAAAGTTTTTTTATTTGTTCACTTCTTAACAACTTTTCTTCAGGGGTGTTTTTTATTTCAAATGACTGAATTGTACAGCTTGTACAGCTTTTCTGTAATTTCATCTACCAATCACAAACATTCTATCTTGAACTGTTTAGTGGTCATTGTGATTTGTACTTTTCTTTCTTGTTGTTACTTCTTATTGGGATTATTGAGCTACTTTCGGTACTCATAGTGCATTCCTTGAGTTGTTACACTCTTTGGTTTATTTTATACTTATGCATGTAATTTGAAAAGTCTATTAGGTATAGGTAGGTTTTGGTTGTGCTCTTTCAGGACTTTCTTTACATTATATGAGGCTTATATAGACTAGGGCTTTCCAATAGTTCTAACTGTGGTTTATCATGGCTGATGGATCAATTAATTTAACTCTCCCCTTTTTAATAATGTCTTTTTAATGCTCAAGTCAAGGCAGCATTCATTGTTCCATGTTTTCATCAAGGCACCATCTTAGGCTGTTGTGGTTTCCCTCTTTAATTAGAACCATACATTGAAGAGTGGTGTTACCTTGGATTTTGGTTTTAAACTTGGCATGGGTATCAATTATTAGAAATATGACACCTTTCTGGTTCATTGAAAAGTTGAATATAGGTAACAACATTTTATTATACAGAATTGCAAATGTATCAGTGATTTTTGGATAATAACACTTTAGGGAACCTTCGTGCCATGTTTCCTTTAAATTATCATATTTTTGTAAATTATAAATCTACTATGGAACTACTAAGCAGATTTATTCTCATTATGGAGGTAATTTGTCTCTTAAAACTGTTCATGTTGACTTAGTTTGCTATGGTCTTAGTTCTGAGTTGCCTTGTCTCACTAAGACGATTGAACAAATAAATATTTATGAGGCAACAAAGCTAAGACATCCTTGTGTGGTCCAATTTTACAGAGTTTTATTTCAAAGGCATCCATTAAGTTACTTTATTTTGAGATTATTGTGTCTTTCACACAAGTACTAGCCCAACAATGTCAACAGTGAGAATGTGATTTGTGGTTTTGCTTGCCAAATAAGTTACTTGTGAAACTGTGATATTTGTTCTTGTCAAGTTGAATACTCGTCTTCAGACATGATTGAATATGTGACAATCAAGCTTCTCTGAAATCCTTTGCTGCTCTTTTTGTTTTTCTTAACAATCTTGCCGTTTTTTGTTTTTTTAAGTTTGTTTTGCTCTATTTCTAAATTAGTTAATGTGTTACCTAGGCAATGCGCATAGGTACCATTGTTCTGAAAGCCCATTGGCTAGCCCTTTCATTTCTCAACTTTAAATAGCTGCTTTTAATGTATTTTTGTATTGTTTCATGTGTGCAATAAGTTTGACTGCTCACTCTGTAACCCTGGGTTGTTGATTTGGAACGATGGTAGTTAAGTAGTACTCATTCAGGTTTTAATGTTAAGTTGTCATTGTTATCTTATTTTGTTGATTTTTTAGGGTTATTAAGTGTTATCCTAATTAGTTTGAATTGCCACAATTGCCTTAATATTTTGAATTAAAGGAATGAAGTATAAATTTGCTCAATCTTCATATTTAGTAATGAATTTTATTTAACAGGTGCAAGATCTTACACTTTTGGCTCAACATCCTTGTCACTGAAACCATCAGCTGCCAGACCTTCCTTATTACTGGTGCTTGTGAATGTGGTAGCATCTTCATCCTCCATCCAGACATCTTCATCCACATTTGAAGAAAATTTGTATCTGACAAAGACAGTTACACAAATGAGTATGGATTTTAAATATATCCTCAGTACTTAAGGCACATTCCATGACACATGAGTACTAAAAGGTCCTTGAAAACTCACTTGAATAGCTTAGGTTGATCACTACATAAATGCTCATAAGCCATCACCAAACGTTGAAACTCATCCATAGTCAACTGGAAGGCTCTTGTTTCTGGATTGACCTCTGCTATATCCAACATTTTGTGGCTCAGTTGCTTACGAAGGTGTTCAGGAAAAAGAGTCCTAAATGAGACATGATAGGCTAGTTGTGTAAAATTTATGTAAAAATACTGAAAAATTACAGCAAGCTGAAAATTAGTTCGTACTTACCCAGCACAGGTTATGCAGTATTTTTGACGAAAACATGTCATTTGTCTGACTACTTTTTCTATAAGATGAAAGTCTCCTTTAATTGTCGGTTCAATTTTTGGCCGAAATGTGACAACACCAACATCAACCTCAGGAGGTGGAACAAACGCAGACCCTACATTTAATAGATAATAGGTCAGAGTTACATAATTTGAACTTGGTTAAAAAGTTGTCAACTGAGGTTCTTAGCTTTACCAGGTATATTGTATAAATGTTTGACATCGCACCAGTTCTGACACATGACTGATAATCTACAACGCTGTCTACCATTAGCTTCAGCTACTGTTCTTTCAGCAACTTCCTTTTGAAATGTGAGTGTCATTCTTACTCGTCCATATGACCAAGCATTTTGCCTAGAAATAGAATAAATGAAAATTAATCAAAGACATTTGTAAAACCTCTCGTTAATGTATCAGCTCTCACAAATAACTTACTTTAAAGAAATATCTCTTAGCCATCGAATAATCAAAGGTGTTGACACACTGAAGGGAAGATTTCCTATAAGATGAATATCTGGACAAGTGTCTTCCCATGATAAGCGTAAGGATTCTCTGAACATTTTACTCATGTCTAAGGACAACACATCTCCTACAACCACATTCATTCTACTTTGAGAGGCTTCTTCCAGCATCTGGAACAAAGAACATCTCATAATCCTACCTTACACAAGTGATTAAAGATTCTCTTTCACAAAAATATAAACGCTGACTGTACCTGTAAAAATGGGAGAAACCTTGGATCTTTTTCAATAACAATCAGTCGCCCAGGATGACGTTTCAGAATAGATCTTGTAATGCTACCAGGGCCAGGACCAACCTCACAAACATCAGCTCCTTCAATTTTCCCTGCAGACTTGGCAAATTTATCAGTGATTCTAGTATCCAAGAGGAAATTCTGAGAGAGTTGTTTCCTTGCACGAAGCTTGTAGAGCTTGATGAGATCTCTTGGACTTGGGAGAGGTGGGAGCCGGAGAGCTGATCCAGTTAGTGCGGTTTGCTTCATAGACAAGAGACCGGAACGTGCCATACTTCCAACCATTAAAAGACTATATAATTACTCAAATAAAAGTTGTGAAAACCACAACAAAATTTGACTTGAGAAATATGTGTCTTAATTAAACTCTCTTTTCAATAAATTTTGGTTCTTCAAAGTCGTCCAAAAATTTCTCTTGCTTCACAGCACTAATTGTATACGCGTAGATGCCAACTACAACACCAAATAAACCTAACCCAGTCAGATTAGTGCGTTTACGATGCTTAAGCAGCTCTGCCACTCGGTGTTGGTTTTGTTTCTCAATCAAATTTATATAATGGCGAGTTGCTGAGTGCACTCCAGAACGGCCTTCAAGAGGGTCAACTTTAGATGGTTTACTTTCATCTGCCATCGCTCAATACTTCACCAATTCTGAAAAAGAAAAAAAAAGTTGTAACACAGTGATGGAAAATTACAGATCAAACCACTCAATGCTTGCTCTCATGATTAGGAGCCCTACGAAACCATGATGGAGGAGACCCAACTTGACAACCAGTTCATTAAAATGAAATAAAAGTTTTTTGTTTTTATTCGAGGATCTTTTCCTAACTCTGACCTCTGAGATGTTCAGTTTGTTTCTGTGGTATGGTTTCTATGAATATTTTTACTATTAATTAATTCCCCATACTCCACTCCAACTGCTTCAACTGAACTGAACAGTAGATGAGCCTTTCTCGCTACGGCAATGCGCTTTTCAAGAAACGCTTAATGGAACACATTACCTAGGACGACCTAACGCCCCAGAGATGCAGAATAAGACAGAACACAGCAGCTACAACATGAAAACACCAAAACACATCGGCGAGCAACGAGGTTATGATATGGCGCAAGAGCCCCAAGCAAGCAGCCGACAGCGACAGAAACTTCTTTCGAGAGCTCGACGAGGTTCGAGAGCGAGAGCGATCTAGAGGCTCTCTAGATTTGCCCCTCCCGCTCCCCTCCCTCCCCCTACCTTCTCTACCCTCCCTCCCCTCCCTCCCCCTCCCTCCCTCCCCCTCCCCTGCACCCCCCCCCCCTTGGGGGGGGGGAGGGTAGGGTGGCGGGTGGTGGTAGTTTCTGTTTCTGTCAGTGTCAAAATCAAAATATCTGTGGATCTTCACTGTTCACTCATACATTGTTATGCTGGCTAACTATGAAACTTATTCCAAAATCAACTTTGCATTACGTGGCTTACTTAACTTTCTGTCACACGTTGTCAATTCATGTAAATAAGGTACTGTAGTAAAATGGTATTTCTGTATCAATTTTGTAATAATTTGAAAAATTAATGTTTTGTCATACAATTCTCTTTTTCAGTTCATTCTTTCCGTTCTACGATTTACTTATCCAACTGTGTTCCAAGGATGGCAAACATTTGTGGCTGTTATTATAATGAGAATCCTTATGTTTGAAAATTTGTCTGCAGTTGTGTGCTTGAAGTCTTTTTGTTCTCATCTACCTCTCTTCTTGTCATTTGTTGGAGCAATTGTAGCAGGATCAAAGGCTCTCTCATACTTGGTAAAATTTGAAACTTATAAAAGATCAGATAAAGGGGTAGCAAATCTCTGAACAGCAAACCAATTGGCCGTGCAAAATAACTTGAGAATTCTATAGGTAACAGGAGTGCCTACAGTGTGTTAGAGGAGAAACAATAGTCTTTTGCTTTACCTTGAACAGATTGCATGTTTTTCCATGGTCAATGGATGGTTACAGCGGTTTCAGATTTTGCTACCACATTATCCCATGACAACGGAAATTTTCAATGTTTGATTTATCCTTAAAGAATGCTATTTGTTTGGATTGTCAACAGCCTATTCCTATCATTGTGGCAGTTTCCAATTTGTTGCCAGCCCTAAACCATATTCTTACTACCTGCCGGTCTGATGCTACAAATTATTTTCTTTTTAGCAACAGTATATTATGTGTAGTGAGTGTTCTGGCAATTTTCTTCTCGGACCACAATTTATCGGTATGATTTTCTTTGGCATTAAGCTGACAAATTTTTACTTTAACTCTTTACCTACTTTTTCTCAGTAGTTTAATAAAATTATTGCACTACAGGACAGAAGGACAAGGTATTAGTAATTTCAAAATTGTTTTCAGAGCTTCAGTGTGGCGGCTTTATGGCTATACACCCATTTATTATTTGGTGCTTCTCAGGACATCTTCAATAACGAAGATACATCAACAAGATTTAGTTCCTTTGATAAGTTATTTTATTGTAATTTATTCAGGTTGGTAGTTTTTCAGAGATATTTGTGTTCACCAAAAGTAATCAGTTTATTTTGAATGTGTGACCAAGATATTTTTCTGTTCAGTGTTGTAGTTCTAGCCCCCAGCAGCTTATATTTGGAGGAAGCATTTGAAGCACTACATTTTCAAGAGAGAAGCCAGTTGAGTTTTTTGTTTGGTTGTGTTTTGAGTGGAGTTTCTGGAACTCTAGGATCTGTCCTGTCCCTTCATTCAGCTTCAGAGTCCCTTAATGTTAATGCAATTTCTAAGGTCCTTCTGTGCTTGTTTTCCCCAATGATTTTGCCGTGCTCATTAAGCTATTTCACTTGGTTATTGATTTACATAATCTTAATTACATCCTGTTTCATACCTCATAGTGCCACAGAAGTGATGGATTGTTCCAGGCCCAAGCAATTGGAACATGTGTGATTCAGCATGATTTCATAATGTGCTCCACTTGCTTTCCTGCTCCCGTTTCTGAGAAAGAACTTACCTGTATTGGGCTCTGGAGTGAAGATAAGATAGTGCATGAAAATTGAGTGCATTAATTTTGTAAATAAATGAAATTTAAGGAAGTTTCATGTTTTATTGCCTGTTTAGTCAAAAATCACACAAGTTGAAATTTTCTGCACCTGTTCTCAATGAATAGTGTGTCAAAGTTAGTAGGTCCTACTTCAGTGTATCTATTTTTGTACTCCTATGCACTAAGCCTCAAATTGGAACCATTATTTGACACCAAATGATTTAATTTGCTGAGAATATGCTCTGCCCTCAATGAAGCTACCGAAGTGTTGCTGCGATAGACCTACCAGTCTGGACAGGCCCCCTTGTAGCAAATGTGATTTAAGGAACAGTACTTCGAGTGGAAACAGGTTAGCCTTGATAGAAACATTATTAAGATCTAGAGGTTTATTTTGTAAAAATGAGGTTGTACACAGTCTGACACATGGTCAGAGGACAGACATTGCATTAAAAACTTAAATAATATATACATATATATATAGAATGTACTGTAAAGAAAAATGTGTCTCAGAGAAACAATCTTCTTTAAAGCACGTCCCACATAAGGCACACAACCAAAATATATCAAAATAGCTTAAAGCTTTCAATACATAAATGATCAAGAATCAAAACTACAGTAGCAAAAAGAAAGGAGTACTTAAAACACCGGCAAAAATCTATTTTTAATAAATAAACTTAGAGCATTTGATGAACTCAGGACAAGCCTCTTTGGATCAAAACTGATTTAGGGAAGAAAAAAGTCTCAGAAATTCCTACAATACTCTATGTTGAATATTTTTGAAGATAAAGAAATTTTACAGGACAGAACCAAAGTTTTAGGGGGACATTACTTAAATAATATACGTAGAGTTAAAATCACTGGCTTGAAAACATAGATCAATAAATAATTGGGGTTGAAGAATTCTCGTACTGGTTGGCCACTTGCATTACAAGATATACATCGTTTTAAGTAAAAAGTGGCACTCACCAAGAATTCAAAACCTGTTTTAAATTAGCAACCATTAGGTGTGATAAAGGTACACCAATCAGGAGTAGAATTGTTATTCACTGTCACTTCCACTTCCAAAGTTATATGAAACTGGTTTCCGAGCGCGACCTGTTGTTGCTTTAGATGATACCTTAACTTCAAATGAATCTGACATATTGTCTTCACTGTCAGAATTATACTTCTTTTTAGTCTTCTGCAAAATATTTAAGGAGATTAAGCATCTGTTTTATTAACTAATTTAATTGATATATGTAACATGAGGTGTGATTAAAGATAGTATTACCTTTCCTGCTGCTTTAGAAGATCCAAAAATTTCCTCATCAGAATCAGACCCTTTCTTGGCACGCTTCTTGGGAGGTGCTTTCTTCTTTTCAGGCTGTTCTTTGGCAAGAAGCTGGCGCTTTTTAGCTGGAGCTGTAAAACAACAACAATCAACAAAAATTTTAAAAATCTCAAATGTATACCTCTATTGTCAAACCAAATGTAGAAACAAACATGGCACTTGGGGACATGACATTACTAACACCGTCCAGTGGAAGCAGTAAGTAAGCACAAGCATTTCTACAGTCTTAAATTTATTTTTGAATTGACAAAAACCACAGAGGACACCAGATAAACAATTTATTATTACTGAAGAAGATTTGGTTACCTTTCTTTTTTGGATCATCAGCTGGTTTGCTAGGAGGGGCATCATCATCTTGTGAATCACCAGCAGAGAAGAGTGAATCAAACATTTGGTCAGAAGATTCTAATAATGGAAAAGAGAAACAAAATTGACGAACATGTCATTATTTTTACTAAAATTCAAAAGCAAAATCTATCCTAAAACAAACACCTTTTTTTTCTCCTAAAAAACAAAAAACAAAACAGAGATGCTCTTTACTATCAAAAGAAAAAGTTGTATGGTGTCTTACGTTTCGCTGGTGCAGATTTTGCAGGCTTAGGCACATCCTCAAAGATATCTTCTTCGTCAGATTCATTGTCCTTCTTGGCCTTCTTCGAGTTGGACTTGGATTCAAATTCATCATCAGTATCGCTCACAATAATGTGTCCTCTAAAAAAGGAAAAAAAAAGAACATTATGTTAAAAATTAAGGAGGAGAGTTGATATAGTACGGCATTCAAAGACTTTTCAGAACTCACTCATTTTCTGGTGCGGAAGGACTTGTGCCATTGTTAGTATCTCTAAATACTAAATCTTCATCGTCAGTTCCAGCACTGTCGCTATCACCAAGCATTTGCTTGTAATTGGCCTTGGATGCAGCTGAGGGGAGGGAAGTAAGAAGGTTTACATTCAACAGGCTAATACAAACTTCCATAGCACAGTTAAGTGGTTAATTACCCGTTCGTCTGGGACCTCTTTCTCTAACTGGTGAATCAAAATCAACATCAGAAAGATCTCCATCAATATCAGATTCATCAGAATTCCAGGTGGTTTTCTTCTTAGGAGAATCTTTTTTCTTGAAGTTAAGTTTAGTCTGCTTTAAGGCGCCTATAAGAAAACAATGTCATGTAACTGACTGAAAGAAGTCACTTCTTCCCATATGGGTCGTTATTGACACCACCTAAAAATAATTCTTCAGCTACAATGAGCTTTACTACAAAACGTAACTCACCCTTGGCTTTCTTTTCAATGGCTTCAGGAGATGTGCCAACACGGTCTTTCAGTGACTTTGAGGATGCTTCAATCAAGAGATCCAAATCGTCCTTTACTTCTGCTCCATCACTCTTTCGCTTCTTAGCGCGGCCTGTTGCTCCTGGTGGCCTGGCCTTGGCAGCGTCCAGTTTTTCCGCCTTTTTGCGCAACTCCTCATCCATAGACGGGGGGATGCGCCGCCCGTTTGGATCTGGCAGTGTGTCTCCATGCACAGTGGTGTTCTTCTTGGCTCTACCAGCCCCCTTCTTCCCGCCGGCACTCGCGACAACAGGCATCTTCTTGGATTCATGCTTCTCTTTTTCTTCCCACTTGTCCAGCTGTCAGGTGAAAAGCAAACAGTTAATGTAGCTAAAAAGCTAGCATTGATCAAACAAAGCACTAAAATGGTAGGGTTTGTACCTCCTGAAGGAAGATGTCAAGGTCTTTAATCCAAAGTTTTTCAGGTGACATGGATTGAAGATCACTGAGCTCCTTCATTCTTTCATCTTTCAACTTCAGGAGTTCCTCTTTCTTTTCATGAGTCAAAGACCACAATGACATGCCAAGTAGGTAATTGAAATCATGACCATCTTCTTGTTCAGCCACATCAGATTCATCATCATTCTGTAAGTTTAAGAGAATTAATTGAGTTTGTTGAGGAACGTCAAAGTGCTTTGGCATCATTAATGTAAAGAAAACCATACTGAATCTCTGCCTTGTTTGGCCGCCCAGGCTTTCTCAGGGTCTGAATCATATCCACGAGCTTGGAGCTCCCTGATCATTTCCGCTTTCTTTTTGTTCTCAATGACCAACTTGTTACTGCATTTCTCCAAAATAAACCTATAAAAATAAAAACAGACAGTAGGTTCTGGACAGAGATGTCACAGCACAAGTATTAAACAAATACTGCATGATCACTCACCTTACTTGGTTTTGCAGCTTTCGTGACTGTCCATCCAAATAACCTTCCATATATGACTTGCGTTTTTTGTAAAGGTCCAAACGAACTCTAAAGAAGTCTTTCAATATTTCAGCAATTGTTTCATACTTGCGAAGGACCCCCATCTCATCAAACAAGCACATACAAGATATATGGATATACTGGTAAAGCTTGAATACTTTATGTAAGCCTTCTTCCTCAAACTTGGCTAAGTTATCCTTTGAAAGAGACACTACAAAGCGAACTGTTGTGTCAGTGCTGTATTCCCTATAATCTCTGCAGATAAAAAACTCAGAGTCAACAGGCATACTATTTTAAAGGTAAACACTATTAAACATTTATCATATTGCAACTTACGTTATTTTTGGTTGAGTATTGCCAGTAGGATTCAACATCGGTTCTAAAACAGACTCTTTGTAATCAGTAGTCCATTTACCAACAGGAAGTTCAGTTATTTCTATCTGTTCTTCTCTCAAGACAGACACTTCTCCATAAGTAACGAATCTGCTTTCACCCACAACATCCATGACACCAGTATGTTTTCTGTACCAAGGGAACTGAAGACACAACAAATAATATTAAATGAACAGATCTCACCATTGTGAACAATAAAGAGTAAAATAAGAAAGTCAATCAATCAATCAATCAATCAATCAATCAATCACGCAACCCCTCTCTTTGCATCTTGCGGAACTAAAAAAGAAAATTGATACTCACCATAGCAACTGGCTCATCACCATGAATCATACGTTTTATGTTTTCAACAATTTCACGGGGGTTAAAATTTGGAACTTTGGTACTCCAACCCGTACCAATACCCTCGCAACCATTTACAAGAACCATGGGAATAATTGGGCAGTACCACTGTGGTTCAATTTTTTGGTTATCATCATAAAGGTTTTTCAACAGAGGTGTGTCGGATGGATGGAAGAGAAGTTTTGTCAAAGGGCTGAAAGAAGTTTTAAAAGTCATTACTTAAGGCGCACTGCGATATGAATTTTTCTGAGAATTGCTGGGAAGTAGTAAAGGAACTTACTGCAACATAGTAAAGATATAACGGGGGCTGGCAGCATCTTTGCCTCCTGAAATCCTGGTACCAAATTGACCGTTGGGAAGCAGAAGATTAATATTGTTAGTACCAACAAAATCTTGAGCCAAGCCAATAATGGTTCCCATCAAAGACACTTCACCGTGATGGTAGCTTGACAACTCTGCGACAGAACCAGCTAGCTGTGCCACTTTCACTTCTTTCTTGTCATTCCTCTTCAAACATGTGTAAATAATCTGAAAATTTAATGAGTAGGAAACTTGGCATGATATAATGAATCAAATTTGTAAATGGCACAAAAATTACGAAGAGCACAGCATAGCAAGACAAAAGATTATTATATATTGATAATTTAATATTTCCGAACACAAACCTTTCTCTGTCCAGGCTTAAAACCATCAACCATTGATGGAATAGAGCGTTCATTGTCCATGTTCGAGAAGAGGATTAACTCTTTGTTGACAAATTCAGAATAGTTAACAGATTTCGTTGTCTTGTTATACAGGTACTCCTCAGGAAGCCCAAGCTCTGTGCGTCTCTTACAAGATTCCATCCAGTTAGTGAGCCACTCCTTTCTTTTCTCAACTTCTTTCTTGGAGAAAGCCTGAAAGTTAATGAATGAAAATAAAATGACATTTAAATAAGGCAGCAGCACACTTCCAGGTAGCCTCTGTGTCTACTTTGAAAACATGACTATACTGGCATACCATTATAATGTTGTGATCATCTTCAGCACCTTGATAATTGAACTTGATTCTGTGACGTCCCATGTCTGAGAAATATTCCTTTGCTTCCTGGGCACTAGATGTTCCCAAACCTGAAATTTTAATTAGAATTAGTCAAAGTTAAACTAGTTAATCAATTTGAAGCATTGTATCAAAGCAAAGCACCTTTGTAGTACTTTATGGTGAAGGTATGCCAATTGTTGGTTTCCTTTTTCCATTCTTCAAATTCTGGCAGGGAGAAGAAAGATAGCTCTTGTTCTTTCTTCCGGGCCTTCACAAGTGGAGTGATGAATTCTTCCAAGAAAGGCAATCGAAGCAATGAGGGCCAAAAGTGGTGAATGAAGTTGATAAGTAAACCCTTAATGTGGGAGCCGTCTTGATCCTGATCTGTCATGATCATGAGCTTGCCATATCTTAATGATTTCAAGTCATCCTGAGTTTCATACTTCTTTTTGTGCTGCAGCCCAAGGATCTTGATAATTGAATTAATTTCTGCATTTTCCAAGATTTGTTTGTGTGTAGCTTCTCTGACATTGAGGAGTTTACCACGAAGTGGGAAAATACCATATTTATCTCTGCCAACCACACTAAGCCCCGATACTGCTAAAGTTTTGGCCGAATCTCCCTCTGTAAGGATTAACGTACAATCAATGGAATTCTTCGTGCCAGCATCATTAGCATCTTCCAGCTTCGCAACTCCCCTCAGTTTAGAGGACTTCTTCCCACTCTGCTTTTTCAGGTCAGTTGATTCTTTGAACTTAGCCCATGCCTGAATAGACTCAACAATACCCATTTTGTCCACCTGTTTAAAGAATTTTTCTGTAAGATTAGGCTTGGAACCAAAGCTTTTGACTTGAAGTGTCATGTTTTCCTTGGTTTGGGAATCAAATGTGGGGTTTTCTATGAGACAGTTGACAAATATGAACATGTGAGATTTGATTTGGAATGGCTTGACAGCTACTCCTCCCTTATTCTTCTTTTTAAAAGCTTCAATTAAGTGCTTCACTATTTGATCTACAATGCAGTCAACATGGCGACCACCCTATAAGTACAAGAAATAAACTTTAGAAAGAAAGAAAGATAAAGGATCAAACAATAACAAACCAAAGATCTGCAGAATATTTTAACTTGCCTTGTATGTTGCAATACTGTTCACAAATGAGACTTGTTGAAATCCCTTTTCAGAGAGAGAAATGGCAACCTCCCAACGTTCATGCACTTTCTCGTAAATAAGAGTGGATTTATCAGCTTCATCTATGCCTCTCAAATAAAAATCAGCATACTCTTTGAAGTTTTTAACCTTACAGAATGAAAAACATGAGGGATTCAGCTTCAAGTCATTGAAGAAAAAGAAAACCTGTGAAATATACACCATTTAAAAGAGTGGTTACCTTCACTTTTTCACCATTGAGGTAGACTTTCACTCCAACACATGCCGCAGCAATGTCAAATGCTCGTCTTTCCATGAGTTTGATGATATCATCTTCTAATTCTGTCATTTTAAATTTAGTAAGATCGGGGTGGAATGTGATTTTTGTAAAATCATCGCCAGTGCACTTGGAGACTCTAGGATCAGTTGCTTTGCTCATGTTGTTGGCCCAAGTCTACAAAGTAAAATAAGATAAAAAAAAGGCATGACCCTTTGAAGTTAGGGAAAATTAAAATAACAGCGCAAAGAAACGAAACTCTTTGCTTTAAACTCAGACTGCTTACTTGTTTCAGTTGCATTCCAAACTCCTTGGATGATGTTTCCACAGTGAACTTGGTGCTAAAAATGTTACAAAGCTTGGCACCATAACCATTACGACCACCAGTGACCTTCTTCTCATCGTCGTCATAATTGGAAGAAGTGAGAAGATGTCCAAATATCATGGTCGGAACATACATTTTCTCATCTTTGTGCTCAACAACTGGGATTCCTTTTCCATTATTCCACACAGATATAAGATTCTGCTCCCTGTCACAGAATCAAATTCATATCAGTAAAAAACCAGAAAAAACATGACGAAAAGAACAAACACAGATGAACTTATGTGAAATTTGGAACAGATAAATAGTGCAAAAGTAATTGAAACTATTTACTTGTTTATCACAATTTTGATGCAGTCCATTTTGGGGTCTCTTTGTTTGTTGTCAGCAGCATTCACTAGGATTTCATCAAATATTTTGTACAGGCCAGGAACATACTTGAGCTCTTGTTGGACCATCATGTCTTTCTCTTTATCATAAACCCACATTTGCTCAGTGACAGGTTCCACAGAACCTAAAAGCAAACCAAAATTTTTTAATTCAGTAGAACAGCTCATTAATATGGTAAACAGAATCAGTAAGAAATGTGATATTTTTATACCAATGTAAGTGTCAGGACGAAGAAGAACATGCTCCAACTGAGACTTCTTTTGATAAATCTTCTCAACAGTAAGTTTCTTTTGAGGCTTTGCTGGAATAGCTTTCTGCCCCCCACCACCATTGGCAGTGGGGTTGTATTCATCATCACTCATCTTGGTAAAGTAAGGTGCTTTCTGAAAAGAGAAGAGCAGACCATAAAGAAGGATCAGTGAAGTTAGATTGCACAGGACTGTCCTTGGTTAATGATGAGAGCCATACAAGTTCCTTATGCTTTGCCACACACTTCAACTAACAAGAAAATTTTATCATTAACAAGACTTTATGAGCTACGTCTAATGAAGCGACTGGTTCGAGACTCAAATCGTAAATTCAGCAATAGATAAATTTGATTCCCACTGATGGCTGTGAATTAAAGAAGAAAAGAACAAGGCCAAAATGCATTCCAGATTACAATAAAAACAATGAAGTGAATGAACTGCTGAGATGAAATGTCACATAATATTGGGTGAAATGACAATGTATGCTCATACTTCACACAAGAGACTGTTTCAGCTTGTGACTTACAGAAAACCAACCGAAAAGACGGGCTCGAATAAACAATGATAAGGGGCCGCTGTTTTTCAGCCGGCTTGCATTCATAACCAATGGACCAAGAGGATTCGGAAGATTCTCCCAAAACCAGTAAAGGACGTTACCAAGCCCGGCTCGATGTCGGCACTGAACCAGTTCAAGGTACTACTCATGCCTCCTGCGACAAACTCAACCAAGACAAAGGGACACTTTACAAGAGCAGCACTTACATTTAACCGGCACTGAAATGGATTGGAGGTTTTACTTTCGTCTCTGAACCGAAGCCTATTCGCCGGTTACCTGCGAAAGGAAAGCGGACACTTTAACCAAATACCAACATGAGGAAGCCCGAAGAATTTCGGATTCTAAAACTGACAGCCGCATGAGTTAAGTTCAGTTAACAGAACAATGCATTCAGAAACAAACAAAACCCTTTAGAAATGTATTTAAAACTCACTGCAAAAGCGTCTTGAAGGCGTCAGGCATCCACCATTTTGCGCGTGTTGAGATGGTTGAGATGCAACGGCAGTCGCAGCAGCAGCGGTGGCGGAACGACACGGCCGGGTGTTTACCCCTTTCGCGTTCGCGCGTAATCGTTTCTTGGTACAGTCGCCCAAAATGGTGACAAATACTGATTGACACATCGATGCCCCCAGACTCTAAAGTAAAAAAAAAATTGAATTCAATTAAGTGAGCTTTTACGTTTTAATTTTCTTCGACTTAATCTTTATTAAAGAAAAATTTTCCTACCACCGCCTTGACACAAATTTTCAAGGACGTTCTGGAACGTAGAACTGCAGTAAGTCACAAGGCACCATCAAGTGAGTTTAGGCGCGAAGCCTCTGTCTAAAGTTCTTTTTCCCGCTCAAAAAACATCATTGTTCACTCGTCAGTTGGCTTATCGTCATCGTCTGGTCTTGGTCCGCGACTGACGCTGTATTTTCTTTCCTCTACTTCCTTTGTGGTTTCGGAAGATAATTTTCGAGTGCCCTCACTCTGCCGTATTGTGCAACAGTCGAAACCAAAGAAAGCAGCCAAGATGTTTGAAGCACGTTTGGTTCAGAGTATGATCCTGAAGAAGGTCCTCGATGCCATCAAAGACCTTCTCAATGAGGCCACGTTCGACTGCTCTGACTCGGGCATCAAACTGCAGGCCATGGATAACTCTCACGTGAGCTTGGTGTCGTTGAGCTTGCGGTCCGACGGCTTCGACAAGTACAGATGCGACCGCAACCTCTCCATGGGCATGAACCTGGCCAGGTGAGTTAACCATTCATTTTGTCGGGTGGCCGGGGACCGGTACAGAGGGTGTCCCAACTCGGTTTGGGGTTTAGTAGTTGTCCTCATTGCTCACCAGTCAAATCAATGTTGTGCATTCTGACCCATCGTTGCGTTCATGATTATACGCTGAACTGAGGTATTTGTTGGTCAGTCGTAATTCCTTTCCCTGGAGTAACTCTTCATCTCTCAGTTTTCTGCTATCCTTTCTCTTAGTAACTTGTATTCTAACTTCTTGAAAATTTGCTTGTCTTTTTCTAGCATGACCAAAATCATGAAGTGTGCGGGTGGAGACGACGTGCTGACCATGAAGGCCCAAGACAATGCCGACACAGTTACGTTCATGTTCGAGTCACCGAACCAGGAGAAGGTTTCTGACTATGAGATGAAGCTAATGAACTTGGACCAGGAACACTTGGGCATTCCTGTAAGTTCAACAATTTAATTGCAATAATTCATATCCTGGCCACTTTAATTCTAAAGCTGTCAATTTTTTTACAGGACACAGACTATTCCTGTGTTGTCAAAATGCCATCAGGAGAGTTTGCTCGCATCTGCAGGGACCTTAGCCAGTTTGGAGAGTCTGTTGTGATTGCCTGCACCAAGGAGGGTGTTAAATTTTCAGCTGCAGGTGATATTGGCTCAGGTAAGAACTCATGTGATTGTTTCCAAACTATTATCTTAATTTTTTTAAAGACATTGTGTGTTATTGATTACCTACCTGATTTGCAGCCAACATTAAACTAGCTCAGACTGCCAATGTTGACAAGGAAGAGGAAGCTGTTACAATTGAAATGCAGGAGCCAGTAACTTTAACCTTCGCCTGCCGATACTTGAACTCCTTCACAAAAGCTACACCTCTCTCTAACCAGGTTTGTGGATGGAATTTAATGGTTGCCTTGTTTCTCTGTTCAAAAATTAATTCAAGTTTGTTTTGTTTCACAGGTGTGTTTGTCCATGTCTGCTGATGTTCCTCTTGTGGTAGAATACAAAATTGGAGAGGTTGGACACATCAGGTATTACCTTGCTCCCAAGATTGAAGAAGAGGAAAGCCATTAAGTGTACTGTACATTATTTATTTTTAATTTTTCTGTTTGCACCTCATGTGTTTGTCAATGTCATTCCTCAAAAGCATGTTTGATAAGGTATTCGAAATGATCAGCTCCATAGTCTTATTTTAATAAACTCTTATTTTTTACTATGTGTGATTTTTTATTAATCCAATGTGTGGGACATAAAGGATTTGATTAGAGAACTAGCAGCCTTTCTTTGTATTGCAACTAATTTCTTTTGTACTCTTCAGTTTTACATGCAATCAAGAGACTAGATAACAAACAAAAGTGCGATAATTGACTGTGATTCAACATGAACTCAAAAATCTATTATGGTACCATTCTTACTGTTCATTTGAAAGGATTTGATTTTCAATCACCAACGAGTTTCAAAAATTAATTTATGAAAATAGCGGTAAGCCTTAATTCTCTCAATGAATGAAGATAACAAAGCTGAGCAGAATACCCATGTACAGATAATTGAGAACTAACTTAATTGTTAACGATCTTCAACCTCAATAATTTTAACTAGGATGTCTACACCAACATCACCCTCATGCTCTGCAATCTGGGGCTGAAGTCTCCTTAGGGTGTTCTTCACAATCTGCAGAAAACATTAGAAAGTTACTTTGTTGAAACTGGTGACTTTCTGTTAATGTTCCTTAGCAGTGTTCATGTTACCTTTTGGATGAGAGCAGGACTTGGCTCGCCTCCATGACTGCCAGCCGGTACCTTCTTCACAGCTGTCCGCACGAGCGTCGGCTCGGTTTTGATGTCCTGTGCTGTGCCATCGTGCTCAACCTTGAGGGAAAGAGGGATTGAGGGGATCACATCATTGTTCATTTAAAAAGAAACAAAAATCAACAAATTTCTATGAAAGAAGTAGAAAAACTTGATAATACTTCAAAAAATACCAAATTAGCTATTAGCGTTTAAGAAAATCAACATTGCTAAGATTCTTAAATTATTACAATTCACCACGGCTGGCTTAAAGGGGATCTCAAATAAAGCAACAAAGTAAGATTATACTTTACCTCAACCTGGGGCAGGTTTTGAGTGGGGGGTGCTGGCGACAACCGTCTGCCGTGTCCTCGTGGCCGCTGTTGGTCCGGACTGCTCTGCACCGAGAGGGACTCTTCGGACACGGTTCTGGCTGGAGCCTGCGGCCGCCTCCTCCGCTGAGGTGGTGGCGTTCGCCTCGGCACCTCGCTGACATCCTGCGCGTCCTCCACGGGCACAGGCCTGGGCCGTAGACGCCTGCGGAGGGGCCGCCGCTGTGGCTGGACGGGCTGGAGGGCCTCGAGGTCCTGCGCTTCCTGAGGCGCAGTGGCGGGGGTGGAAGGGACCGCGTCGTCCGGGATGAGGTTGTCGTCAGGCGCGTCTGTCACGGGCCTGGGACGAAGCCGTCGACGTAAAGGCCGCTGTTCGGACACGGAGACATGCTCCTCTTCCTGCTGGGGCTGGCGGCTCGGGACCGCGCCTGCGACGTCCTCGCTGGCTCCAGCACCAGTGCTAGCTCGCACGGGGTCCGGGCGGCGCCGGGCCGGCTGGCTGCGCTGCGGCTGGACAAGAGGAGCATGTTTCGGTCACACCACTGCATTTGATCAGGGTGGCACGTCTGCAGGCCGAGTTCGAGAGTTCGAACAGTGCTCTCGCTGTCATGAGTGAGGCGAGGCTCCATTGGAATGCAAGAGAGACAGCGAAGAAGCTCTGTTCGAGATGAGCCGGCTCGGCTGGGCGCTATGGGTAATTGTCAAAGGAGCCGTCGCGTTACTTGTCGCGTGCCGCCTGAGGTAGGCAGGTGCAAGCTTTGCAAGGCAGTGGCTGCGGTCTGGGGTCCAACGAGGCGTCCCGCGCCGGGCTCGTGGTGCGGCACGTGGTGCGGCCGAGACGCGACTGCAGTTGCACTGGCGCGGCGTTTCGTCCTGGGTAATGACTGTCGTGCGGGTGTAATGCCGAGCCGACCCCGTGTTCCGTGTCGTCGTGTCGAGTCGCGCCACGTCGGGATGAGTCCCGTGTCCCAATACCACTGCACCACATTCGAGGTGGTCATTCCCTACCTGGTCGCTGCCCTGCCGGACGCGGTGGCTGGCCCTGTAGCGCTGAGGGCCCCTGGTCGCCGGGATGGGCTCGAAGGGGGCCTCAGGGGCGTCCTCGTGGGCCTCTTCACTGCGTGCGGTGGGTCGAGATCGCGAGGCGGGTTGCCGTCGCTGCGGAGGGGGTGTGGCGGGGGCCTCATCGTGGACGTCACCTTGCTCGTTGCGCTGCGGGGGCGGCTGGTACTGGTTGGCGTGCTTGCGGGGCTTCACCCGGAGCACGTCGCCCGAGCCACCCGCGTCCGACGCGAACGTGCGCTTGGGGAACTTGCTGCGGTAGCCCGGCGGCAGGTCGGCGTCGGCCTCGACGCGCTGCTCCGTGGACGCGGTGGGCACGTCCTCCTGGGCCACCTGGTCGTGGAGGGGCGTCGGCGCTCCGGCAATGTCGTTGCTTTCCAGGTTGCCGTCGTCGTCGAGGTCGTCCTCGGTGGGCAGGTGCGTGGGGTAGCGCCGCACCGCCTCGTACGAATCCACCACGGCGTCGCTCTTGGCGTCGTGCTCCGCCTCGGGGACGTTCAGCTCGGCCACCTTCTTGGGGCGGACCGGGCGTCGGACGGGGCGCCGCTGCAACAAGAAGCGCAGGGTGGAGGCGACCGTGACATGCATGCACGCGGACACACTTGCAACACACCCGCCTCAAACGCACACGGCCGCCTATTAAACTTTTTTGTGGAATTTCGACGGTGTCCGTAAACGGCAAAATAAAATCTGATAACGGGGCCTTGCCGCCCTGCCGCCATGCCCATAACGACCTTGTTCCACGACGCTCTTTCGCCACTTGGCGGCTGCCCCTGTGCCCTGCCCGCCCTGCCATGTGTGGCCGAGCGGAGTCAAGCGGAGTGTGTTGGTCCGGTTTTGTCCTCTCTATGGCTGCGCGCAGAAACCTGCCGCCGCTGCGGACTGATTCTCAGAGCGTTTTTGTCGCCCTGTCTCTCTCGCACCTATACTGGACGCTCCATGAGTGCGAGAGGAACAGGGCGTCGAAGCCCGGCAGTCCGTAGACAGTCCGCAGGCAGAGCGAGAGGCAGTGCTCCCATTGTAATGACAGGGACGGGACGGGGCAGGCCGGTCGGCTCCATCGGCCACTCATGACGGCATGCCGCTGCCCATGGCAATCGAGTCCCCGAAGCGCAGCGCGGCGCGGCGCGCAGCCACAATCCCAAAGACTGCCCGTAGAGAGCCATCGCTACTCCCCGCGCAAGAGGCTCGGCGGCGGCCAATCTACTACACGCGGGGGGTCGGCAGGGAATAATTTAGCATTGAGTGCGTCGAGGAGAGGGGCAGCGACGGCACTTTGGTTGTCATTTCATGATCTTCCGACTCGTCGCGAAGGCCTGCGTCGTCGCGGCGCCCACACTGCCCGGCTGCAGCGCCATGCGCTTGTCCAATACGCGACCAAGGTCGCCGACCTGTCATTGGCCGAGGCGGAGCGGAGGCCCACGGCGTGGCGAAGAAGAGCGTCTTGTGACGCTGCAGCGCTGCAGCAGACTGACCTGCAGCGCGGGGCTGGCGGCCACCTCGTTGGCGTCGTCCTCGCTGAGTCGGCGCTGGCCGCGGTGGCGAGCTCCGCGCGCCGTAGTGCTGGCCGCCACATCGTGGCCCTGCTCGTCGGGGAGCACCGCGTCGAAGCGCCGCTGTCCCGGCGGCAGCTGCGGGGTGTCATCCGTCACCGAGGAGCCCGCGGACGGGTCGCGGTGCCCCGTGCGGGACCGCTTGCGCACCTGGACGGAGAAATGGAGCCATCAGAACATGTACAAGACGCCAAGCAGGCAAGCAGGGCAGTGTGCTGGGCAGTGCGACGCAGTGCTGCGTCGCGGCACTCACCGAGTAGGGTCGACGGTGTCCCTCGGGGAGGTCCGGGATGTGCGCCACGCCGTCATCGTTGCAGGGCACGGCGAACTCGGCGCCGCCCTCGGCCGCGGTGGCGGCAGCGAACGCCGCGCACGCAAGCAGCGCCAACGGCTGCAGCGGACAAAGCTGAGATTAATACTTAAATGAGGGACTTGGATGACACCGCCACGCCACACGCCCGCGCCCACGCCGCCGTGCCGCGAAACCAGGCGCGGCGCGTCACGGCGCGGCGGCGCGCGTGTGTGAATCATAGCGTTCAAAAGGATCCGAGGACTCCACCGCCTCGCCTCGCCTCGCCACTACTCGCTACCCGCTGGCTGCGTGTCAGGACTAGCCAACTAGTCGGTGCCGACTTGGAGGCCAGGCCGCGGGCCCAAGGGGCCGCGGGCCGCAGCAGTGACCCAGTGGCATACAGGGACGGTGCCGCGGTCGCTCGGCACGCCTAAATGACGCATAAGTGAGACGTCAGGTGGGACGGTCTGGGCCTGGACGGTCCTGGAGTCCTGGACACATCTCGCTCCAGCGCCGTGCAGCGCCGTGGGACTGCATGTCGCAAGGAGGGCGCGCGCCGCGCGAAGTGGTGTCGGTGGGTTGCGGGCGAGGACGTGCCAACGTGCCCATCGAGGGAGGCCGTTGAAAGCAATCGAAAGGGAGAGGGGCGAGGTGGAGATAGCAGTGAGATAAGTAGTGCAACCCGAAAGCCGTGCCCGCGCCTCTCCGATAAGTCGGAAGAGATCCCACTTCCTCATCAGTCAGGATGGCCGAGCGGTCTAAGGCGCCAGACTCAAGGCTGATCCCTTGCTCCGAGTCGGAGCCGAGTGTTCTGGTCCTCGTCTGAGGGCGTGGGTTCAAATCCCACTTCTGACATAACTTTTTATTGACATGAAGTGGCCGAGTCAATGCGCTCCTCCGTCGTTGGATTCTATTTTTCGACACCCCGCCTTGTTTGCTGCCTTCCCTCGTCCGGGACGCCCCCGCCCCGGTGGCACACAAGGTGGCACATGGTAGCACACGGAGGCCGGCAAGGCCAAGACCAGCCGGCACCAGCCGAGGCTAGGCTCCCGCCGCGACACGCAGTGGGTGTCACCGCGTTGGAGTTCCCCGCCGCCGAGGCAGGGCGAGGCAGAAGCACACACAATACAATCGAAACCAAACCGTAAACACTAACCACACGTGCCGCGTGTCGCGGGCTGCGGGCCGCGTGCGATCCACGCCGCGTTTCGGAAATGACCGCACAGGTGATCCAAACGACCCGGCCGAACCGAGAGACCAAAAGGCGGGTTTCGCGTCGCAGGGGCACGCCTTGCGAAAGGCCCACCGCGCCCCGCCCCGCCCCGCCCCGCGAGCAGAAGCGCCCACCGGACCGGCTGGAGGGGCGTGTGGACTGCGACACGCGTGTTGCCATGGTCTCGACGGCGGCAGCGCGCGCGAAACAGAATCACAGGCTCAAACAATTTGACAGAATAAAAAAGAGACCTGCGCAAAAAGGCTCTGGCGACCTTGCGCCGTTTATAATTGACGTACATCATGTTGGTGGATCCTGAAAAAATCGGGGGGAAACTGGTTTGTCGCTTTGAGTAAGCCGAGGGCGAAATTAGGCAACCCGCGTCGTATGGCATCGCGACGTGATAATTACGTGTCCAGGTGGCGCGCGGGGCGTGGCGGGGCGTGGCGGGGTGGGGCGTGGCGGGCAGTCTTCCCGGGAGCCGGCAAGCGGGATGGCACCTGGGACCGGCGTCCTTGACCCAATTCGGATTAGTATTTCGGACCACGCGAGAGTCTCCGCCGCCCATGCTGGTTCGGCCGCGCCCGGCCGCGCCCGGCCGCGCCTGGCCACGCCCGGCGCGCTGCGTTCGAGTTTTCATGCCGCCTGCTGCCACTGCCATTGCCGTTGCCGCCGCACTGAATGGATGTGTGGATGTCTTCTCGCGGTCCAGCCGAACGCGGAGTGATACGCCTGCGCCCGCCTTGCCGCCTTGCCTTGCCACACCACGCAGCCACTTCGGGCCACTTCGGGCGCGGGCGCCGGACCGCGGGCTGGTTTCGAACACGCACTCTGCGCCCCGTCGCTCTGCCTCCCTCCCACCCCGAAGGGCCGAAGGGCCGAAGGGACGCTCCATGAGTGCGAGAGAGACAGTGGGACGAAAGGGCGGTTCGGAATCATCCTGCTGCCCAACTCGATCATGTGCCAACGCCCCCACGCCCCGCGCCTCCAACCACGTCACGTAGGCTGTACGCTTGGCGGCACGTCCGAGCCGGTCCCACCGCCCCCTCGCGTGCTGGACTCGAAGAAGACCGGGCCAAGTCCGAGCCTCGTTACCGATCATCTCGATGATGCGAGGCTCGTTAGGGAAAGGAGTAGTACCGGCAAATGGGTCGTGGCTCGTGCCCGGCCCCGCCCCGCCCCGGACACCACGCTGAACGTACTCACGAGCTGCCTCATAGTTCACTGTCCTCTGCGCCGCCTAGAAGACACGCAGCCTCTCGCAAGGTCGGCAAGGCCCTCGCCGTCGTCGTCCGGCGACTCTCTGGCCGCGTCTCTGCTGCAACCTGGAGGAAGAAGCAGAGGCAAGAATGACTAGCAAATGGCGACGCGGCAGGTTCGGGCAGCGGTCACGCACATGGCCCAAGTTTTTGTTTGTTTTTGCATCCCGAAGGACGCGGACGAGGAAAAGAGCGCGGCCGAGCTAGAAGCTAGAAGGGCACTTTGCTCCCTGGCCGCCAGCACTGCGCCAGCACTGCGCCAGCATGCGCCAGCAGTGATGAATGCTGGGTCGCGCGGCCCGCGGCCTGGGGGCACCTGTCCTGGCCTGGCCGGGCCAGTCCGCCGGCCCCCCGGACGGGATGCATGTGGTGCAAGTCGGGATCATGAACCTGTTCAAGGTCGGCCCCGCCCCGCCCCGCCCCGCCCCGCCCCGCCTTGTCCGGTGCCTGCATCGCCTTACGTCACGCAATCAGGCCGACCAACAATGCGGCAGGCCGGCAGGCGAAGGGGCGCGAAATGGGAATGAGGTGGGGGGCGGGAGGAACAGAGACGGGGCGACGGGCCGACGGGCCGACGGGCCGACGGGGCTCCGGTCTCCGAAACTCGACTCGGCGTCATTGGCACGGCCGGGCGTCCATCATGTCCAAGGAAGCAGCTGCGCCTCCCGGACCGCCTCGTCGCTCCACGCTGCAGGATGGACAGTCGTTTCGTCGCCCCGTCTCTCTCGCACCATGGGACTACCCGTGCGGGTGCGAGAGAGACACAGCGACAGAGCACTGTTCGGAATCGCGCGGCTGTCGCGTTGTTGGGCAATCCGGCATCGCGTGATACGGCACGATCTGCCGCAGCATCGCCAACAACCAACAATCCGTCTGAGCGCCGCGTAGCGCCGCGTGAAGAGGGATTTGAATATACAGTGATACAGACCCAAGACGGCGCCACTGACCGCGCATTCGGCGAGTCCATTACTTGCCGTTCGATCCGCCAGTCTGCCGTGAGAGGCTGCGCATTTTTTTATCGTCCCATGATGGGGCTGCGATACGTACGCCTCAGAGGCTGGCGATGATGAGTACCAACGGGGAGGTTTCGGCTTCGCGACCAACTCACCTGCGTCGCTGCGTCGCTGCGTCGGGGGAGTCCGTGGGGCACCTGCTGCACGCCGCGCTGTTGTGTTGACTGACTAACGCGGTGGAGGGACCGCCGGGACCGCCGCTGCCTCCTCCAGGCTCCTCCAGACCGCCCGGCCCGGCCCGGCCCGGCTCGGCTCGGCGCGGTCCGGCCCCACTCCGGATCCTGTGGCGCGGCTGGACTCCGCTCGGAGCGACATTAATAAAGACTGGACCCTTTACAGGCTTCAGGACTCTCCGATCGAAACAGCCATGTATGTTTTGAACGCATCTCGCCGGGGGTTCAAGTAAAGCATCGTGGCACGTTCCCGTTGATGTGACATCATGACAATGCAACATGCATCCGGCGTTCGAGACGTCCTTAGACCCCTGCAGAAACGGATCCAGAATTTCCGTTCTTTTGGTGACGGGTGTGTCGCATGGCGTGCTTCTCGCCTCTGGCGACTCCCTCTCCCCCTCTCTGAACGCTCTCGATCCGCGCCTGCCAGTACACTGGCAAACACACCGGGAGGTCTCGACCTTCCAGAAAGGACGAAGCCCTACCCTTTCCGTGGATGTAATTGTTTCCTCCCTAGGACGTCTGGGACCGAAATAAAGCCTTTCCTCGCTCGTCGGTGGGTCACCCTATAGAAGTGTGCCACACATGCGCTTGAGACGGAGCAACAGTATAGCAGCGCCGCCTGCCGCGCTGAGTCCGCCATTTTGGTGGGTCCCATGGATCCTCCAGCGACACGGGCCGTTGCACATCGGTACCTGTGATGAGGATCAGACGCTAGTCCCTAGCGGCCAGGGGTCCTGAAAATAACGAGACTGCCCAGCAGAGGCACCGTGCGCTTTCAGTTGAAATCGGGATGAAGACGAACGGTCTCTTTTTTTCGCGCGCTCCTCCCCGTGCACCATGCACGTTCGCAAATAAATGGTTCTGCGTGGGCGGTGATTTCCTCTTCTTTTTCTCTGAGAACTTCCTGCTATGCACTTCGGAGCCAGGCAGCCGAGCAGCGAGCGAGCTGCAAGCGTCGCGGCCGGTCGCGGCAGGCAAGGCGAAGAAGATGAGTTAGCCTGACATTGAGCGGCCCAACCTGTTCCCAAAGCGCGGGTGACGCACTCCTTGGCCACGGCGAGGCACGCGGGCACGCAGGCTCGCCGCGAGGGCGAGGGCGGGTGGCGGGTTTCTGTCCACGGCCCCTGCGGAGTAACTCGCCGCGTCGCCCGCACGCCCGCTCGCGAGGTGCAGCGCGGCCAGCGCGGCCACCGCTTGCTGGCGCGGACTGTGTCCAGCCGCTCCAGCCGCCCAGCGGCTCAAGGACGTGAAGACGTGAACTCCGGGAGGCGAACCGGCCCGGCCGGGCCAGCCGGGCCACGGAGGGAGCCGTCAACTTGTTTTCATTTTCACGCCCGAACTGCCTCCCCCTCCCCTCCCCCTTCCCCCGGCCGGCACTGCGAGGGGCGCATCATTCCCTGTTCGCGGACACGCCGGCACTGCGGCACTGGGCGATGCGTGCTCGACGCGTGTCGTTTTTCCAAAGCGGAAACGCCAGACCGCCGAATGAGGCCCGCGACGCACCTGCAGACTCATTCCGAGAGTCGCACTCATGGGGCGTGTGTGACGCAGACACAGACACAGAGCGAAGCAGACGGCTCTCGGAGCCAGCCCGCTGGCCCGCAGAAGGGCCCTCGCCAGACTATTCCTGTCGCGGCGTATTTAGGAATGCGCCGTCCGGAGGAGACCGGGAATTTCAGAAAATCACCGTTTTTGCTGACTTTGAGCTGTCACTGCATCCAATTTAGTTGCGGTCAAAGGCCTCCCTCGACGCCTTACTATTCTGAAGACCCTACTCTTTCATGCCCCGCCTCGGGAAGGCTTTGACCACTGATAGTTTGGGAGCAGTGGTCTCGCAAAAATGGTCAAAAAGTAAATGAATTTCAGGAAATCACCGTTTTTGCTGACTTTGAGCTATCACTGCATCCAATTTAGTTGCGGTCAAAGGCCTCCCTCGACGCCTTACTATTCTGAAGACCCTACTCTTTCATGCCCCGCCTCGGGAAGGCTTTGACCACTGATAGTTTGGGAGCAGTGGTCTCGCAAAAATGGTCAAAAAGTGAATGAATTTCAGAAAATCACCGTTTTTGCTGACTTTGAGCGGTCACTGAATCCAATTTAGTTGCGGTCAAAGGCCTCCCTCGACGCCTTACTATTCTGAAGACCCTACTCTTTCATGTGCCGCCTCGGGAAGGCTTTGACCGCTGATAATTTAGGAGCAGTGGTCTCGCAAAAATGGTCAAAAGTGATTGAATCCCCGAAAGTATGATTGTCATTTCATTGGATGATGTTGATTACGCGCAATGATTATCTTGAGTCGGGTACCCCTTGAAATAAGCTGTTCCATTTTTACCCTGTGTCCCATAATTGCCCCAACTGACCCTAATACTAATACAAATTATTCAATTCAAGGGGAAGGGGGAAGAGGCCGCCGCGCCGCGTCTCTCCGCTCGCTGCGGAGATACTTTGCGCGACCGGTGCCCGCCCGCCTGGCTCGATTTTCGCAGCTTTCCGCCAAATTCCAAATTTCCAAATTCCAAATTTCCAAATTTTAGGGGGGGGGGGGCAGCCGGCCCACCCTGCACCCCACTTCCGGCGCCCCTGCCACGACGTGGAGTGCTGGGTCCAGCCCTCGGTCCAGCCGGGCCGGGCCGGGCGTGCTGCGGTCCGCGCCCGCGCGCTCCTTGTACATCCTTGCGGCACCGGTACACAGTGCAGCAGCTTTCGTCTTTCGTCGCGCTGTCTCTCTCTCCGAGGCGTCCCGTAGGAGGAGTGCGAGCGAGACAGCGACGGAGCACTGTTCGGCGTCAGACTGCAGTCCGTACAGTCCGTGCAGTGCGACACGTTGCATGACAATGGGCGGTGGTGGCGGCGGCAGCGCCTTTGCAGTCTTGCAGCGCCGGTCGCCGAGCCAGTCGCCCACCATTCATTGGGGAAACGAGACGAGAGTGTCCCGAGCCATCCACGAGCATGACACATCGGAGCGGCCGGCCGAGCCCACTGTTGACCAACCTGGAGCCACAGGTCCACTCCATTTCTTATGCGCGGCAGCCCCGCGGCAGCCGACGAGTCCCATTCCTTTTTCCTAATATGGGTCACTGACTGGCGCGAACCGACACACAATTGCTTGTATTTTCCAGCTTGGCAGATTCACATTTCAGTCGAAATTTGAGCGATGGGTATCGGAATAAGGTGCAAATTAGAAGTTAAATAAATCGTCCTTTATTTTCAGTTTTGCGTTTTCGGTACTGTGACTTGGTGGTGGGCAGCCGTGCTCACGCCTGGGGCAGGTGGGCACCGGACGCGCGGAAGCCGAGCTCGTCGGCCACCCAGTTGACGGAGTAGAGCACGCCGTCGGGGCCGGTGTAGGAGTAGGTGCCCTGCTTGGCCACGGCGGGGCCCTCGGGGCCGCCGCCCACCAGGGAACCCTCCTCGGAGGCGGTGATGCCGTTCTCGGTGGCGTAGCTGTTGCAAGAAACAAACAAGTGGAAGCTGCTTTGTGACACACCAAAAATCGCCTGTGCCTGCGGCATTGGAACTCACTGGGCGCGGTAGGGGCCGCTGGGGTCGACCTCCTGCACCTGCTTGAGGATGCGGTACTTGTAGGCGGGGGCGTAGCTGCCGCTGCCGCTGCCGGCGTACAGACCGCCCAGGGAGTAGTGGCTGGAGCTGGCCAGCTGCGGACAATGGTCGTGTCAGACATGGCAGCACGACGCGAGCTCCGGGCTGTTAGGCACCTTTCTCGACGAAGCCGCCGGACTGGTTGACCACCTCTCAGGCGCCGCGTGGCGAGAGCGGCCGAGCGGCCTAGCGCCGTGCGGGTAGGCCGCCCAATCAGCCGGGCGGCACGCGTGTGCAGCGCGCGGCCTACCCGCACGGCGATTGCGATTGCGATTAATGCCTGGACCACAAATGATCGTCTGGCTTTCGGGCCCGCCCGGCGCTCGCCGACCTCTTGGCGTCCCGCTACAGTTAGGACTTACCGGGCTGCTGTAGGTGACGGCGGGCGCAGAGATGCGAACCGCGGGCTTGCTGACGTAGTCTACGGCCACTGCGGGGCTCTGGACGTACTGGAAGGGGGCCTGGTAGTACGCGGCGTTGGAGGTGACGACGGCCGGGGTGTACTCGCTACGGTACGCACCGATTGCGGGCGTGTACTGGGTGTACACGTTGTTCGTGGTGACGGCGGGGTTATACTGGGAGTAGTACGCATTGCTGGACGAGACTGCGGGGGTGTACTGGGAGTAGTACGCCTTGCTGGAGGAAACTGCGGGGGTGTACTGGGAGTAGTATGCATTGCTGGAGGCGACGGCGGCGGGGCTGTACTGGGTGTAGTACGCGCTGGGCTCCGAAATGTATTGGTTCTGGTAGTTGTTGTAGCCGAACGCAGAGCGTGGGTAGGCGGGCTGGCGCCCGGACAGCGTCACGGGGCTCCTCAGGGTGCTGAAGTGGAACACGTCATCGTGGTAGTCGGCGCGGGTGGCGGCCACGACGGCCAGCACTGCGAGAACCTGCAGCACGGGGTCAAAACACTTAAACACAGTCCACAGCAGCGCGCCGCGCTTTGGAGGGGCGCCGAACGGGGCTGCAGGGGCTGCAGGGGCGCACTCACGATGAGCTTCATGTCGGCCAGGGTGAACTCTGAAGCACGCACGAACCACACTTAGACACGCGATTCGATTCGCACACGTTGAACCGGCGAAGTGTTCGAGACGACTGTGACCGAGAAGGCGCTGCGCTCCTTTTTATGTGGAAATCTCAGCGAGGAGTGGAAAACAAAGCAAGATGACTGCTTTCTGCTATCGCGAGTGGCGCCCGGTAAGCGGCGGCAAGCCCGCATAATAGACAAGGCGGCCGAACTCCCGAATTCCCGCACGCCACGGCGCGGCATGGCGCCTCGGAGTGCCGGGGAGCCCGACCGACATCGGAGGCACTCGGAGGCAGCCCGCATTTGCATTACACATTGGGCGTCGTCACGGCCGCGGCGTCTTGGTCCTCTTCATCCGCGTCTCCCACGCGACGAGGTGCCGACAGTTGCCCGCTTTCGCCGCACGCGGCGCACGCCGGCGCACGCCAAGGAGGTCTTGAACGAGTGGACTGCGCGGCCTCATGGCTGTCTTTCAATCCATGCCTGAATCAATTTTTTTCAAAACAAATTTCTGCATGTTAAATTTTGATTAAATTCTAAAAACCCAAATTTTGACTTTGACCTTGCACTTTTAATGAGGCGCTCTTTTTACCCGCGCCCCTCGCTTGCAGTGTCGTAGACAAGCCGTGTTTGCCGTCAAAAAATTGAACTCGGCCAGGAGTTCTTTTCGGTTGGTAAACGTGGAGCGAACTAGGCATGAAAATGTGCGGATGTTGACATGTACGTGGCGACGGCACACTCACCACTCGACGCATGGTGTGCGTGTGCGGCTCTGAAAAGTAGATCGGGCCTGGGGATGAACCTAGAGTAACTGGGCCTCCCTGCAGTGCCGCTCCGCTTTATACGTCGCCAGAGCACTGTGTGAACGTGTCGCGCGAATCGTAAGCTCATCCTTTTTACGGCGCTTGTTCTGTTCTGCGTGGCCTCGTCGAGGTACGAGCGCGGAAGAAGTGTTCCTTTTTCTTTTGGCGCGCATTCGACCTGCCCGGACCTGCCAGTTTGGGAGTGCGACGGAGACAAAGTGACCGGGCGGGGCGGCCGGGCGACCCGACCCGCGGCCATGCCGTCGCGGCCATGCCGTCGTGTCGAGATAAAATCTTGATTAGCGCCGCCCAAGTTGTCGCACCTGGAGCCGTCGTCTGCTTGGGCCTGCTTCTCCGCCTTGCCATCTTCCCTCGGCCTTGCTGGGTCGAGGCCCGGCCGTGCCGTATGAGGTTTATATTTCCATGATATTTCCAAAGTCGCGTTAAATGAGAATGTGGTTTTTCAACAACGTAACGCTACCTTTTCAGTTAGCAGCAACTAATGTGTGCTTAAGCTGCTGATTCGTGTCAAAAGAAATGACGACTGTGTGCAAAGAGACAATAAAGTTGAATGTTTTGACATTTGGGATTCAATTAAGCAGGGATAAAAACATGGTGGGTTTAGAAGATTGCTAGTTGTTTATTTTTTTTTTGAGTTTGGTACATGAGACCGGGTCGAGAATTCTTTTCAGTGCGGGTTGGAGACAGCAGTTTAGTGCTTGTAGACCAGACGACCCTCGTCGTCGTACTGCTCGCCGGAGGCGGCATTCTCCTCCAGGGACTTGAGGATCTCAGCGGGGATTGGGGGAGGGGTGGGGAGGTGGTCGCCGGAGGCGCGGAAACCGTTCTCGTCGGCGATGTAGTTGACGGTGTAGACCTGGCCGTCAGCGCCGGTGTAGGAGTAGGAGCCCTGGGCGGCGACAACAGCGCCCTCAGCGCCAGCGACGAGGGAACCCTGCTCGGTGGCCTGGATGCCGTTCTCGGTGGAGTAGCTCAGCTTGTAGGGGCCAGAGGGGTCAGCCTCCTGGACCTGGGACAGGATGCGGAACTGGGGTCCGTTGTAGGCGTTGGCGTAGGTGGCGACGGAGTCGGACTGCTGGGAGTACAGGTTGTTGGCGGAGTACTGGGAGACGGCGACGATGGGCTTGGCGATCTCCTTGATGGCGGAGTACTGGGAGTAGGCGGGCTGAGCGACCTGCTTGACGGCGGCGTACTGGGTGTAGGCGGGCTGGGCAACCTGCTTGACGGAGTACTGCTGGGTGTAGGCGGGCTGGGCAACAGCGGAGTACTGGGTGTACACGGGCTGGGCGATCTTCTTCACGGCGGAGTACTGGGAGTACACGGGCTTAGCGACCTCCTTGACGGCGGCGTACTGGGTGAAGGCGGGCTGGGCAACAGCGGAGTACTGCTGGGTGTACACGGGCTGGGCAACCTTCTTCACGGCGGCGTACTGGGTGTAGGCGGGCTGGGCGACGGTGTACTGCTGGGAGAAGATAGCGGGCTGGGCGATCTCCTTGACGGCGGAGTACTGGGAGTACACGGGCTGGGCGACCTGCTTGACGGCGTACTGCTGGGAGTACACGGGGATCTCCTCCTCGACGCTCTTGACGAGCAGGGGGGCGGCGACCTGCTGGGCAGAGTACTGCTGGGTGTAAGCGGGCTGGGCGACCTGCTTCACAGAGTACTGCTGGGTGTAGGCGGGCTGGGCCACGAAGGAGTACTGCTTGGCGACGGCGGGGGCGGCGTAGGTGGTGTACTTGTTGGTGATGACGGGGCTGGAGGCCTGGACGAAGGCGCTCTTCTGGAGACCGCTCACGCTTCCCACGGTGGAGAAGTGGAAGGTGTCATCGTGGTAGTCGGCGGCGGCCACGGCCAGGAGGGCGGCGAGGATCTGTAAAGAGAGGCACCGCGTCAGTCAGGACGCCAGGACCGCCAGGACGCTGAAGAATGGAGATGGTCTTGCCCTGCCGCCGGAGGGGGCGAGCGCCTTGAGGGCGACTTCCACTCACCAGGACTTTCATGGTGCTGCTGGGTCAGAGGAGATCGCCGGCTGACTTGAGAGTGCCAGCTCTGTCGCCAATGCGCCCATTTATACGGCCTCGCGTGGGCCGTGCTGGCACGGCCCGGAGTCCTTGGCAAAAAGAAGGAATGGGTGCTTCGGTATCATTTTCGGTATCGGTCTGGGCCGAGGCGCCGAGGCTGGGCCGCATTGGCATTCGGATTCAGCGGATTCAGCCGGACACACCGCGGGGATGGGCTGAGGTGGACCGAGGCATCTCGCGGAAAAAAAATGATTAGCGAAACTAGTGTGCGGACAAAAGGAGGAGCACGGAACCATCAAGCGGTCAGCGGGCGATGCCCCGGCCGGTCCGCGCTCCGCACACGTAAGCCTACTCTGGAAACCAACCGGGGGAGCCACGAACGCGGAGAAAATGCAGCGAGGAAGTGAAACATTTAGTGTAGGATACATGGTGTTTCCAACTTCTCAATAAACAAATTATATAAGAACTAAAAACAAAGACTTACGCTTGGTTTTGAAAATTTTGCACAACGCAGGAGACATTGTCGTTTAGCCTTTTCTGCGTTTTCGGACACACTAAATTCTTATGGACTTTTTTATGCATAGTTTTGCATGCACAGATACGTCCATATGTTATGTATAATATTATACATCACTGTGTACATTTTATGCAGGAAGATGCATAAAATGTACACAGTGATGCATAATTTTATACATACCTTATGGACGTTTCTGCGCATGCATAACTATGCATAAAAAATGCATATACGTATTTAAAAAGTCCATAAGAATTTAGTGTAGAGAAAAATATTCTTTTAAATGTATTGGCGAGTATTATTATGAAAGCAAAAGGGTGTATGTTGCGAGTCATACTGGGGGTAGGAGTTATTTCATTACAGAACATAATAATGAGATTATCATGGAGTACTGTAAAATTTTATTTCATTGAGAGACTGCCCTGGAGATGCAGAAACCGAGTGTGGATATCGGCCTCAACCGTCTGCTAGTTGAACAGAGCAAATGCAAGTCAGCCCTAGAAAGAGCCAGTCAAGGCGGGGGCGGTGTAGGTGGTGAAGGCAGGCTTCGTCTCGGTGATCTTGGTGATCTGGGTGGCTCCAGTCAGGCCGGTGCCGGTGAAACCAGTGGCGGTGGCGTCAGAAGCCCAGGCAGAACGCGCGGCGGGGGCCAGGCCAGAGGCGGTGTAGGTGGTGAAGGCAGGCTTCGTCTCGGTGATCTTGGTGATCTGGGTAGCTCCAGTTCCGGTGAAGCCGGTGCCGGTGAAACCATGGGCAGCGGAGTCAGACGCCCAGGCAGAGCGCGCGGCGGGGGCCAGACCGGAGGCGGTGTAGGTGGTGAAGGCAGGCTTGGTCTCGGTGATCTTGGTGATCTGGGTGGCTCCAGTCAGACCGGTGCCGGTGAAACCAGTGGTGGTGGCGTCAGACGCCCAGGCAGAACGCGCGGCGGGGGCCAGACCGGAGGCGGTGTAGGTGGTGAAGGCAGGCTTGGTCTCGGTGATCTTGGTGATCTGGGTAGCTCCAGTTCCGGTGAAGCCGGTGCCGGTGAAACCATGGGCAGCGGAGTCAGACGCCCAGGCAGAGCGCGCGGCGGGGGCCAGACCGGAGGCGGTGTAGGTGGTGAAGGCAGGCTTGGTCTCGGTGATCTTGGTGATCTGGGTAGCTCCAGTTCCGGTGAAGCCGGTGCCGGTGAAACCATGGGAAGCGGAGTCAGACGCCCAGGCAGAGCGCGCGGCGGGGGCCAGACCGGAGGCGGTGTAAGTGGCGACGGCAGGGTTCACCAGCGTCCTGGTCTCGGTGTACTTGGTGGTCTTGGAGGCGGCATTGCCGGCGAAGCCGCTGGCGGCATCCGCGTTCCAAGCAGAGCGTCCGGAGGCAAAGCCGTTCCTGGCGGACTCAATTTTGGCGGCGGACTCCCATGCGGGGACGTTGGCGCTGTGCTTGGACACCCAGGCGGCGCGGCCGGCGGAGGCGCGCTCGGCTCCCTCCCACATGCCGGCGGTGCTGTCCTCCTCGGGGTGGGCGGCGTTCCACTCCAGGGAGCGGGCGATGGCGACGGGGATCTCGGGGATGTGGGCGCCCTTGGCGTGGTAGCCGGTCTCGTCGGCGACGTACTCCACGGAGAACTTCTCGCCGCTGGGAGCCACCCACGAGTACGTTCCCTCGACCTGCTCGGCATCCTCGGCCTTGAGAGCGGCGCGCTCCACGGCCTCGATGCCGTTGGAGGTCTTGTAGCTGCAGGCGACGATACGTTAGTAAGCGTTGTAAAAGAAAACGAAGCAACGAAAACTTGACTCCACTACCTCACCTGTACTGGTAGCCGCCGGGCTGCTGCATCTCGTACTGCTGCTCCAGGATCTGGTCCGCGCGCAGAGCGTCAGCGTTGAGGTGGGCGTCGTGGCTCCAGGCGGCGCGGGCGGCGGGTGCCAGCTTGGCCTCCATGGCGAGGCCGCTGAGGCCGGCGGCACCGGCGCTGGCGGTCCACGCCGAGCGACCGGCGGGCTGCAGGCGGGCGTCGGTCCAGGAGGTGGACACTACTCCCTCCGTGGCCTCCTTCGGGGCGTGGAGCCCGGCCGACAGTCCCAGGGCGGCGTGGTGCCCCTGGAGCTGGGCATGGTGCTGGGCGAGCGCCACGGCCGCCAAGGAGAGGACGAGCTGGAAGCGAACGACATGGGCGATCAAGCCGACGAGTCCTTCAAGACCGTCCTCGTGGTGAACGTTGGCGGCGACGTTGGGATACTCACGACGATCCTGTTCATGTTGCTCGTCTGAGGGACCGCGATTGAGTGACGCCTTACCTCCGCCATGCCGGCGTTTTTATACGCCAATCCGATGATTGTTTGCAAGCACACTGTACACACGGTTCATAAATTAATTGTCTGTGTTTCCTTCAAAGCGGCGCGGTGGGACAGCACAGACGCGCCGACCTTTGCCTGGGCCTGACCCAGTGGGTCACCGCCATGTGGGCATTGGGGAGGTGACCCCGGCCCGGCGCGTCGGGTCCTGGGACTGGGCATTTGGCCATTATGTTTGCTCTGTGAATTAGTTTCCTGCCAGGCGAGAGGTTCCATCAGCGAAAGCCGTCGATGAAAGTGAACCGAAAAGATTGACTCGTAGAACTCGCACGCAGCCTCCACGCCGCCTTTACAGAGTAGGCAAAATGTCGAAAAATCCATTCCTGCTGCCTTTGGGTGGCCATTACGTCCAATCTAGCTGTGGCAGAAACCATCCCTCAACGTCCTTAATACTCTTTGGACCCTACCCTCTCTACCTCGCCTCTGGAACGCACTCAGTTTGGGAGCAACGCCGAAAGTTGTCAAAATGTCGGAAAATCCAATACTGCTGCTTTTGGACGGCCATTTCCTCCGATCTAGCTGTGGTCAGAGCCTTCCCACCACGTCCCGATACTCCAGGGACCCAACTCTTTCCTTCCGCTCCACGGGAGCGCCCTGACCACTGTTGTGGAGCACCGGCCTCGCAAAGTTGTAAAAATATCGACAAATCCTATTTTTTTTCTGCTCGTGGTTGGCTGATTGGCTGGACCAGAAACGATCTTACGCCGATTTAGGACCGTCCAGTTTTCCTACAGCTGGCTACGGTGAAAACTTCTAACGTAAGTGGCTTCAAATCTTACAGTCTTGGCCATCAAAGTTTTTCACAGTGTGTACTGGACTGCCGGTTCTTCCCGCTCTTATGCCATTGGGCAAAGCCTAGCGCGCGGCGCCCTGGCGCTGTCATGTAAATGCATTTCCTTCATCAGGCAGCTATTGTATTTGATTATCACTGATTTTCGAACACATGCTCTGATTACCAGTGATTATTGCAACAATTTTTTTAAAATGTTTTCAGTACTTAGGAATATTGTGATCTTTTCAATATTTAAACACTATTTTGAATATTGTGACTATGTTCATTATTTCTCTGATAGTTGACTGGAAATACCCTGAGATGGTTACCCCTCGACTAAGTCAGCTGGTTTGAAAACACCCTCAGCTTCAGTCCTCTACTGATAGAAACCCGTAAAAACCAGATTTCGCTTTTCTTTAGAAAAAAAAAAAGGTTTATGATGCATGGATCCGAAGACTCGGGGTCATGACAAAGAAAAAAAAAGTAGGAACGTTAATTTTTTTGTTTATAATTTATTTCTTCATCACTATCAGGTATAGGTAACAATAATGTAACAAGGTAACTTCGTAGTCATTGGGAAAACGGTTGCTCCGGCGACGCGCTGTTGTCGATCTGCGCTCGCTGCATCAGGACGGCTCGAGGGACGACGCCTTACTCCTGGTCGCCGTGGGCGGCGTTGTACTCCAGGGAGCGGAGGATGGCCTCGGGGATGGCGGGGGCGACGGGCAGGTGGGCGCCCTGGGGGTGGAAGCCGTTCTCGTCGGCGGTGTAGGTGACGGCGTACTGCTGGCCGTCGGTGCCGACGTACTGGAAGGAGCCGCGGACGACCTCGGCCTCCTCGTTGCCCACCCTCTTGACGTCGCCTTCCTCCTCGGCCTTGATACCGTTCTCGGTCTCGTACCTGCAACGCGCAGGGGGACGTTAGCGACAACACCATCGCGGACGCTCACCAACGAAAACCATCAAGATGAAAACTGTGAAGAATTGGCTCGCCCTGAGGGGCCCGAGATACGCACTGGTAGAAGTAGCGGCCGGAGGGGTCGATGCTGCGGGAGTCGCTCAGGATGCGGAAGACGGGCCTGGCCTGGAAGTCCTGCAGGACGGGGACGCGGTTAAAACCAGACCAACAACACTCAGGACTCAACTTCTGTCTTTTTTTCAATGCCGAATTACCTGCTGCAGGAACTGCGGGGCAGCGGCCGCGACGGCGAACAGGGCAGCGAAGATCTGCAAACAAGGCAAACGGCGTCTCGTGTTACACAGTACAGTCCGCGGAGTGCCGGCGGCCAATTCACCGGTCTACACACCACGCCTCTGGCTCTACAGTGAAAGTGAAACCACCCTCGTGCCGGCGGCGAAAACCCTGTATCGCGTACACCGTAATTGAAACGAACACAAAGGTGCCTCATTCGTTAAATATGACGTCACGCCACATTCGGTGATTTGGAACGTGAAGTCATACAAGAAAGCGACAATAATATTGAAGCAACTAGCTCAAACTCATCGAGACCATGGACTCACCAGGACGCGCATGGTGAGGCTGTGTCGGAGTCTTCTACGCGAGTAGTGGCGATGTCGGCTAGAGGATCCAATTTATAGTGGGCAAACCTAGGCGGCATCGCGGCCCGGGGCATGGGGCCGCGGGCAGCCGTGGGCCATGGAGCCAGGGCGGGGGGCAACTGGACCAATGGCCATGCCGATGGCCACGCCGATGGCTGTCCCCTGTCCTCGTCTGGCCGCAGTAAAGCGAGGCCGCCCGACCGACGTTCGGCCGATGTCACCGGCAGAGGCGTAAAAATGCTAATCGAGCGCCGTCAATAGAAATAAACAGACTTTTTCTATTTTTTTCAAGGGCTGGGTACGCTTGTGCGATTGTGTCCACAAGGAGAGTCGAAGAGTGCACGGTGCTGCAAAGTTCGGCGGATTCTTACCTGCATCGTCGAAGTTTGCCGTCATTACAAACCATTGTGGTTGTTCGATCAATAATGTCCCCTCTGGAGGAATTTTCCGGGCGCGCCATACCGCTCGGGCGGGACACTGCCAAATGATACATTCCGCGAGGAAGAAGGCCGTTTCCAGATTACGGGAGGAGGCCCGGCCGCTCTGCCGCTCCGCCGCTCTGCCTCGCGACAACGACAACGCCACCGACGCGACCTTGGCGGCGGCATATTTTTACTGGTCCGGGATGGGGGCTCGTCTCGCCGGACTCCTCGCCGCAGTCCCGCCGGCCAAGGGGAAGGTTCAAGGCTGCAGGGAGCCCGCCGGGCAGTCAGCTCGGCTTGCGATGCGCTAAGAAACTAAACCATTAAAAATGTCAATCAATTAGTCTTTTTGGCGCGACCGCGATCGACGAGTGACGGCTGCCGATTACTATTGATTTGTTTTGCAAGTGAAGTTTGGTTTGTTAGAGCGAGAGGCATGAAGCCCTCTTGAAGAAAGTGAACGCGGAGAGTGAGGCGGTCGGCCGGCGTCCAGCCGGAGATCACCGCGCTGGGCCGGGGCGGGGCGGCGCGGGGCGGCGCGGGGCGGGTGCCGGGGTGCTGGCCTTGACCTTTGCTTCGTCCGCTGCCGTGCGCTGCCGTCCGCGTGGGTCGGCCGGATGACATGACAGGGAACAGGGCCTCCGAGCGCGCTGGGCCCGGCCTGGGCCCGGCCGCCCAGTTCATCCACAAATCCACAGCCACTTCATTTCACAGGTGTCGGATGGCGATGCGAACGCCGAGTTGACGCTCGTCCTCAACGCCGTGCACGCGTCTACGCGTCAGCAAGTCCCGAGAAATAGGAAGGGGCGGGTACAAGGCGAGAAAAAAAGCTGCACGTTCTATAGGCTCTTTTCACAATTTCGAGACGCTCCCCAGCCCAGAGTCCGCTGCCTTCTTTCCCCCACGAACATTTTAATAATGATTGACTTCAAAAATGTTCCACTGTGGAATACATTAGCATTGGAATTTTTCGAATTTTCCGTCATTTTGATTGGGTGACGGGTGGCACATCGACTACATTGGTACCACTCCCATTCGTACCCGAACCACCCCCTATCCCTTTTACACAACTTTTTTTTCCTTTCTTCACACTCCAACACAATAAACCATATTGACTTCGTGACTCCTAGGATTTCTTGAAATCGATTTTGTTTTAATTTGTTAGCACCCATTGTCTGACTGCTGACAGGTGGCGCATCACTGCGTATTGTAGCTAGTGGCTCGCCCAGTGGGAAGGGAACCGATACAGCTTGGGAAACGTGGCAATCTGGCGCGCAATCTGGCCTGATGATCTGGGAGGATAGCCCGGTGGGGCACTACGGGAGTACCAGGCCCGTGACAGACAGGTGTAGGGTTCAATTTTTCATTGTATTTGCTGACCAAATTTTTAAGAGGGTTGTGTTTGTGACTCCGTTGTTCGTACCAACCAATGAAGGCGAAGGTTTGCTCGCCTCTTCTAGGGCTTTCAGTAGTGGCGGTGGCGAACCGGCCCCCTCGCCTCTCCGACCGAGTCCGACAGCGGCGCGCCGGCGCCGGGATGTTCGGCCGCCCCCTTGTTTACGGCCAAGACGCCTCAAGTTTCCGCCTTTCTGTCTTTTTGCCCGATCGGCTGACGACAATACTTGGCAGCCGGCCGGCGAGTGGTGTGGTCCCTGTGGTCCGGACTCATCCATTCGACCGCCGAGCCGAACTGAGAACGAACGTCACCGCCTCTGCCTCTATTCGGAAGACGACACCTTTTAGGAGGCGACCATTTATCTTTCCTCCTCAGACTAGGAAGAATATTTGCAGCCGATGAGCAAGTATCTCCGAGCTGCGGACGAAGCCAGACGAGCTCCTCGGACTGTGCGTGACGCCGTGACGCCGTGACACCGTGACGCCGTGACGCCGTGACGCCGTGACGCCGTGACGCGCGGCAAGGGTCCGAGAGCGCCCAATACACGCGCGCCGAGCAAGTCAAGCTCGGCAAGTCAAGCTAGAGCGACTCCAAGCCTCTGTAAGTCAAGCCTAGCGCCTGCAGTCGGGAGAGTAGGCATGCCGGCGGCCAGGCACGGCGAGCGGCTGCCTACCTCCGCGGCGCCCCGTCGAGGAGCGAGTCGAGGAGGGCCCCGATTCCAGCAGCCCAGCAGGCCACTGCGGCCGGCGCCGCGGCAGTGGGCCACCCGGGCAGCCGCGCCGCCGGTTGGGCTGCCTGCTCCCGGCGCTGCCGCCTCGCCTTCGGACCGTCGTCGACTCCGGTCTTCTCGGCCAGTGGCGCCACCTGCAGCCCACCACGGGCACCAACGCGGCAGCGGGGGTCTTTGCGCCTCCACCCTAGTGATGTTAGGCCCAGATTTCGTCATTGTTCCGATATTTCACCCACTTCGCATGTCAACAACGCCACCCTGATGGTGTGCTCCTCGGGTTCCGACCAAGCTTCCCGCTTCCCACCGCCCCCTACATCGCCTCCCCACTTCCCCCATAACTGGTCATCTTTTCCGGTCCACCGTTACAGATTCCAGTGCCGGTCCGCTGTCCTCTGACGCAGACACGCTCGCACGCTCGTTCCAGGAGATTCCATCATGGAGGCGACCCCTCTTCCGGCGGCGTCCATTTTTTCGGACGAGAAACCCTCCGCTTTTGCTCCGCGTGGTCCCCGACCCACCGGGGCGTGCTGGGGCAGGGCAGCCGGGGCAGCCGGGGTAGCCGGGGTAGCAACCGGGGTAGCCGGGGTAGCCGGGGTAGCCGGGGTAGCAGCCCGGGCAGCCGGGGCAGGGGGTGAGTCGATTCAAATAGGAAGCGGAACGGGTTCGATGCGTCGCCGCGCATCAGCGTCACCGGAAACGCAGCCGCCACGCCTTGCAGGGCCTTGCAGGGCCTTGCAGGGCCTTTCCGAGACGACGACCGCTGCTCGCGTCGCATCTTCTTCCGGTGCGAGCGTGGCGTGCGTGGCGTGGCGTGGCGTGCGTGGCGTGCGTGGCGTGGCGTGCGTGGCGTGCGTGGCGTGGCGTGGCGTGGCGTGCGTGGCGTGGCGTGCGTGGCGTGCGTGGCGTGGCGTGCCCTGGCCCAGATCGGGACTCTGGCCGCGCCGAGTGCGCCTAAGCACTCCATCATCGGGGCCCGGGACCGGCCGATCCGGAGGCACGGTGAAATGAAGCACTTACCCGCTTCCGAAAGAGTTCGCGACCTCGTGTGTCATCGCCCCGCCCCGCCCCGCCCCGCCCCGCCCCGCCGCGCCGTTACTCGCGCCGCGTGCGCGTGGAGCGAGCGCTGTGTGCCGCGCGCTCCGCGCCTCCCCGCCGCGGCCAACCAGGCCGTCTCGCAGCCCAGCCCGTTTCGCCGTTCGCACTGTCTCAGAAACGAAAATAAAGAGGCCCCACTGACTGAGTGATGGGTACTCCAGCCGGTTCAGATGGAATAGGCGATGACTTCATCGGCCGGGGTCCAGCAGATTCCACGGCCCCGACGAGCTGTCGCCGCGACGCACCGCGACCTCCATGCCGCTCTAGACCTGGACGCTCGGGATGTCGGTCGCACCGCGGCACCGCGCGGCGCGGCACTATAAACGCGATCGTAAAGTGATCGAAAAAAAGGGGGCCGAATAGGGAAGCTGCGAGTGAGCGCGCAAGCGTGGGGACGGTGGCGAGGACGGTTCGGCTGGCCCACTTTGGATACCTTTATGGCGGCTTTTGACTGCCTCTTGGCTGCCTCTTGGCTGCCTCTTGGCTGGTTCTCGGCTGGCTCTTGGCTGGCTCTCGGCTGGCTCTTGGCTGGCTCTCGGCTGGCTCTTGGCTGGCTCTTGGCTAACTCTTGGCTGGTTCTTGGCTGGTTCTTGGCTGGTTCTTGGCTGGTTCTTGGCTGGTTCTTGGCTGGATCCTGGCTGCCTCTTGGCTGCCTCTTGGCTGCCTCTGCCGGGGCCTCCAGCCTTCCTCCGCAGCCTCTCTCTCCTCAATCCGCGTCCTGTCCCATCCCGGCCCGATCCTGTATCGGTCCTTTGCTACCTGTCGAGCGAGTCAGGGTCAACATTCAACATTCCTTCCGCCGATCGGCGAGCAGCAAGCGCGGGGAGGGGGCGGATGGGCATTGAGGGAAAGGCGGGGAGGGGAGGGGAGAGGCGCCCTGCGACTTGCGACCCGGCGCGCGCGACGCTGCGGCCCCGACGTACTCCACGCGCAACGCGACGCGCAATGCAGGGCGGCCTGATCCTGCCCAATGACATGCCGGGCGCGTAGGCGGTGGCGCGGTGGCTTGGATGTCGCGGTTTGGGGCCGCCACCACCGCCGAGCGACGCCCGGCGCATTGCTGATCCCGCGGGAAAACGCGGAAAACGGAAAGGAAGCGGGAAAGTAAAAGCCCTGCGGCTCGGTGTGGTCGGCCTGGGTCGGCCCTAGGAAGTGCGTCAGTCTGCTGGCTGCTTCCGAAGACTGCTCTCTTCACTCGGTTGCTGGTCGCACCATGGTTGCGAGAGAGACAGAGCGACGGAAGCAGTCTGTGAATGCATCCACCCTGTGGCGTCAGCGTGCGCCCTTCCCGCGACGCGCGGCCAGGACTTTCTCTGGTTCGAATCCCCCTGGCCGCTGGCCGAGCCGCCCCTGGGCCGCCCCTGCCCCTTCACTCCGGTATGCGGACGATGCGGACCGCCTGGCTCGGCCTGGCCCGGCCTGGCCCCTTCCGTCTCTCTCTCTCTGGCTCACTCTGG